GCTGCCGTCGCGCCCGTGGCTCACTCACTCACTCACTCACTCACCCACCCACTCAGTCTCGTTCGCTCCGTCGCTTCTCGCGAGGATCATAGCATCGATGACACGAGGATGATTTGGCTCTCGGACGGATGACGGACGCGACCGCACAGGCACTCTTCCTCGTGGTTTTTGACTTTGGTTCTGGGGGGGGGGGGGGGGGGGAATGTCCAAACTCAACTCAGTCGGAGTAACTCCCCAATACGTGCCAGTGCCAGCCTTCTTCCTAACCCGACCACTATCCTATCCTATCCTATCCTATCCTATCTACCACTACCGTGGGTAGTACAGTACCACCCACGTAAACACCCCCCCCCAGTTTCAAAAATCCAACCACTACAAATATTAATGTAATGCCAGACTAGCTACTCCGTAACTAGCCAGGATCTGTCGATCGGGTCGAAAACTCCACGTGCTGTGGCACTTTTATTGATCCTGCTGGGATTCCGCAGCGGCGCAGGGGAGGAGAGGGGAAGGGATGATGCCGATGCGGACGGATGGTGGGCTACGGTACTTAGGACTTAGGTATGTATGTACTTTACTGCCATGGGTTAGATAGATAGCCACATGGGTTGCTGGTACTCTATCTATCTATCTATCTATCTATCTACCACTGCAAGGTGTAAGGACACTGCAGAACTGCAGTCCAGATTACAGTATCTACAGTAGGTAGGTAGGTAGTAGATGGCACTAGTGGAGTGGGAGCCTCTTCCCTCCCTGTCTGTCTACCTACCTAATCTCGCTTGCTCTTGACGGGGCACTAGATAGATAGATAGATACTCTGCAGTCTGCAGTCTGCAGAGGACAGACGGGGGTGGGAAGCTGGTTAGTATCTAGTATCACGTATCTAGTGGTTAGTTATGTACTGCGGTACTGCTCCGTACTTACTATACTAGCCTAGCTAGCACCTTAGCACTTTAGTACCTAAACAGCAACCAGGTGGACGGGGGAGAATTCTTCCTCGATCGCATGATCCGTTAACTCCGACTGTTTATTTTTTTTCTATTTTTTTTTTTCTAATCATGGTTTTTGCTAGTTTCTCTTGGTTTCCCCTCCCCTCTCCCCCTCTCCACCCCTCATATCGTGTCAGTCCGTCAGTCAGTCAGTATACCCGCCGGAGTTCAGGCCTCCTCATTGTCTTTGTCTTCCCTACCAACCAACCAACTAACTAACTAACCAACTACTAACTAAGAATAATATCACCACCGCAGCAAGCGCAAGCGCAACCCACATATCATATTATATATCATACCATAACTAACCTACCACTACCCCAACCCAATCCCAGGACGTAGCGCAGCTAGCAACAACCCCAGACAGACAGACAGACAATATCAGTATCTACGCGCCAGGATTCAGCCTCACTGGCGACTCGCGACTCGCGCGGACCCAATCTCGCGCGCCAGCCCGCCCGCCCTCAGCTCGCTCGCTCGTACCCTAAGCGCCGTCGGGGATCAGACTTGCCTGGTCTCCCAGGCTCCCGGTAGGTTGGATCGTCTAGAGTTCGATACTGGGCTATGATGCTCTCATCCGACTGGCCGGGTCGGGTCGAGCTTCGGGCTTCGGGCTTCTCAAGTCCCCTAGCGTGCGTGCATGCGTGCATGCATACATGCATGTCGGACTGATTTAGATACTTGCATGGTAGGGTACCTTGTTTGTAGGCTATATTATAGACTATGGGCTATGGGCTATGGGCTATGGGTTATGGGTTATGGGCTATGGGCTATGGGCTATAGGGTGTAGGTTAGTTATAGGGTGTGCACTGTAGGTAGGGTAGGGTACGGGGTAAACGTATGTATACCTGGCCAATTACCAGCGTTGCCGCCGGGGAAGCCACCAACTTCAGCTACTATTATTATTATTATCATTATTATTATCATTATTATTATTATTATTATTATTATTATTATTCGGGATGGACTTGGGTATGTCTCTGTACTTTGGATCTACTAACTAGTACTGTAGAAAGCTACTTTGTTATTTGCCTGCTTTTCTCGGTACACTACCACCACTACTAGTAACTAGATCGCATGCGCCATACTTATTTATCTACCCTGCGTGTAACCAACCCCTGCAGGTTTGGTCGGATGGTAAAGTTCAGGGATGGGATGGAACCACGACGAAGCAAAAGCGAATGCGATGATCGATCCGCTGGGACGGTGGTCTGTGGGTGTGGTGATTGATCATCCAGTTCCACTGTCCGTCAGTCTAGACTCTACTTAGATAGACGTGGCCAACCGCCGAGATGCGAGATGGTCCGAGCCTGCCATGAATTGAGTTGCGGCGGTTGTGTCTCCGCAGAGTGTCTGTCTTCTGTATCTATATATCTACGGAGTACTAGTCTGTTGGACTGGACTGGCGTCTATCGAGGAGTTGCAGCAGCACTCCGGTTAGTCAGTAAGTAACGCATTCGTCGTTTTGTCACCAGGAGTTTTAGGTAATGGAAAATAGTTAGGGAATAATTGCATGTGTCTGTCTGTCTGTCTGCCATGCCATGCCATGATCCAGATTCCTGCCAATGCCGTGCCATCATTGATTGCCACGTGCCAGATCCACTTTATTTATCCACTTCGGCTGAGTGACTCGCTCAATTCTGGTAGGTAGGTAGGTAGGTATACTCCATCCTAGGCCCCTGAATGGCTACGAACTGGCTGATCCGGATCAACCTCCCTAATCGAATATCGAACATCGAATAGCAATAGTGAATATACGGTTCCGTTTCTCATGAGTGGGGATTGAATTGAACTTGAACTCCCCTCCCCCCCCTCTTCCCGCGTAGGTTTCTGGCTTGGATGATTTTGACTTTTGGATTGGGTTGCCAGATGCTACCTACCAACCTACCCAGTAAGGTGGGTCAAACCATGGAAAGAGAGAGAGAAAAAAAAAAAAAAAAAAAAAAAAACGTCCCGGTGGGTGGTTTATCCCGGTAGACTCCGTGAGGCGTTAGGCGTGATCCGAACCGTTGTTGCGTACTTTTAGTTCCGGGCGATGAAAGAGTTCAGAGTGGAAGTATGGTTCATCATGAGACATGGTGGGAATTCTAATAGATTACGTTCGCCCTCACGGATGATCATGGCCATGATCATGATCATGATCACAGGTTTAATGTTAGTATTCAGGAACCGAATTCCGGGAAATTGGCTTTTTTGGGGGGGGGGGGGGGGGGAAGAGGATCTTAGATTGTGAGTGAGTATAGCCGGTGAGGTGGTTAGTATATATTTTTGCCAAGAGGAGGAGGATTTACCCATTCTCGCGATGCGGAGTATCTATCTATCTATCCAGAACTATATTTATTACTACTACTACTACTTACCATGAGATAACCACTCTAAACCAAATATAGATAAATTCTCTCTCTCTTCCTCATGAATTCCCCCCCCCCCCCCCCCCCCTGAAATCCCCTCACTGCTACTGACTACCAATACCCATCGATTAATCCAAGTCAGGTACCCTCCACGGAGAATTTCCCCGAGCTTTCCCCTTGCCCTTTCCCCACTCGACCTCCACTGTGCCAGTGCCTGCCTGCCTGCCCCCCTTCAAAGTTCAAACCCAGCGTTCCAGCGTTCCAGCGATCCTAATATCTGTCCATCTGTCCATCGACCGGTCCATAGATACCACTCCGACCCCGACTCCTCTCCTCTAGACTGCCAGGTTACGTCACCTTACCTTGTACTCCTGTCGCATCAAACAAGGAAATAAACTCAATCCCAATCGCGAACCAAACTTAGATATTAACCACCTCGGTATATAGCAGTATCTATCTAGTAGCGGTAGTGGTAGTGGTAGCGGTAGTGGTAGAGAAACAGACCCTGAAAGGAATGCCTACCCGAACCCAAAACTGCTAACCCATCATCCACAATCCACCACCCATCATTAACTTAGAAACCCACCCACACACACACACACACGCACACACACGCATTCACTGGCTAGCTAGTTAGCTAGCTAGATAGTCACTGTAAATACCCGACAGCGACACATTAACACATTGACACATTGACACAGTCACAGTCACAGTCTGTACGTAAATCCCAAATCATAAACCGTAAACCCAAATCATAAATCGCCGAGAAAGCCTCCGAAGAGTGAGACCGCAAGAGCCAAACGGAAGGAAAGAAAGAAAGAAAGAAAGAACGGAAGAAAGGAGGAGCCGCAGATCAACGCCCAACCGTCGGCCAAACCCTAAAACTTTATTATAGTAGAACGTAGATTACCAGATAGATGGTGAGATGGTGAGATGGTGAGATGGTGAGATGGTGAGATGTTGCCTATGGTGCTATATTGGTGGAGTGGTGGGAATAGGAATAGGAATAGGAATGGCTATAGGTATGGGTATGGGTATGGGTATGGGTACTAACAACTAACTAACAACTAACTACTCCACTTCCACGCGGTTCCGTGGATCGGCCGGCTGGTACTTAGGTCCTTGGTGGTGAACTTGTGTCTTACTTCGGAGCCGGGAGTTGCAGAGCAGAGTACCTTTACCTTTAGGTTTTGATGGTGTGGGGTGGGGGGGAGGGGTGATGATGGGTTAAGGTACTAATACTATACCTGGAGAAATTGGGTAGGATACCGTACCTCCATACACCTAAGGGGGTAGGTAGGTAAGGTGGGTGTGTATTTCCGTATGAGGTTTTTCTTGCGTTTTTTTGCAGTTTTGCGTTTTGGATATACGTACTTGGACAGTACTAGGGATGCAGGGGGAGACAGGGAGGGAGAGAAAGAGAGGAGTATGGGGGGAGAATGGGAGAATAATCGGGCAAAGTGATCTGCAGATCTAGGACATTAGGGCGTTCGGGAGATGGGGTTGCCTTTGGGAGTTGAGACATACATGCATCTGCAATCTGCAGCGACTATAGTGAGCGTGTTATAGGGTCCTATGCTGGGATGATGAGGCTATTATTAGTGGGGGATGTTGCTATAATTGATCGTGAAGGAATTCATCTAGGAGGGGCGGTCTGTTTGTTTGTCTGGCTAGTCGTGTAGACTACTCCTTTGATTGATACTATCTATCGATTTATCTTGTCTAGCAGGGAACCACGTGGTTCTTTCGAGAGGTGACGGATGTTACAGGCATAGTAGCAAGTACTATACCCATCTCATCTCATCTCATCTCGCCAAGACTGTGACTACCTATCTACCACGCCCCAATTGTCGGGGTCGCATAACTCCCGGCCACCGTCGCGGCGCTACACTGCCCGGGCACGGAAGTTACTGTCGGCGACCCCCACGACGCAGGAACAGTCCCGTTGCGTCGCGCCACAGCGGTGAGGAAGGCCGCGTAGGACCAGGTCAGGTCGATCGCCGACACGGGGTCCCCCGTGCTCCGGCCGAACTGCTCAGCGAGACCCCCGTCGCTGGGGGTGTATTCCTGCACGACGGACACAAACCCGTCGGCGTATGTCTTTACGGCTTGGGTGATCGCCGTGTACGTGGCGGAGGACTTGGCGTGGGTGCCGATGGTGGCGTTGCTGACCAGGTCCGAGAAGAAAGGGATCGACAGTTGGGTGATGTTGATGCTGCCCTGCTTGTCCCATTGGTGGAGGGCGTCATAGAGCTGCTCGGCTGCGGCGAGGGTGGCGAGGTACCTGTGCGTGTTAATCTGGTTTACCCCTTGGGAAGGAGGTGGGGACTCACCATGGGTTACCTCCCTGGTAGACATCCTCTGGGTACCGCCCTACTGCTACAGCCTGGCCGTTGCTGCGGCCCTGATTCACGGTGTATATGGACCGAAAGGAGTCCACGTAGACCTTGTGGTTGGATAGGGCGCGCGCGGAGCATGGCTGGAAGGTGACATCGTCGCATGTCGCAGCCGGGTCGAAGATGTGAATGGAGGCGATGACGGAGTTGGCGTCGATGCCGCTGCGGTCGTTTGTGGGGGAGTTGGAGATAATGGCAGAGCCATTCCAGTACTCCTGCAGGTGGCAGAGGATCTGAGGTGCCACGGAGCATCCGGGGCAGGTCTCGCCCACAGCTGCGGCGAAAGCGGCACCCTCGACTAGGGATTTATGCTGCATAGCGGTAGTGAAGAAGGACGACCCGTTCACCTCTTCCCACAGGTCATAGGTGCTCTGGTTCCAGTACTGTCCGACATAGGACAGGTCGTTCTGAATCAGGGGCCAGAGGTTCGTCTTCGCGAGCGAGGTCTTGCCATGGGCGATGAGATAGTTGCCGTATGCGATCAGAGCGGAAGCACGCAAGGCCGGCCCGTCACGCTGCGGACGTCCCCAGGAGCCGGTAAATGCGGTGATGTTCACCTGGAACTTAGGCTCACCCAGCCCGGAGCCGTTAGACAGGGTGCCTGATGGATTGGCGACCACCTGCTGCTTCACCTGAGAGTCGACGTACTCTTGGATGAGGCTTTCCAGGGAAGCGTTAGCTGTGCCTGCTGCAAGTTGTTCGATCTCTGCCAGCATTGTCAGGCCGGCGTCTCGCGTCCACGTGTAGAAATCTGGGCTAGTCAGTTACACTGGATGTGGCGTTGTTTGAATCGGATGAGGCATACAATCTGGATTCGTTTTGGACGGCGAAGCCACGACGATGCCCGCAGAGGCACCCTGCACAAGGGCTCCCTCAGCGCCGATATTGTTGAGGATTCCCTGCTGAGCCAGGATGCTCTCTTTCTCGATAAAAGCACCCAGATCCGACTGTCTTCTTTGAAGAAAAGCTGGAGACGCCAGGGCAGCGCCCGTGAGAGTGTTGGCAACTGTGAGAGATTTCAACCACATATTGGAGCAGCTCTGGTCTTAGTTGAAGCCTGTGGCATGAACAAGGAGGTCTGAGCAACCTTTATAGGTCGCATAGTTGCAGCATGGATCAATAATTGACGCAGAGTCGATCCGCGGAGTTACACCGCATGAACTGTGCATCGGGCCGATCACTCGGGGATGCTTTTTTGGACAACAGGTGTTGACCGAACAAGAGGTATGTAAATGGTTGGCGATGGATAAATCTGGTCGGAAGCAGCCGATCGGTCTGGATAAGATTACCGATAACTCTCCGCGACGGGGTAAGAACTGCGATGCTCACTGGCCAGGTTGTGAACAATGGGGTTGGGCTAAAAAGTAGGTTGGTGGTTGGACGAGGATCGACCCGACGCTGGCGAAGCATCTCCGCGGCATCTCCAGGTATGATGTCAACAGGGACTCAACCCCTCCCCCTCGACCCCACGATTGCACCATAGAGGGGCAATACGGAAGACCTTCCCGATTGAGCCTGAAGAACCAGTCTGTTAAGTCTTGCCTAGCAGTATTAATAGCTGTGACACACCATGATCCTTTCGCCCCGGGGCGATTTTGCTGTGGAAATCAAGTTAGGAGAAGTTGGGGCTCAAAACCGGCTTCGTTGACGTAGGTGGGCAGTCTGCCATTTCCATGCTCGCCAGTCATGCAAATACCATGTAATGAATGGAGCTTAGTTATCTATGACATAAGAGGGTGCCTGACCTTCTTTTGAAGGGGTAAGTCGAGCAAGACGCGAGTCGCGACCTCGTCTGCCACTGAACATCCGCGACGTTCCGAACTGCATATGTTTATCCGGAGATGCGGATACTGCGTTGTTGGGAACCTGCTGACAGATAGTATGGTTCACTTGAATGCTCACTCTCACTCCGATTCACTGACCACGGTCGCAGTAGATGAGTGACGAGCACCATAATGGCTTCGCACAGCCTTTTTTCATTGTCACCTGGGTCGAATTCGGCCTGGCAGTTTTGTTCATGGGCGCGAGATGCTTTGCTGCCTCGAAGCTGGTCCATAATATAGCCAAGGACATATATCTGGCGGCAGCCACGTTTGTTAGACATCCCACCAGGTTAGACGACTCCACTGATTATGAATAGGTTCTTGGGGCCGCGAGTATGGCAATGCTCACTGTGGGAGCTACATACGGACTGGGACTGTCTCAGGACCTGTTAAGTTATAATGACAGCAAGATGTCACTGCTATATGGCTGGCTAAATCAGCTCCTAGCTCTCGTTGCGATCGGTCTGGGGAAAGTTACCATTGTTGCTTTTCTCCAGCAGATTCAGGGTTACCATACGAAGACTAGATCGGTGTTCTTATGGTCTCTGGCTGTCAGCAATTTAGTATTGAATTGTATTGCAGGGGTCTTGATGATTCTCCAGTGCTCGCCAGCGAGAATGCTCTGGGAGGACTACGCCAAGGAGAACTGTCCATATCGCATGCGCATCCAAATATTCGGCTATGTGCAAGGCAGTGAGTATTCTGCAGGGTCCGAGCCGGATTATGTGCTGACAGTGATAGCGTGGTCTGCCGCCTGCGACTTCATCCTTGCTTTATACCCGGTTACAATACTTGCGCGGGTGCAGGCATTCTCTGTGACAACTCGGGTTGGCCTTTGTATATTGATGGGTTGTGGTATAATGTAGGGACGCATTCGATATAGCTTTCAGGCTGAACTGACGGTGTATAGAGCAGGAGCTTGTGCGATCGTGAAGACAGTTCAGTTGACCGTCTTGACAAGGATCAAGGATCCGAGCCGTGAGTGACTGTTATACTGCCATAGCTAAAGCCGGAGACTGACGAGGTCAGAGCAACTGGGAACTGTCATCGTATGGAACCAGTAAGTCTTCCTATGCTCTTGCTCATATCTCGGACTGACAGGCGCAGAACAGAAATGTGGGTTGTATTCATTGTTAGCTGCATACCACCGACCAAAGTATTTTTCACGCATATCTATCGCAGGGGCTCTGTCCATCTGGGGTCGGTGGTCGACCATATCCGTTCCTGGGAGGAAAATGAGGTGCATCCCCGCGTTCCCTGCGTCTGATGGGTGGAGAAAGACCTGTAGATCGAAATTTCCTGTTTCAGTATCACACCAAGCTCTCTCGATAGAACCGATAGATAGCATAAGACTGGCTCATTGGTAAGAAGAGGAAAATTCTACCGCTGCGGGCCCCCAAAAAACGCGCCGTTGCATCCCAGGAGCATGTGGTAATTAGAATTCCCTTAGAGTCCCGCGAGAGTATTGTTGAGGCCACTTCTAGCAGGCCAGAGGGTGGGTGTCGAGTATGTAGGTCACCTATGGGGAGACCCGGGGGAGTTCTCTTCTTGCCGCCGTTATCTTCGAGTTAATGAACAGTTCCTGAGAGATCGCCTGAAATATGAAGGGAGTCTATTATCTCGCAGCTTTCAACATTAGCAGTGCTGGACAGGTCAAGTTCCATGTATTTAGAGGATATTGGTGGATCTGGATGGCAAATCACTTATCTGTTGATGCTGTGCATGGGAGGGGAGCGTGCAGTGAGGAGGTGTAAAAAAAAAAGTCTCTGATTATAGAAAGACTGCTGCGGCAGAAGATGAACCCCCGCCCGGGTCTTCGAAGGGGTGGCCTACATCTCCCCAGGCCAGCGAGAGATGGTTCAAGATCGATACACAATCCATGGGAGGGACAAATATGATTGAGGTATAAAGGGTGGGTAGGAAAACCAACGAGATGCAGGAGGTGAAGTATGGGAGGTATTTTGGGGAGGAAGTGAGGGAGAAGACAAAACGTGAAGATGGGGAATGAAGAAACATAGAGAGACCACGGGACATGTGGTGCTGATGATTGGGTTCCTCAGGCCTTAACAAAAAAGCCCAACTCATGGCAAAGGATTGGAGGGAAATTATTTAATGACGCCTATTGGGACTGATCATCCCTCTGACTGAAAGGCTCTCCCGAGGCTATTAACTGGATATCTTATGGTAAAATAATGTTCTTGATTGATCTTGTCACCTTAGAGGGATCGTTTAAGAGCAGACGGTATGGAAAGAATTCTCGTCCTGCATACAGTCATCACATGTTGGAGAATAGAAAGCTCATAAGTCAGAGTACAATCTCACTTTTGATGGATGGTCGTAAATAGTCTGAATCGATCATCCTACCATATTGCAGAATTACGACCGTTGGACAAGGTGTATAAGGAAAGTCTCCTAGTATCCAGGGCGCCAGAAAAATGTCAACTGTGGAAATGAGTACAATAAATATACTCCGAAAGCTCCAAAAATATAACATACATGCAAAGTAACTGGAGGGATTTGCACTGATGATTAGCGCAGAACCGCTGTAACCCCCGTACAATTACCCAATCGGGAAACCATGCCCCCATCCCCGCCCCCGTCACCCCCAAACATCCCATCAGGCACAGCTCTCCAAACCCAAGTTTCAGTCGCAATCCACCCGCATCTCTCGCCCGAGAGCTTTCCACCCGATCTCCGCGCATCCGGACCCTCGGACCCGTCTGCACACCACCACTACCCCATATACCGTCGAGATACCTACCCCAGCACCATCACCAATGACAAACCCCAATTCCAGCATCAAACCACCATCAAATGTCTCCCATGCCTCTATACCCCCCATCACAACACTACACTATTGTCGTAGTGTTGAGTACTATTATCTTGGATGCTTCTGCCGCGCCCGCATTATCACAACATCACAGCCGCGATTGCGCCATCGGCATCACGGCAGTCTGGTCCTATGAGAGGCGGTCACCCAACGGTTTCAGTTCGGCTTCAGGCACGCACGCCATCCCCTCCACTCCTTGCATCGAGGTCTAGTTCTGGTTCTGGTTCTGGTTCTCGGGTTTCATTCGGGTGGTGTGGTTGATTCAATCGGATATCGCGACGCAATGAGGGGTGGGTGAGGGGTAGGTATAGTAGGTATATAATCCTCCAACTTCCCCCTCTTCGGCAGTCATCCCTCTCTTCAAATCATCAAAAGCATTAATCTAACTCCCCTCCTCCCCGTCTGATCATTAATATCATCCCTTGTTTCTTATCATCATCATCATCATCTACACCATGGCAGCCCTAACACAACAACCCCCCGCCTCCATCCCCATCGACATCTTCCCCGACGGCCTCAAGACCACCGGCCAACACCCCCCCCTCTACGACCACATCCGGCCCTTCGATCGATTTCCCAAGGAGATCACCGGCCCGACCGTCTGGAAGCCCGAGGACTACAGCGACAGCCCGGAGAAATGGACGCATCGGTTCACCCCCGAGGAGATCGAGGAGCTGTCGATCGCGTCGGATGAGTTTCTCAGAGCGAAGATCCCCATGACGGGGATTAGCAAGGTAGGACCATCCATCCTCCATCCAGCTATCCTCCTTTCATCTACACATCTAGACCTCTTCCCTTTCCCTCCACCCACTATATCTAGGTAATAAACAATACTGATGAAACCAGTCCAACTTCCCCCTCCCCACCCTGGCCGCCCGCCTACACACCCTCCGCGCCGACCTCCTCGACGGCAAAGGCTTCATCCTATTCAAAGGCTTCCCCGTCGAGAAATGGGGTAACCACAAGTCCGCCATCGCGTACATGGGTCTGGGCACGTACCTGGGCTACTTCGTCAGCCAGAACAGTCGCGGCCATGTCCTCGGCCATGTCAAGGATCTAGGCGAGGATCCCACCCAGATTGATTCCGTCCGCATTTATCGGACGAATGCGAGGTTAGCACTGAACCCTTCTATACCCATACACACACACACACACACACAGACATACACCACAGGTGGTATCTTCCTCATTCTCCCAGACAGCTACTAAAAGACAACCGACTATACAGACAATTCTTCCACGCTGACGACTCCGACATCGTCGGCCTCCTGTGCATCCACCGTGCCCTGGAGGGCGGCGAATCCGACCTGGTGTCCTCGCACCACGTCTACAACACGCTGGCCCGCGAGCGCCCTGACGTGCTGAAGACCCTCACCGAGCCGATCTGGTACTTCGATCGCAAGGGCGAGACCAGCAAAGGCGAGGACGAGTATATCCGCACCAGCGTGGTGTATCTCGAGCGGGGCGAGAACGCGCGCGTTTATACGAAGTATGATCCATCCCATCCCATCCCATCCTCCTAACCCCCACAAAACACCAACAACTCCCCCCCAAAACATACTGATGAAATAAAGATGGGACCCCTACTACGTCCGCAGCCTCACGCGCTTCAGCTCCATCGGCCTGATCCCGCCTCTCTCCCCCGCGCAGCTCGACGCCCTCCAAGTCCTCGAAGCCACCTGCAACCGCCACAAACTGCACATGATCCTCGAGGTCGGCGACATCCAGTTCCTGGCCAACTCGCACGTCCTGCACGCCCGCACCGAGTACCGCGACCACGCGCCCCCGACCCCCCGCAGACATCTCATGCGTCTGTGGCTCGCCACGCCGGAGAATGAGGGCGGCTGGAAGTTGCCGTTTTGGGATAGTAATGAGAAGAAGAGGGGCGGGATTCAGGTCGATGATCAGGCGCCGGTGGCGCCGTTGGATGCGGAGTGATTTCTCTCTCTCTTCCCCCCCTCGCCCCCCTTCTTTCTCTGTGTGTATTTGTGAGGGAGGGGAGATGGGATAGGGGGGGTTGTGTGTTTTAGCTTATACCATATTTGCGTTTTTCTCGGATGTGTTAGATATACTACTAGTGAGATCATCATGGGGATGGCGATGATTGAATTATGTTATGTTATGTTATGTTATGATATGTATGTTTTGTAAACCTCATTATTCATTACTCGTACATCTGCCCTCGGCAGCCCCCTCCCCTCCCCTCCCCTCCCTCTCCCCATCCCTATCTCTTTCACCCTTCGCTTTTGCCCTGATCCCAAAGGAAAAGACCACCTACTACACAATCTTATAACTCCCCCCACTCCCAATCTCCACCTTCCCCTTCGCCACCATGCCCGCCAAAAACTCGCGCAATTCCTCATTACTATACGGAAACCCACCGGGGACCGCAATCTTCAGCATCATGACGATCCGCTGCAAGGGCATTGCGCCCTGATTCGTCAACATGCCCACGATAAACTGCCAGTACAGATTCATCTTCTCCATCGCGGCCGCCTCCGCCGATTCCTTGGCCGCAGCGGCTGCGGCGGCGTCGGCGTCGGCAGCTGCTTGCGCGGTGTCGGCGGATGATGGATTATTGTTGTCTGCTGCGGGATTGGTAGAGGTGCCTGCTTCTCCTGGGGCGGGGTCGGTGTCTTCAGTGGGCAGGACTTCGAGGACGCGGAAGGTGTCGCGGTGGGGTTCGATGAGGATGCGTTTGCTTACCCAGAAGAGACAGGCGCTGCGGACGAGAGCGGGGGACATGGAGAGTTGCTGGGCGAGGGTGTCGGTGGTTTTGGTGGTGGAGGTGGGGTCTGAGGAGGAAGGAGAGGGGGAGTTGAAGGCGTGGATCACGGTCGCTTGCCAGGTGGTGACTTCGTCGACGAAGACGCGGTCTTCGAGGTCTAACTCGACGGTGACCTGACCCAAGCCGTTCAGCCAGGTGAGTTTGCGGGATTGTTTCAGGGCGCCGAAGCCTTGTGCGTATCGCTGCTGTAGAGAGGAGATTTCCTCGGGGACCTTGAATTCGGGGCCCTGGATCTCGGGCCAGAAAAAGTGCGAGAGGATCTTCGCGTGCAGCTCCGGCATGTCTTCGTCGTCGTCGTCTTCGCTTTGCATGTCGCGTCGGCCGTCGGGGGTGATGGGGACGAGGGCCCTGCGGCCTCCGGACCCAGGCCCTCCGATCAGCCCTTGGTCGTTGCGCACGATGCTGTCCACGCGGTGCGAGTCGGAGATATCGCGTAGCATGACCTCGCAGGCCTGCAGGGCGTTGTCGCCGAAGCGCACCTTCAGCAGTTCCAAGACGGAGATCTCCTGGACGAAGTCCTCGCGTTTCTGCAGGAGTCGCTCGCCCAACATGTTCTGCATTTCCTTCACGAACATCTCCTTGGACTCGAACAAGCTGATCAGACTCCCGATGACGTCCGATGTCTTCGACTTTCGGTAGTCTTGTGCGGCGTCGATCGGGTCGGGCACCCAGTTCATGTCGTCCCAGTCGAGCTCCCCGCTGTCGGCGCGGAGGGAATTTTGATGAGCCTTGGCCAGCTCGGCTGACAGCTCGACCAGCGTGTCCGTGGGAGAGGATGTCTGGCCGTCCGCATCGGCCGGGTCAGCCAGCAGACCACCGACGATGACCTTGACCGTGTCGTCTCGATCACGTAGATATCTGCGAATGGGCCGCGCGATCCGATCCAGGAGAACGCCCTTGGGATCTAACAGACTGAATGCCCGGATGATCGAGATATACACCTGCAAGATCTCGACCGTCGACGCGCCCGGATGCAGCAACCGCTGATTCAGGACCGCAATAAACGACTGTGCGAGATGAAACCGCGCTGCCGGGTGCGTAGTGAAATAGCGTAGATCCTCAATCGCGCCACCGCTGGCAGGCCACTCGACGATCACATCGAAGAGCTCGCCCGTCCGGAGTGCCCCCAGCCGCGCAATACCGATATCCTGCCACTTCTCCACGTCACTTGGACTCACATCCAAGCAATCCGGCTCCCGGGTCCCCGACTCCGGCGCGTTGATAATCGCCAGGACCTGCACCACCAGTCGCGCGAACACGTTCTCAATCCACTGCCGTAGATGCTGCACCACGAGCGACCGAGCTTCCCACCGACCCGTATACGCGGCCCGGATAAACTCACTCATCATGGCGTCCATGACACTCGCGAAAACCTTCTGCGCCTTATCCCCGCCCATGCCGACCAGCTGCAGCCCATCGAACAGCGTCAACAGCCGCTGACGCGCCTCACTCACCCGTGCATCCTCCTCCATCATCATCTGCATCCGGAGCTCATCCGACGACTCCTCACGCCAGTCGCGATACGACACCGAGTACTGGCGATCCACCTCCATCTCATCCACGCTGTCGGAATCGCTCGCATCCGTCTCCTCCCTCAAGGTATCAATCCCCAAAATAACCATCGCCTCCTTCATAATCTCCCGCGTCAGCAGCGCCGATCGTAATGACCACGGCAGTGCATAAGCGACCATCATATGAAACGACCTGCGCAGCTTGAGAAACACGCTCTCCTGCTCCGCCGCATCCAGCAACGGCAGCAAAAAATCCACCAGAGGCGCAAAGTACACCCTCCTGGCCAGCTGCAACCAGCGCACGATCTCCTGTAAAAGGCCGTCCTTCTGGGGGTGATTCAAAAGCTGTACCCGATCACAATTAGCAATCACGTCTACACCAACACTCTCCCATCCCACCGCCAGGTGGAACAAAAAGGAAAAGCAAAAAAAAAAAAAAAAAAAAAAAAAAAAGACCAAACAAACCTTCACCAAACCCCCCCTCCAATTCCTCAAAAAATGCCTCCTCATCTCGCCAGCATACCAATCCAACAAACTTCTTCTCACTGTATCCTCCTCCCCCTCCCCCTCTCCATCATCATCCCCGACCTCCCGCCCACCTAGCCCCCTCTCCACGACCCCCACCAAATAGCCCACCGCCTCACGCACCTCCCGTCCGGGCTTCCTCCCCCGATTCATCACCCTCAGAAAGTCCCTCTCCCCGATCTCCTCATACCGACTGAGCACCGTGATCCCGGTGTCCGGAATAGCGAGGAAGGATGTAGCGATGTGCCAGGCGCGAGACCATGTCGCCGAGTCGGTGGGTGCGGAGGTCGAGGTAGTTGTTTTTGTGGAGGAGGCGGTAGAGGGGCGGGTTGTGGCTGTTGGTGTGGTTGTTGTTGTTGTGTGGGGTCTTGCGCTAGAGGAGAGGTTGAAGAGGTTTGGGTTGGAGGTTGAGGGTGTGGTTGATGTGGTAGGTGAGGTTGCGAGGGTAGTGCATGAGGATGATGATGTGGAGGACGAGGAGGATGGGTGTTCGAGAGAGGCGGGCGGGAGGACGGAGGCGAAGACACGTCGCCGGCTGGGGTGGATGATTGTTGTTGCTGTTGCTGTTGCGGGAGGCATTGTTGTGGTTCTGGGTGTGGTTGGGGTTGTGCTGGTGGGTTGGCTAGGGAGGCATTGCATTGTCTGGCTGGCAGCTAGGTGGTGTGGCTCGGATCAGGGCGAGGGGCTAATGTAGAGCCATGTTGGGGGTTTGCTTTGAGGTGCTGGATGGGATGGGATGGATGCTGGAGTTGGAATTGGAGTGTTTTGGAGATGATGGAATGTGGCTGACTCAGCTGGTTGGGGCCTTATCGATAAGGGGTCGAGCTGGCCGGATCGGGAAATATCAAAGCAATGCATATACCATGGGGAGATGGCAGCTTTTTCTCTTATTTCTTAGTTGCTAGAGTATGTAGTATATCTAGAGAATGGCAGAATAATGATAATATGTGCCTTAGTATGACGATAGAAGCTCATTCAAGTCCACCATACTGCTTGTGGTATCTATCTAGAGTACGGCATTTGCTTTGGGAATCACACCGCAATTGGGGACACGAACAGAAATAACTCACTGCGCTAAACCTCTGCTCGAGCTCTACGTAAGGCTGACGAAAGTGCACTCGAAGTATGTCGATAGTAGCAATTACGAAGGTGCTTTTTACCCCGATAGCTGCATATTCCTGGCGAATAGCATCGTGCAGCATCGCGCTATCTGTGCAGCTGCAGTGGCAAACCCAACGTGGGATACAACCAACCCCTCCCGGGCTAAGGGAGATTCCGCTCAGAGTTGGGCTGATCTCTTTGCCGCGAGATGCAAGTTATCTCGAGCATCAACAGAATCCCGAGTTGGACATCCCACGATGATCCCTGCGAGTAAGCCCTACCGCGTAACATGTGCATTCAATTCTCGGCATATATGTCATCTATGGGGGGGTATCTTGCCGGTACGACAAAACAGAATGCCTATCTAATATCGCTATAACAATGGCACGGGCTATGAGTGTAGATGGTGTGGGCTGACGGATCGGCTTCTGCGATGCAAGACAATCAATAAACAACAGACCGCCAACCACACGGACCCGAGGTCGCAGAATTCCGCACAATAATGAGCCAACGGTGCATGCGCATGTCTAGGTCGTTTTGTCGTCATCGACCTTCTCCCACTCGCTATCAGTACTCCCGTAGCCTGAGCTATCGCCGCTCACGCTCAGGCGCTTCCGAACCTGGCTCTGCTCCACTGGCGGCCGGAGAGTTGCCGAAGCAGCTGGAGACCGAGGCACGGGACTGATAGGAGCCACATCTTTGCGCTCGGCCAGAACTTCCGTCTCCGTGTCACTCTCGGTATGTTCAAGTGCGCCCGGCGTCTTGCGATTGCTGTCAGACTGAGAGTCTTCCTCTTCCTCCTCAGGCTCCTCCAATTGCGCTCTCTTCTCTGCCTCCGCCGCCTCTGCGGCCTGCACCTGCCTCAGCTCCCGAGCAAACCAGTTGATGGACCACCAGAGGGCCCCAGACAGGGCAGATAAGGCGACGAAGTGGATGCTGTAGGTGGCCAGGAGGAGGGCGAACAGGAGGGTCTGGAGAGCGGCGAAGGTGACGTTGGTTGCGACGAGGAGGGTGTGGGTGGGACCCGGGGTGAAGATGCTGGACCAGAGATCCTCCATAAACGAGCCCATGATTTCGGATGACGCGCGAATGCGGCTAGTTGCGGGGAAGCTTTGGGATGGTTCACAGGGGGGAAGGGAAATGACGTTGGGGTCGGAAAGTGGAATCCGTCCGCGGTGGTGCTGAGATTTCTGCTTCACTGCAACGGTTAGCGACAGGATCGGAAGATAAGGCGAGCGGCAGGCTGGCAGGGAATCGGAGTGGCAGGGAAACAACACGGACCGGAAGCAGACTGGGCAATGCCGTGGAGGGAAGGGAAGGGAAGGGGAGGGAATGAATGGGTGCAGCAGCAGGTAGGACGGGGGAGGCGGTGGTTGACGGAGCAGCGGTCGGCGTTTGAACAGAGCTGGGTGGGGAAGGAGGAGGAGGATGGATGGATCCTGGGCCGATTTGCCAGGACTAGGGGAGAAGTTTAAATCCCCGTGGGGAGGGATAAATGGAGACGGGGGGGCTTGTGGACTTACAGCAGAATAATGTGGGTAAACAGAGAACGGCGAAGATATGGAATGACAAGGTGGGATGGCGAGAGTGAGGGAGAAAAGGAAGAATGAAGAGACCCCTTCGGAGCGTGCCTGGCGAGTGTCACGTCACGGCGCGCGCCCGACCAAGTCACTCTGACTGACCGACGGAGAGGGGCAGATTTGCTTATCATCACGGGGGGGCTTTCGGCCCACACCCCTTATTCCTCATTGAGTATGGAGAATTTCAGATGGTTTATGACCCCAGCCTGTAGAAATGCTGCTAGATTGGTACTAATTACATGATCTGGAGTATCCGGACTTTTCTATTGGTCTAACAACACCCTATAAACACCTATCTCCGTAGGACTGTACGTAAACCCCCCAGGAAAGGGAAAGGGGATGTCCCCTGATGTCTGTGGGTGTGGACCGCCGCGATCATCACGGGGTCGATTCAGGCATCCACTGGCGACGTTTCAGCGAGCGGTGCCTGACCTCGCCGCGACCCAGTGACTGCCACTGCTGATGCTCGCCATCTTCTTCCTCCTCTTCCTCTTCCTCCTCATCCACCGCATCTATCCCGCCTCTAGCTCCATCTGGCCCAACCTCAACCCAAACCACCTTGGCTTTGTCCTCTTCCGGCAACCCAGACGGGAAATCCCGGCTCGTCAGACTTCCCCCAGGTCTCTCCCATGGATCCTTGAAATCCTCCATGGATCAACTTTGGCTAATACATCTCCCCACGCTGGTCGGCTTTTGACTTAGCTGGATGTCCTCTGCTTCCGTTGCCGCACCCAGGATCGCGCTGCACGATCATCTGCAGCTGCTTTCGGACACCCCGCGGCCAGTCGTGATTGGCCGGGCAGAAGCATCATCCATGAAGATTGTTAGACCTGGTCTGGTCGAGGACGATGACATATGCAGCCTGGATCATGACGGACTGGGACGACGCGTCGTATTCGCCCTGCGGCCAGCAGTAGGCCCATGGCCATGCGAGTGAGGAGCGAGCCGGAGTCGCAGGTTAGCAGCCCCAGTGAAGACGCTTTTGCTCCGACGCTAAGCCGGCCCAGGCTATCGTCTCTGTGCTGCTCATCTGGCCGGATATGGACGTGGTGATGTCGGCACGTGTCGGGGGACGTCACGGGACGGGCTGTCTCTCGACGAATAGCGGAGAAGTCGAACTCCAAACATCTCTCTCCACTCGCACATTGTTCGGGGCTTCTTATAGGGTATATACTATATGATGGGATGATATTGCCAAAACCCGTGAGGACATAGAAACCGGCTTCGGTCGAGTTCCATCTCGTACCCGCCCTTTCTGGTGGATTCAACCCCGGCCTTCCCCATCCACTAACGGGGCCACAGTCTGCCCCCAAGTCCTACCCCGGCCGGCCCACTCCGTTCCAGCCCTTGCGATTCGACAGCTACGTGCAGATCACACCCTAGGGCCGTTTCTCTCCTCTTCTATCTGCCTCACGGGTATGGAAGTAACCTAGTGCCATCTCGCGGCTGCGAATCATGTCTCCCGTCGGTCTTTGCGCTTTCTTGGGTATCTGCCCCCCCCCTGGTTGGCTGCCTGGGCTGCGTGCACTCAATTGATACATCTATATAAGTTGCGGTGCAACGCAGGCCTGCTCTCTGTTTGCTCGTTGACAGCGCACGTGCACTGAACAATAGGCATTGCCGTCGCGACCCATCCGGGCCGTACGTATCCTCGACGCCTTTTCCATTCTACTCTTACTTTTTCTTCATCTCCTTCCCTCTTCCATCAGGCATGGACAAGAAGTCCGCGAAGGACCAGACTTCGGACGGCCGTTCCTCCAGCCAAGGGTTCACTCATCATGCGGAGGAAAGCATGAGCGAGAGGGAGCCCTACGGACCCCCAGGTATCCGGGGTCTGATGGCCAATCCCTTTGTGCTTTTGTGCGCTGCGTGCTCGACGCTGGGAGGTCTCACATTTGGGTACGACCAGGGCGTGGTATCCGTCATCCTGGTGATGGACCAATTTCTTGCACGCTTTCCCCAGGTGTCCTCGGGCTTCTGGAAAGGGTTGATGACGGCAATGATTGAATTGGGGGCGTTTATCGGCGCGATGAATCAGGGATGGATTGCAGACAAAATCTCCCGCCGATACTCCATCCTTGTGGCGGTTTGCATCTTCACGGTTGGGTCGGTGTTGCAGACGGCTGCGGTGGATTATCCGATGCTCGTTGTAGCGCGGCTGATTGGTGGTGTGGGGATTGGTATGCTGTCTATGGTGGCTCCGCTGTATATCTCAGAAATCAGTGAGTATTAATCCCAAGTGGTAACGTATTATGTCCGTTAACGCCAGATTTTCAAGGCCCACCCGAATGTCGAGGCACGCTTTTGGTCATGGAAGAGTTCTTTATCGTCCTCGGAATCGTCATTGCATACTGGATCACATACGGCACTAGGTATATGTCCGGCGAATGGGCATGGCGTCTTCCCTTCCTGCTGCAGCTGATCCCGGGCTTTATCCTGGCTGCGGGAGTGATCATCCTGCCTTTCTCTCCCAGGTGGCTTGTTTCGAAAGGAAGGATCGCGGAGGCCCTGCAGAGTCTCTCGAAACTTCGTAGGTTACCTACATCCGATAAGCGTGTCAGACAAGAACTTCTAGACATCAAGGCCGAAGTGCGCTTCCACCAGGAACTCAACGCCGAGAAGCACCCTAAAGTGCAAGGCCCCGGGCTCAAGAATGCAGTGCTGCTCGATTTGGCCAGCTGGGTCGACTGTTTCAGGAAGGGTTGCTGGCGACGAACGCATATCGGAATCATGCTGATGTTCTTCCAGCAGTTCGTAGGTGAGTGTATCGCGACCCAGTTTGAAGATTAGGCTAACTCTAGAAGGTGTAAACGCCCTCATCTACTACGCACCCACTCTTTTCGAAACCATGGGTTTAGACTACGACATGCAACTGTTAATGGCGGGAATCATCAACGTATCGCAGCTAGTGGGAGTAACAACCAGCATCTGGACGATGGACAAGCTAGGTCGACGGACGCTACTCCTCTGGGGCACCGCCTTCATGGCGGTAAGCCACATCATCATCGCATCTTTGGTCGGTGTCTACTCCAACGACTGGCCCGTCCATCGAGTACAGGGCTGGGTCAGCGTGGCTTTTCTGGTTGTCTACATGATCGCGTTCGGAGGATCCTGGGGGCCGGTCGGGTGGGCGTTACCAGCTGGTGAGATCAACCCAACAAACATTACAACTCACGAGCCCAATGTAACTGATGCGACGACAGAGGTCTTCCCATCATCCCTCCGCGCAAAGGGCGTGGCACTATCCACCTGCTCCAACTGGCTAAACAACTTCATCATCGTGAGTCCTGCGCACATACTCACCCATACACTCCCCCCAAACCACAATGCTAACAATCCAGCCAGGGCCTAATCACACCCCCCCTCGTCGAAGACACCGGCTATGGAGCCTACGTCTTCTTCGCCGTCTTTTGTCTGCTCGCATTTGTCTGGACGTTCATGTTCGTGCCCGAGACCAAGGGCCGCACGTTAGAACAGATGGACGAGGTGTTCAAGGACAACTCCAGCGAGGCGGAGAAGGCGCGGAGATGCGCCATTGAGGCGGATTTGGTGAGGGAGGAGGAGAGGGGGTTCGATATGGGAGCTTAGCATTCTACTCTTCCCCTTGTGTTTCTTCTGCTTCTCTTGCTTCTGAGAGCAAATCCACTAGTGGATGAGCGTTCGCTTCTTGTGTATATCATGGTAGCTGGACTGGGCTGGACTGGGCTAGGGTTTATGAATTATGAATTACACTATTATTTATTTGCGGAGCTGGATGTATGTAGGTGGTAGGGTGGGGTTGAATATCATGATGCTGGTATAGGGAAGGAATGTTGTCATTCAACGTACAAGTTCAATGCCTTTACTTTTGAGGGGGGGATGAATGAAGGTAAAGGGTCTTGACTATGATAACAACCGTCAAGGACACCATCAGCCTGAAAAAAAAGACGTCCTGATGGAATACACATTGCTGGTAATATTATGTCATCAACACTGGATGTTTCCCTTCACTTGGTAGTACTACTCCTGTCACTCTGCGTCAGTCCGCTCTTCCACTTCACCTCCTCCCTGTTTCAAAAAGCCAATTGCAAGCCCACAGAGTCTTCATCTTAATTCTTGATCGTCTACCAATTGATCATAGAGCCCAAAGTTGGTCTACATTGCACAGCAGGATTCTGTTCCTCTTCGACCGTTTCTATGCTCTAGTCAGTCGAGATGTTGAGATTGAACCTATGTCCTATGGCGAAAAGGACAACACAATGTGAATGTGCGACGGCCGGAAAGCTCGATCTGGAGGCCTGTATCTCAGAGAAAAGTTATACCACACGGTGGATGGCATTGAGATAAGAGGCCATCCGTCATTCCAATAAAGGCATTGCTCAAAGCTGGTCCGGCAGGCTTACCAGGATATCAAGTAGTGACGTGACTATGGCATTGCAATTGCACCACAATTGCTGCTGGGATGCTATATTAGTGAGTAACCTAGGATCATTGGCCTTGATTGCGCTTTTATGCTTACTATATCGGCTTATAATTTGCTCATTGCTGCAGCCAGGCTGGGTTCAAGTTCTGTTCAGTGGCAGCCATATCACTCACCATAAGAGTCCAAACTTTGAAAACACCCAAAGTATTGATTTTTGCAATTGACCGCCAGCACCCCAAGCATCATGCCACTACCCTGGTACCTGTGCTACGTGACATTATCTCTGTCGCTTACCCCACGTGAGCGTCCAGACAAGCCTGACGCTAAATTTAGTCTGGACGAGTCCTGTCCTGATAAGCAACCTCGCTGACTCACTGACCCTGACCCCAGATTTCCCTTCTTTGCAAACCCATTCAGCAAAAGCATTCCTATCTCGGCTTTGCCTGTTGATTCGGATTATCCTGTCTATCTCACTCCGGAACGGACACCCGGTCTGCGACTGCGACAGTCGAGCCATACCACCGATGACAGGCCACCGTACCAGTCCCGCCCCGGACCAGGTGGCATATTTCCTGCAATCGGCTCTCCAGCTTGTCGGAAAACTGTACGAGATACATGGACTTGACGATGAGCAGGCCTCATTTGACTGGGATGCAAGGAGTGTGGTTGTTCGGTTTGAGGTCCTAAACAGCCAGCTATCGGTACCGTTTCCGGGGCGAGAGGTAGGGCCGTTGGTCGAACATGAGCAGGCTCTGGAGGATATTCGCACGTCCTGTAGAATTATCACTCGCACTATCCTCTCACGGGTGAATATGATACAAACTTTCGGGTCTGGGTATCCGGATGATGTGGGCACTTTTAAGCGCTTCTGGCCGCGGGAAGATGTCGAGGCGTTGGAGGAGCGGTTAGGTACTCTCATGTCGGGACTTGAGATGGGTGCTCAGTCGCTATCGAGGTACGTTCTATAATATGACCTACGAGAAGATAGTAACAGGTAACAGCTTCCAGGCCGGTAAAATGGTCCATACCCGTGAATCACTGGACTCACTCGACGTCGGGGATGAGCGGGATGAACGGGAGCGAGAGGCTAAGCCAGCTGCAGCTCCAAAGAGAACTCCCAAGGGATATAATGTGGTGTCGCTTTTTGATCAGGGGCCTGCCGGCAAAACAGCCAGATCATACACCAAGGACACGGAATTCACGGACCAAGAGATGATCATTCGAGATTTCTTGCTGGAGAGTCTCAAATTCTCGTCAATGACTGATAGAGAGGACAGTGTCACTGTCGCCCATGGCGGGACGTTTGACTGGATATTCTCAGCTGAGAATACCGCTGAACACGGGAAATCGGGGGTGGAGGAGTCGCTCACGCGGTGGCTGTCGAATGTCCACGATAGTGGCATATACTGGATCAGCGGCAAGCCAGGATCAGGCAAGTCGACGCTGGTGCACTTTCTGAGGCACCATTCCAAAACCACCGATCTGCTTCAATCTTGGGCCGGCGACGAACCGCTCATCACCGCCGGCTTTTATTTCTGGATCAGCGGTACCCTGGAGCAACGATCCCAGACAGGCCTCATGCGACATCTTCTGTTTCAATTGCTCGACCAAGAGAAGTATCTCGTTCCTATTGTTTTCCCAGCCAAGTGGAAGCACTATCTGTCTCTTAGCACCCGCGAGCGCATTAGAGCGTCCGTTTCATGGGGCCTTGCAGAGCTCAAGGACGCCCTGCGCCATTTCATGCGACACACTGTAGGTCAAGCGAAGGTTTGTCTTTTCATTGATGGACTGGATGAGTTTGCAGGAGATCACACGGGAATAGTGTCATTCTTAGAAGCCATGGCTTCGTCGTTCCCCCATGTGAAATTCTGCTTGTCCAGTCGACCACTCCCGGTCTTCCGCGCGGCGTTTGGAAACAACCCTGGTCTTGAGCTCCACGACTTGACTCGGCAGGATATGCTTCGCTATGCCGAGGATCACCTTCATGGCAATGCATCGATCCAGACCCTCTTTGCCGGTGACCCAACTGGAGCATCAAGTCTCATTGAAGAAGTTGTGGAAAGGGCGGATGGAGTATTCCTGTGGGTGACCCTGGTAGTGCAGTCGCTACTTCGCCGTCGGGGCTATCAGAGCATTTCCCAGATGCAGGAATACCTGCTGCAGCATCCAGCCGACATCGACGACCTCTTCACATATTTCATCTTCGAGCAATCGACAAAAGACCAGACCTTCCTGATTTCCCGACTCTTCCAGCTCCTGCAAGCTCGAGAGGAGGCATGCCACGCCACCGGGCAAGACGAGTCCGTCACCATGCGCCTGTGGGAACTCGCCCTCGCAGACCAGCTAGACGAGGCAAACATCACCATCCCCGAGGACGTCAAACAAGCAAATGACAACACCATCGCCCAACTCTGCTCAACAACCAAAACCCACTTCTCCGCCGACTGCGCCGGCCTGATCATCACCAACCCCCCAAGCCAGACTACCATTCGCACCAAATCCTCAGAAACCCCATCCCAGCAACTCGCCCAGAGCAAAGTCTCCTACATCCACCGAACAGTGAAAGACTACCTCTCCCTCCGTCCCATCTGGTCTCGCATCCTCTCACTCACCATCGGCACTCCCTTCGACGCGCACCTCTCCCTTCTGATCTCCCACATCCTCCAGCTCAAACACCCCCTCGACCCCTTTCACCCCCACCGCCAAACAGACGAATGGTGGCCCCTGATCCCGCTGGCATTCACCCACGCCCGCCTCTCCCCGGACCCCCGCGCCCAACTCCTCTTCATCCCCGCCCTCGACCAAGCCCTCACCCAGCACTGGTCCTTCCGAGACGACCCGGAAACAGACCACTGGGCCCGCAGCCTGTTCTCCAATTACGAGAAGCGCAAAAAGGCCGTCTTTGAGCGACCCTTCCTCTCTCTCGCTGCCAAATTCGGTCTCCGCACGCTTGTTCACCATAAACTCCAAGACCACGACACCCTCACCCCAGCCCCGACACCATCAACCGAAAACCAACCAGCCCCAATTCCCCTCCTAACCCACCCCCTAACCTTCCTCTCCCACCGTCGCAAAACCGTCTACCCCCTCTGCGACCCCCTCCTCATCGCCTCCCTCCTCGCCCACCCCCACTCCTTCGACCCAAACCAGGTCTACACCGATCTCGACAAAAGGACGTACACGCCATGGCTCCTTGTCCTCGAGAACCTGCGTGAAGCCGAGCGAAGACGCTGGATCAGATACTACGATACCGATGCAGACGGCACGGCGCGGATGGCGCGCATCGTGGAATTGTTTCTGCAGGCTGGGGCGGATCCCAATGCCGTGTTGGTGAAGAGTCAGTTTGATCCCGAAGCGACTGCTTTGGAGGTCATTACTAGTTTGTATCGGAAGTTTGGGGGGCAGAAGTGGGGGGCTTTGAGGGAGTTGTTGGTTGAGAGGGGGGCAGTGGTGAGGGAGAGGGAGGGAGATGGTGATGGGGACGGGAAGGGGTTCTTTTATAGGGTGTACGGGAGTAGAGTACAGTACGTACCTAGAGTAGATATCTGGTCTTACTGGAGTGTTTTGCGCGTCGCAATGTTGCTGACCCTTATGTTGTGTCCTGAGTTGAAGAGCCTGAGGCAAGCATGCTGTCTTGCCTTGCCCTGCCTTGCCCTGCCTTGCCTTGAATGAGACGAGATGACAGATTGGTAAGATGTCTAAAAGCATACTATACATGGAAGTAGTACAAAATGCACTAGACAGGTAGGTAGTAAGCAATACAGATCAATGAACAAACTACGGGGTGGCTTCGCTCTCATCCAAAAATGTGAATATGTAAGTTTATCTCTGACAATACCTACCAACTTAGGACTATAATGCAATGGCTATACTTTTACTCTGAAATGCAACTTCCTTCCGAACCTCTTTTCTCCATGGACATGGAGTAAGTACCAGTAGTCATAGCGTATAAACCATAGACCATAATAAGCCACAGTTGTAACCTCCCTCAGACAAACCAAATGAATCCATCCCCAAAGAACCGGTTCATCGAAATTGGTAGAAACAACTAATGGACAGAATACATAACTAATGAAAGTACCACCCCCTGCCTATCCTCTCATCCGCATCTACCATACCGTCGCTATCTACCCCGTATATACTAACTAGTAATACTCGTAGTACGGAGTACGGAGTAGTAAGTAACCCATCCCATCGGAACGCCCCGCGCTCGAACGGGCGAGCGGAATCGGAAGCGGGCGAGCGATCGGCATCCGAAGGCGAAGGCGTTGGGCGGCGGGGGACCCGAAGAAGCAAACATGTCAAATGTGTCAAACAAAGCAAATATGCGCCGCCGCCCCCCGGTGGCTGGAGTTGCGGATCGCTGATTGGAGGGATTTGGGGGGGTTGCCGTGGGTGGTGGTGGTTGTGCGGGGGATTATGGACTTGTCGGTACTGTCATTGGTGGGGAGGGATTGGAGGGGTGATGGTTTGTAGGAGTAGGAGGAGGAGGAGGAGGAGGAGTACTGTTTGCGGGTTTGCGGTGGGAGAAACTGTCACGGTGGTGGTTTACTTATCCGTACTTTTTTCATTATGTGGACAATCTACTAACTACTGAGTGGGGGGTCGATTATCAATCATAGATATATACCTCGAAAAGAAAAAAAAAAAAAGAAAGAACAATAAACCAAATCTATCAATCATAATATAAACCAATGAAAGACCAACATGCTAGTTATCCCGCTCAAGACCCTCACAAGCACAAAAATAGTCTAAAGTTCTATCATTCCCACCCCTTCCATCAAATCTAAATCCAACCTAAAGCAACGCTCCATTCAACCTCTTCTCCAACGACCCCCTCGCCTCGTCACACATCTTCCCGATATCCACATTCGCGATGACCCCATTCCGTCGATTAATCTGCTCCTCGATCTTCTGGAAGTCGCTCCCCACGCCATCGGCTCGCCACTCATAGCAATCGCCGATGAACCGACTGCTCTGCACCAGCCACTGGGAGCGCTCGCGGCGGTTCTCGTCAAAGGCCGCCAACACGGCCTTGAGATCGCGGTGCGTGTGCACGCGCTCGTCCGTCAGCAGGGCCGTCAGCACGGCCGTGTCCTCGATGCAGAAGCCGGCGCCCGCGCCGTGGTGCGGGGAAGTCGCGTGCGCCGCGTCGCCGGTGATTCCCACCCGGCCTTTGTAGAAGGTTGGGACGGGGTTTTCGCCAAGGTCGAAGATGGCCCACTGTTTTTTTTTTGATGGAGTTAGAATTGAGGGTTTGGTTCTGTGGAGATGAAGACGAAGAGGGAAGATGGATAACTACATACCACGCTGAGTTCCGGGTTGGTCAACTGCAACAGACTGATCACGTTAGGCCCATAGCCTTCGAAGTCGCGCAGCACCTCGTCTCGAGTCCCCTGGCGGGTCAGACGCGGGTATTCCGCCCACTCGTCCGGCGAGGTGTGGAAGGCCACGATGTTGAGCGTTTTGCCCGCGTTGACGGGAAACGTGAGGATGTGGCCGCCCGGTCCCATCTAGGAGAGCATTGTTGGTGAAATTGAATTCACACAGCAGAAGAGGGGGCAGGGGGCAGGGGGACTGTCTTACATGCATGCAGGCGTTGGAGGCCAGCTCCTCGCCGATCGCCTCAACTGCCTTATCCATCGGCACCAGACCGCGGTAGGCGTACTTGTGAGTGTAGGAGGGATTGGCCGAGGGATGGTCCGCGCCGACGATAATCTGGCGGACGCGCGACTTGATACCATCGCAGCCGATGACGAGGTCGGCCTCGGCGTCGGAGCCGTCAGCGAACTTCAGGACCAGCTTGCCGTCGCTCAACCGCTCGTGGATGTCGTCGAGGTGCTTGTTGAAGTGCGAGATCTCCTTGGGCACCAGCTTGATCAGTTCGTTGAGGAAGTGCGCGCGGTGCACGCCGTTTTGGCCCAGGCTGTTGGAGATGGTGAATTCGATGTCTTGCCGCCCGCTGTTCCCGGTGGTGTTCGCGCCCTTGCTGTTGAAGCCGTCCAGGTAATCGAACCAGACCTTTTGCTTCGTGGGCCACAGGTTGCGCGTGCACACTTTCTCGAACGCTTCATAAATCCCCGAGTGGCAGTAGTTCATGGCCTGCACGGCGTTGGGGCTGAAGGACACGCCCGCCCCGACTTCCGCGAACTCGTGCGCTTGCTCGTAGATGCTCACGGAGATGTTGCGGTGGTGCAGGGCGATCGCGAGAGTCACTCCGGCGATGCCACCGCCGACAATGGCGACGTGGAAGTTCTTGCTCGGAGCCATCGGGTGGTTGAGTTGAGGGATTTGGTGTGAGGTGATTGATGTATTGTGTATCGTGCAAAGGGCGCGAGGCTGAAGGCTGAAGCGAGACGCTTGAATTGAATTGAATTGCTGGAGGAGATGTGATGATATGATGGTGTTGGGATAGTTAGGACAGTCAAGTCGCGCGGCCAGGACGCTTTATCTACAAGAGGTACAGACGGACCTCGACGATGTCATTGTAGGCGTGGCGTGGAGTCGGATGGAGGCCAGCAGCGTCGGTTCCAATGGTTAGGGCGTCGAGCCCCATCGGATGCCGCTGGTGATCCCCCGTGGGGGCATCGGACACGGCAGTGCGGCACTGCTGGAGAAGTAGCCGATGATCACACCACAACATCGCAGACCAATATAGATAGCCCTGGAGCGGCATGGTTCTCTACGAGTCCGAAAACAAGCTCGCTGTGATCGGGGCTAGTGTGGAGCTCCGGTGGAGGGTCGTCATTGTTGTCAGACATTATCATCAGGGGCATCTATGATCCGTGAGTTGACAGCTTCGGATGCGAAGGCTTAGGCTTGACATCCTTCGCGTCGCACACACAGGGTCTCGCTGCATGGTTGACATTCGACTCCGTGTGTCTGTCGGATGCAGGGATGAGAGGTGGGCGGATCCGACATGCACCACTGCAGGTCTGCGGTGGTCGGTCGGATAGTAGGGTTTGAGGGCAGTCCGGCGGATGTCAGAAGCCAGAATCTTTCTGGAAGGGAAGAGCTGTCAACGTCCTTCCTTGAACTCTCCGATGTCTTCTCTGGAGGATCTGATGTCCATGACGACCGGATATCTGGCCCGCAGTGCAACAGGGAATTCCCATGTCCGTTGATAGATGGATAGTAGTATTATTAAGGTAGAAAGCAGTGCCTGAACCCCGGATTTCCGACACCCCTCACTTGTGTGTACCAACCAAAACCCATGGAACAGTCTACTCCGCGATTCCAGTCATGAGGAGGGGAGAGTTCAACGTCCAAGAGCAGTACAGCTACAGGGGACGGAAATTTAAGAGTTGAGTTGAGTCAAGTCCAGTTCACTGCACCGGAACAACTGGAATCAACAAGTTACAATCCCAATCACACCCCTTCCGGCCTAGCTTACAGTACAGATACCGCGGAAACTCGGATACAGCTTGTCACGCCGAGTGGGGGACAACGTCACAATACTTTGTAATCCGACGACGGAGTCGAGACAGTCAGCGACTGGCCCATCTCAGGGGTCTCTGATTGGGTACCGTGCGACATCCCCTGCCGGGCCAGCGCCCAATCACGATGCTTTGCGCACTGCATGCTGCCCGGAAAGGCAAGTGACCAGCTGCCCAGTGCCCGCCGACGTGCAATTTTCGAAGCGCCACCGCCATGCAGGCGGCTCAGACACTGGCCGGCCGGCCTGGCGGTTCGAACAATGCATGGTTGCAGTGGTCCCCTGGTCTGAGTCTGCCAGGAGGATGGCCCTCCTGCATGACTCCTTCACCACTGTGTGGGTTGGATGGTCAGATGCAAGGGATCGGATCAGAGAGTCTCATTCTGTCAATGCAATCCTAGGTACCGAGTACCGAGTACCGAGTACCGAGTACCGATCACTATACTGCTAAAAGTATTGAGGGTAGCAGCTGAGGGAGTATAAAGTACTTAGAGTGACCACTGTTCATCTGAGCACTCAGCACTCCACCTCGGCCATCATCGCCATAATCAGCAGGATAGGGCTTGACTCGCCATGACCAGGAGGTTAATCCAAGAATAGAATTTTCTCCGCACGAAGCGTGAAACTTTCAGGCCAGTGCCTGATGGCGGTGTCGGTGAGAATTTCTGACAAGCCAGATAGATACCGGATATGGAGTAGAGGGGGAACCTAGCCATGTGGGTTTGTGTTCATGGATTATGTATGGGCACATTATTATTATTATTATTATTATTATTATTCCTTGCATGTCGAATGGAAAAAAATCCAAGGCCGGTATCCAGCTACTCAGCTAGCGTTGAGGTGCAAACAACCATATCGGCTGAAGTCCGTAGCCGAAGCTAAACAGGCCACAGCAAAGCAGCAAGCAAAGCCCCCCCTCCTGTCCCCGAGCTAGAACCGCTTAGCCGCGTGTACCATGCGCATAGACTTTTTTGCCCCGACACAGGACACAGTATCTATCTATCCTGTTAGTGTTAGCATGGTCAATGAAATAATGGGTCAGGACTCCAGAATTCTAATCAAGGACGGAGCTGTTGCCCTGGATCCTCAGTTGCTTTGTAGGTTTTTACTGCAGAACCCAGACTGCTAGAGAAGTGCTAAACGCGGGATTTCACGGCAAGCAGTTTCGCTTAAAGACGACTTGGGCATCAACCCCCCCCCCCCCTCTCCCACCCCGGCGGAGTGCGAGAGCAACCGCGCCGCCGAGGCACCGCTCTTCTCGGCCGTTGTTGCACTGAGTTGTGCATCCAGATACCGATAGGGACGAGCCCGTACCTACTTCGGACTGCATCCCTCACGAGTCACTCCCGGGAGTATCAATGTGGTAGACTTTTTTTCTGGCCGGTTGCCCCTTTTCCCGGGGAGAATCCGCATTCGCCATTATCCATGGCTATCAGGGGGGGGGGGGGCCCAGCCAGCTTTGCTGCTGCTAACCCCCAGCCTCCCGTGGAATCCGCGGTGGCCACTTGTTTCGACTTTCTCGAAGCAAAAATTTCCCTCGCGGTCATCGCCTGCTAAGGTACACCCGTTTCGAGAGCCCCACCCAGACGGGAATAAGGAACTGGAGTGGCGTCGAGCTAAACTGGGTTCGCCACTAGCGAGCTAGCCCATTCGGGGCTAGGCAACTACCAAAGGAAAGCTCGAGCTGGGAGCTCGGCGCTGGGTTGCATGGAAGCTCGATGTGGGAGCTGGGGAGAGCTGGTGGTTTAGATAGATGGCTAGATAGATAGATAGGTAGATAGAGGGGTAAGTTGCACATGGCCCTTGGCCGGCCCTGTTCGCTCTGCTTGTCAACCCACGTGATCGCACATCGCCCACTGCCTAGTTAACCCGACCCCTCCCTTCCCCCCCCCCAAAGCAAGGCCCCCCAACGGCGCAAACCCCCCATTCATCCGCAGGCAAAGCTGATTATTACAGTGTCCTGCAGCTTGTCGCAAACCCCAAGAATGGAGGGGTTCCACCGGCATTCCCGAAGCGCTGGTCAGCCTGACCGTATTGTACCACGTATGGTATTTCAGCGGCCCAGTGGACGGAAGCCGGAAGCACGGCAGGCGTGGTCAACCAACTAGATAGAAGATAGATAGGGCGCTGTCAAGGCTCAACTACTACTACTCCGTACCCAGATAAAAATGTCTCTTTACTCTTAAAGTAGTCTCAGCTAGGAATCGCACGGATCAAACCGCAGCCATAGTGGAAGCCTACACTCAGTATTTATGTCCCCGCGGAGGAGGTCGGGAAATGGTCTCCCCAATTAACTAATCCCCAGGCCCCCCTCCTTTGGCACCGGTACGGTACCGTAAACTCGACCCGAAGCTGAGCTCGGAGTGTAAGTGTCACAGACCATCAGCAACGCAACTTGACCACAGTCCTTCAGTCGTGAACGCAACCGGTGCGCAGCATCATGCTGATGACAATCAGAGGGAGCTGAAAAGAAAAAAGTTCATACTGTGTACAGACAGCAGATAGTCCTGGGGGGAGGTTCTCCAGATACTGTACGAATCCAAAGCAGTAATTTTGGCGAGGAAGCTGTGTGTCCGTCGTTGTGTGCGGATATCGCGCCGTCCCACATTGGCTTCTATCGAATATTACCTGACTATCGATAGGCATAATCGGCATCAGATAGGCAGGTAAGCCCTGGAGTGCTACTACGAATCGGTAGTAGGCAGTATTCAGTAGGTATTCTTGTTGCGGCGGTACGAAATGGTAATACCCGAGTAGTTACGGAGTAGTTAGCTACGACCTACTTAGTTAGCACATGCTGTATCACGGCCAGGATGATAATGCCTCATAGGGATGGGATCGGACGAGGGGGATCAGAATTTAGATAGATACTTATGCTACTCGACGAGCTACCACCGTAGCACGGGGGAGATAGCTGCCACCACCACCACCATCACCACCATCTATCTATCTAGCTGGCGAGCCGGTGCCTTGGCCCAGCTACAGACAGAGATTGCTAGCAGCTCGACGATAGTTCGTGCTAGGGAGCAAGAGGGATCAGGAGGTGTGTTGCCTCCCCTCCTTAGGTTGCTTTGCCTCCCACCGTCCTCCCACCCGCGGTACGGGACCGAAATGCGAAATGCTGCTGCTGCTGCTGCTTATCGTGTCACCGGATCAGCGTTCTGTGATACCCTTATCCACGGCCAACCCTCTCGAGGTCGACAAGTCCCATCCACCATCCATCCCCCCTCCATGCACCCGGGCGTTTTCTGGATTATTCACTAATCCTGGTCTTCTGCGACGATGGAAGCAGCAGCAGCTCCATGCCACGCGGTCGGGGTGCCTCGGGTTGAACCTCTTGGTTTTTTCTTTTCTTTTTGGTCTTTTGACTTTTTTGGGGAGTTAAGTTAAGTATTGTATGATGTTCGTATTGTATTGATTTGTATCAAGATTTCCCGTAGCGTAAGGTACTACAGCTCCGTCGGTTTCCACCCACTCTTTTGTCTCCTCTGCTGGTCGCCTTTTTTTTTTTTTTTTTTTTTTCTTCTTTTGGTTTTCTTTTGGTCGAAAAATCCATTTTTGCACTTTTTTCCATTTTTTCTTTCTCTCTCTTACTTCATTCCGCCTAGCGCGGTGTCTGGTCCCCCAATCCTCGGGCTGTCAATTTTCTTTTTTCGAGGGCGCTAGGCAGCTTCGGGGCTAGAGGAGCCGGCGGGGGAGGGTGTATGGGCGGTACAGTTACAGAGTTACAGAGCACTAGACTGCTCCAAGAGTCGCAAGACCAAAAGCGAGCTTCCCCTCCCCCTTCCTTTCCTGGACCTCGACGACTTCGATGCTTTAGTTTCCTGCCACTACGCCGGGCTTGCTTCTGACTACTGCTGCTGCTAAGCTGGGAAGAAGGCAGTAGGGCAAATTTGTCCCGTTCTTACTCATACTGACTGACTGACTGACATTCTACTACGACTTACACTTTAATCCTCGTCCTTCGATCTCCTCCTCCATCACGGAATCACCGCCGCCGCCTCTCCTTCTCTCTCTTCTTCCTTCATCGGTCGCCTCTCCTTCACTGCTCTGCTCCGCTCTGCTCTGCTCTTTGTCTCCTCTGATCGCCTCCCTTCTTCAGTTCTGCCTACATCGGAGCATGCGTGGTGGGATTCGACCGTGCCTTTGTGAATTGATCTCCACCTAGTCGCCCCGTGCTCCTCTCCAAGCCTGCTTGTGTGCTGGTACTGGTACTGGTGCTGGTGCTGTGTTGCTTGCTGCTACTTGCTACTTTGCTACTTGCTGCCTTGATCCCCCCCCCGACCAACCCCGCCAGAACGGACCCATGCAGACCATGCCGCCCCGAGCATCGCTGACCAGCTCGTTCTCCGTCACCGACGCCAACAACGAGGTGGTTTGTCCCCTCAAGAACAACGATGGCTCCAATTGTCGGAAGAGATGCCTGGGCGTGAGTGTTCCTCTTGTGTCCCCCCCTCCGTGCTCCCTCCAGCTCAGCTCCCTCCTTATCCCGCCCGATAAAGATCGGAGCCCCACTTTCATGCAATGGTCAGCAAGCAGCCTGCGACGGGCTGGCAATTGGCCCGAGGCATCAGCTGGAAAGAAGAAACTCCTGTTTGCCGCTCTCCAATCCCGATGCTTGCCTCTAACAGGTTTTGCGCCCTCTAGGAGAAGCGCTACCGCTCCATGCAGGAGCACATCCGACGAGCCCACCCCAATCACTACATCCCGAAGCTCCCGGCCACCGAGGAGAGCTTTATCCTGATGGTGACCACTCCTCCGGACCAGCGGGCGCACCTCTCTCCCCCCAATCAGGCCCCCTCTCGGCGACGCAATGGTCGGTCCTTACAACTGGGATTGTGGCACGAAGGAAGCAGGCTGACTGGCTCAGATCTCGCGGATCGGGATATCTACGTCGCGGACGCTAGCTCCCCGGCCACCCCGCGGGGCATCGACGAGGCGCACCCCGCCGCCGCAACAGCGGCCGTCGCATTGGCCCAATTGCACCATAATCGTTTGGCTTCGGACTGGGACACGGACATGGTAGGAGACGGTGGCAACGAGGCGAAGTAGCGACGAAGCTAATCGGAGGTTCAGGAAACCCATTCGGATAACGACCAGGACCGACTGCGATCGATTGAACTCCCCTCCCTGAGGGACCACTTCAAGCAAGAGTCGCTCCCGCCATTCTCGTCCCCTCGCCCGCGGGAGCTTCTGCCTTCAATCTTGACGCACTCGCCGCCCGGTCGCTCTTCGACTCTGCCTCCTATCCAGCGTAGAGACAAGCTCCCCCGTCCTCGCAAGTCTTCCATCTCCGGAGCACGCAAGCCGAAACATGAACGGACCAAATCGAAGGAATACGGTCGGCGCCCCAGTCTAGGTGAGCGCAAGGCACTGTCCGCGGAGCCCCAAACCGCGGCATGGGCACAGGGCAAGCGTTGGGAAGATCTGATTGAAGCAGCCACATCGGCCACGGAAGTAGATGACGACCACCAGTCGGATGTAAGCACTCGACGAGCATCTAATGATTGAGGTCTGGTTGACTAAGTACATCAGGTCGGCCGGTCGCCTACCATGCCACCATTGATTTCCAACATCACGTCGGCCCCTCTGGTGGGACACAACCGCTCGTCCCTGCCCCCGGCTTTCCAGCACTCGTCCGGGCTGCCCCCTCCCGCCTCCCACCGGCCGCCGTTCCCGCCTCACTCGTATACGGCGTCGCCCCTGCACAAGTCGCTGACTCCGCCGCCGTTTGACACCGCCCGCAGTCGCGACAGTGATTTGGAGCCATTCCCGTCCATTGAATCGTCCATCGATTCCGCGTCGTCGGCCTCCGGGAAGACCTACGCATTCTCGAGCCATCTCGGCCATTCCAACCATGAGTCGAGCCCCGTGTTGAATTTGTTCCCCGCGTCTGCGTCCCAGCGCCAGCATCATCGGTTTTCTAATCCCACTCCCGCATCGTACCGCAGCAAGGAAATCCAGATCTACTGTGCCAGCTGCAAGCGGCCGTCGGCGTTGAGTGAGTGCTATGCCTGTACAGAATGTATATGTGGAGTGTGTCGGGAGTGTGTGGGCATGTTCATCAGCAGCCCCCCTGCCTCGTTCCGCAACGTGACATCGAGCCCTGGCAGCGCGATGTCGCACGGTCCGACCGGCTATCCCACGCGGGGCTGCCCTCGCTGCCGCACTGTAGGTGGGAAGTGGAAAGCTTTCCAGCTCGACTTCAGGTGAACCTGCATTGGCAGATGTCTTTCTCTCTTTTTTTTTTTTTTGCAGGCGCAAGCCCAACAGAATTATGTTATTACGGATGTTACGATTAATGGCTTTAGGGTTCAAGGGACCCAGAATTATGGAGCAACGACATGAGCCAAGGACAGCATCTTTCATGGGCAATGAGTATGATGTCGCCCTTGCCTCAGCCTCTGGCTTGAAGGGCGGCCACCATGATGTGCTCACTCCATGAAAGAATTACGAAGAAAAGCCGGATTTGGGGTGTTTTGGATGATATACAATAACGCTGGGCGGTTATATACACATGGTGGCATTGGTGTTTTGTTTTGACATTTTGGTTACGCTTTGGATGACTGCATTGATGAATATATTGGACATTGGTTTAAATAGACGGCGGACGTCCCCTCGTCTCCGGAGATAAAAGTATAGGAAATTCTAGTTTTGGCGAGAAGGACCAGAATATCTACTTATAGGGTCTAGCCTATCAAGCCTGCGCTGGTCCGACAGGTGGTGAGGATGCCAGGGGGATCCGAACGGCCAATAGGGAGGTCTCTTGATCACTCTTCAGAATATACTCTGTACTAATATCCAAGAGAGTATTACTAAATTGGGCCATTACACAACCTTCTTTATCAGACACTAACATTTCTCCTATTTCAATAATATCTTGACAACATGGAAATCGCCTTATTCTAGAGACGCTGGCATAATTATTCCTTCCCCTCCCTTATAACTATGTCACATGAGGCTATGTACTCATGTCAGCTCCCTAGTAGTCGCTCGCTACACTCTCCTATGGCAGACCTCATCATAAACGCCCAAGGACAGAACTATCGAAGCATAATGACGGAAGTCCTTTGCAGGACAAAACTCCATACCGGAGCCCCCACTTATTACTGGTCTCTCTGGTATCTGTGCGTGGCTCCTTCCACCATCAGCAACACGTCTAAAGCTGCTCGCGTAGCTCCTGCCGTCACTTCCTAATCGGGGCTACCACAACCCCTGCGTCCCACACGGTCTGGTCTCATTTCTCCAAACCCAAGGAGTTTTCAAACAACTTGCCATCCTTTTTCACTGATCCACCACGGCGCTTATCAACTACTATAGCTACGGAGCATTCACCATCGTCCCTCATATTAATACCAGTTGACTGCGTACTGATGGCCTCGATCGCTGCGGAATTCTTGCTGAACCTGAACCCAATCGATATGAAAACGCCCCAAAAATAGCCCACGACCGCGATAATGGGCGCTGTGTCGTGACTCAGGCGGGAGAGGTTAACCAGATATGTCACATCTACCCTTTTGCATTGGGGGAGAAGACAAAAGGCGAGCGGGAAAGATTCTGGAATCACCAGATTTTCCAGTCCGGGGGTACAGAGGTGCCCCAGAACCTCTTGTGCTTGTCAGGCCTCGTTCACCAACTTTGGGGCCGCGCACGCCTCGCGTTTGAAACGCTCAAAATGGCAGAAGATGGCAAATCCTTGACCATCCGATTTTGGTGGTTACCGGGCAACAAGTTCCTCCCCAAGGTGCCTCTTTGTGACCCTCCCTCCCTGCCTGCCTCTCTTAAAGGAAGCCCTCTTAATGCGAAGTTGCGGAACTGCGAGACCGAGGAACCCATGATATATATATTCCGGCCACATCTTGACTATGACTACATGTGACCCAGTGGACATGCCCCTTCCTTCGTTCGAGCTCCTTGAGATGCAGTGGATGCTGAACCGCGTCGCTGCACTGTGTGACCGATGAGCAGATGGATGATGATGACTTTTGGTCGAGAGACACATCAGCACTAGAAGCATTTCCTGCAGCGGCGGAGGAGACCTCCGATGATTCTTCTTCTATCCTGAGCGATTATTGGAGAGAAATCAACGGAATGCGTCCATTAGCGTCATTCGAATATGACCGTACCAACAGAAATAGGTGCACAGGACACTGAGATCTCTTCCATCATCATACGAGTGGCGGTGTGGATGGAATGCAAGCCTCACAGAATGTCTTTCCCATTGTCGAGGGACTATATGTATCCAGCGCACGTTGTGTGCATTGAGCAACTTCCCCATCCATCATTATAGTACTGATAGTTCTGGGAGACATCGAATATACCATGGTTTATCAGTACGTACATGTGTAATGATTATGCCACCGTCTACATCTACCATATCATGATGCTGCCCACCAGCCTTCTAACCCAGCCAACCTTGCCCTCTTGTGACTTGGCAACCTCTTGTATACCAGCTTCCCCCCCAAAGAACCTCACCACCACCTCCGCCGCCAACTTGGAATCATCCCCATCGCCATCCACCTCCCCAATCGCCACCACATACCGCGCCACGTCCCCCTCATCCCACCCCTCCCTCCTCGCAAACTCCAGGCACGTCTCCCGATTCACAAACGAATCGAACTCGAAATGCCCCTGATACGTCAACACCCGCCCGGGGTAGTAGAACCCCTGGAGGGGACAATCCCCCGTGGACCCGATATTGATCCACGGCGACGGCACCGCGTCCGCCCTCCCGGCCACCCAATCGCCATGCACCATCTGCAACCGCATCTCCGTCCGCCCCTGCAAGCACGGAAACGCGTCCACGAACCCAGGCGATAGCTTCATCGTGGCCAGTCCGACTTCCTTCCCGGCAGGACAGCACTCGACTCGAAGCCCCTCTGCTGCTGGATCTTCACCCCCACACCCCTCCCCAGCACTCAGACACGATCGCGAAAGCAACGCCTTCGCAATAACCTGATGTCCAAAACAACTCCCGAACATCCTGACATGCGGATACCGCTCAAACACCGTCACGATGAATTCTTCCAAGGGAGAGACCCATTTCTTGTTCGTGTCGTAGGCGGATGCTGCGGAGCCGGTGATGAGGATTCCGGAGATGGGCGTCGCGAGGGGGTTGGTTTCGTCTTCTTCCGCTTCGTCCCCTTCGCCTTCTTGGCTGTTGTCGTTGAAGAAGTGGTCTTGGGACCGGGGCTTTCTGTTCAGACTGGATAACGGCGGGAATTGTCCCCCGACGATGTCGAAGGCCGTGGTGTGGATTTTTGTCCGCTTGCTGTTATTGCTCAGACGCGAGGCCGTATCGTCTAGTAAGCGCTGGAATTGGGAGCTGTAGAGGCCGCGGGAGGCGTAGACGTTTGGGACGGGGACGTCGACGTCGAGGATGGCGATGTGGAGGGGTTTTTTCATTGTAGGGTCTGGTTGGTTGGTTGGTTGGTTGGTTTATTCGGGTGGAGGTTGTAAGTCGATGGATAATAGATGATAGATAGTGAGGGGGGAGAGGAGAGAGAGGGGAGAGAGGGGAGGGGAAGATTGAACGATATAAATCTAGTGAGTGAGTGAGTGAGTGAGTGAGTGGGTGGGGCGGGTTATCCTTATCGCATCTAGTTCCTGTCTTTTACAAGATGGTTTCATGGTCAGCGGTCTGTGGTTGTGGTTATGGTCGTGGAAATAGTTGTCTGACGATAAGTAGCAAGCCAAGTGGAACCCGGATCCGGCAGAACAGGGATCGAGTTACCCGATATGGTAATTTGGGGTGCTGGGGCCGGGTCGGGGCGAGTTTATTTTCGGGTTAGTGGCAGGTTTTGGACATACTTTACTTTGGAGAATAATTAGTGGCTGAACAGAGAAGGTTGGAGGGTGTATTTATTTGCTGGCCACTCACTGGTTGTCATTGGTTATTGGTTATTGGTTATGTTCTTGTGGGTTGGTGATTCTGCTGGGTAGGTAGAAGAACATACTTTATACTTTGTATGTAGTAAGTAGTTTGTTCTTTTGTATCTATCTATCTATCTATCTATCTATGTAGTCCTTGATGATTATGAGTGGTCATGTTTTGTATGAGTGTATGTACATAATCTAGCTATTCCCCCCCCCTTTTTTAATTGATTTTTGCTTCTTGTCTGGTTGCTTCTTCTTATCAATCAGAGCTCCTACTATATTCCCCTGGTTCTTCAATATGTCTGTCTATATGGAGGCGTAACGCTCCACACTCTGGTTTCTTACCGATTGTTGATGATTGAAGCAGTAAATACTAGTTATGATCTTGAGGTAGCGAGTATACCCCTGCTGCCTGCGTCACCCAGTCAGTCAAGGATCACTGTTCTGGCCACAAATAATAACCCCGCAGCAACACAGCCAGTAGCCCACCACAGGTGGATCGTCCACCTGGTATGTATCATCTTATTGGACCAACCTGACAATCCTCGACACTCCGTCGGCAAGTTCCCAACTCCTGTCCCGGACATTCATAGGGCCAACCCGGCGACCCGCCCCACTGTTACTTATCTCCGCCCTGCGTTAACCCCGCTCTATACATCCCTGACCCATGCAGCTTTGCCTCCATTGGGTTGTGTTTCTTTGTTCGTCGCATGACTATTAGTACTGTGCATGGGTTTTGCAGGCTCACTAGTAGGTATCTAAGTTGGCAGGCAGGTGGGTGGGTATAAATACTGCCGACCTCTCCCTCCTCGCCTTAACCTCCCACTCCACAGCAACAGTCTACACTACACAACACCCCCCCCCCAGTCTCCAAAAGACAAGACAAGATACGATACGCGCAACGCCCCCCCAAAATGCCAAAAACCATCTTCATCACCGGCGCGACCGGCTTCATCGGCCAAGTGGTGACCGCCAAAGCGATCCAATCGGGCTACACGGTGCGAGGCCTCTCGCGTTCCCCGACAGGCGATGCCCTCCTCACCTCTCTGGGCGCGACGCCCGTCCGCGGGACGCTGCAAACCTTCGACGTCCTGGCCACCCAAGCCTCTGCCGCCGATATAGTCATCCACCTGGCCTTCGACCACGACTTCAGCAAGCCGTTCGCCGAGCTGACAGCCACGGACATGGCGGCTGTGGACGCCCTCGCTGCGCCGCTGGCGGGAACGGACAAGCCGCTCGTCGTCACGAGTGGGACCTCGTTCGTGAGACCGCACCCCGAGGGGAAGGAGACGGACGAGACTGCGCCTGTGTTGGACGGGCCGGCAGGGCTGCGGTTCGGGGCCGAGACGCATGCGCTGGCGTGGGTGCAGAGGGGCGTGCAGGTCCAGGTCGTGCGCTTGCCGCAGTATGTCTACGGCAGGGCGAATCGGTCGGGGTTTGCGGCTAAGATGCTGCAGATGGCGGTTGAGGCGGGCGAGGCCGTGTATCTCGATGTGGATGGTGGGGAGTATTGCTTCTCCGAGGTGTATGTGGATGATGCGGCGGAGTTGTATTTGCTTGTTGTCGAGGGGGGGAGAGCTGGGGACGTCTGGAATGGCGTGGCCAGGACGACCACCACGTATAGGGAGTTTGTCGGGGCAGTGGGAGAGCGGGTGGGTGTGCCGGTGAAGGGAATCAGCAGGGACGAGGCGCTGGAGAGATGGGGGCCGTTTCTGGCCGGGTTTGTGGGCTTGGTGAATAGGGCGAGTGGCGAGAAGGCGAGGAGCAGGTTGGGGTGGGTGGCTAAGGGGCCGAGTTTGTTGGAGGAGGTGAGTCGCGGGAGTTATGGGGAGGTCGTGGAGGGGTTGAAGAAGGGGGTGTAGTTGTTGTGTAGGAGTGATGATAAAGAACTGTATGGATCGTTTATGTTTGTAATAAGTGGATGTAAATTCCATGATTCTGTCACTGGGCGTTTATTCAGTTTAACCATCTCTACTGGAAAGGTTTCCTGCCTCCTACCAGAGTGGCTCTTTCTTCACTCTGCAGGTTAGTTCTCACGCCGCGGGGTATTTGCTATTTCCCCTGGATGGATATTGTGGAAGATACTTTTATCCACTTTACCACATCCTTAACAGTGGCAGTTTTCTTTATCATTCCACTTCTTCATATGTCTCTGGCCATAGTCATGTCAGAACCTCTGGGTATTACCCCCTTGGCTCACCCAAGAAGCGAAGAAAATCAGTCCATAAGGTCCGACCTGCCAGAGAACCGCTCGACAGTCTGCTTTCGCAACTTTAGACGACTATCCGCGGCAGTGGAACCGATTCGAGATTTGCAGACAAATGACGAGCACGAAACCAACCACACAATCGTTGTCCTGTCATGTCAAGTAACAAAGAGGCAAGGGACCGTCTGTCTGATAACCCCGCAGTGCTTGGAAGTGTACACTTCGAGTTTGAGTATGAAGGGAATGTCAACATCATCGGTTGACTTTGGCATCTCATACTTGCGGTCACAGATATACCAAGGTCTCGAGCTCGTGTGTATACAGCCTAGGGTAATCTTCAGAGTTGTGGGAATTCCGTTCTGCACAAGTCCCCCCCCCCCTATAGGAGATAAGGGCAAGGAGAGAGATGAAACATTTTTTCCACTCTCGCGAAGAGTCCGTCGTGGGCAGCTGATCAGTCGGCCCACGTTAGTTGTCCAGACTCGATATTCATCGTGGAGGCTAAAGCTTGGGTACCGCGATAGATGAAGATATGGACATGGACATGGACATGGGGATGAACACGAGCATGAACAAAGACATGTAAGCGGTCTGCTCAGACACGGCCCCAAGTCAGGGCATGACAACAGTTTGATAGTTCGATCTTTTTCATCCTGGCGGTTGTTCTTTGTTGAGTATCGCAGTACACATCGAGAGCGACAGCTCATTCCATATATGTATCAGTATTTATGATAGCTAGACACATATATTTTCCCTTGGATAATGTTCAATTGGCAAGTGGCGGTATGGTCCCTGTGAGATCAAGCCCGCCACGTATTCCAAGGAACTAGCGCGGGTGAGCTGTAATCCATGTCTGAGGACAAGTAGTATTGATGTGGTGTAACCGAGCCGTGGTCAGGTGAGGGCCAGATCGTCTGATGACGTTTGAGGAAACAGGGATATGATAGATATATATCGGGGTGGTCATAGCTTCGGCGGGTCCAGGGCAGACTCGAGTGGACAGGGAAAATCCAAACAATAGATCATCGTGATATACCCACCAGGTACCGATCGCAGACCTGCTTCTCCGTCCGGATGCCGAGTGGATAAGAATATGCTACTGGGAGAGAATGCGGAGAGGAAGAGTGAATCACAACGGAGAGACAAAGAGTGCCTGGATGCGGAGTGCCTGACGTTAGCGCCCGACGGGTGAGGCCACCGCCGGGGCCTCCAGCCAATCCCGGGCCCCGCCGGGGCTCTCCGCCGCTTACGTACACCACGCTTGTCGTCATGCCGGAAGGACCCAGCCGACATGCTCAGCTCAGCTTACCTCGACTCGACCGTCTGCTTCTCGCTCTATTTACTCCTCCCTTCCTTCATCCATCTCCCATCTTTACCCCCCCCCCCCCCCCCCTTCATCCATCCCGATCCGTTTCCTCCCCCTTCTCCTCTTTGAATGTGATCACCACCCGCATCCACTCTTCTGACCCCATCCCCTCACGATGCGGGGTCTCCGCTTCATCCCCATCATCGCGAGCCTCGGCCTGCTCCCCCGAGCTCTCGCTCGGGATGAACCAAGCTCCGGCTTCACCACCATCCACGAGCCCGGCCGCTGTGCCATTCGCGGCCACTGCGGCAAGAAGTCCTGGTTCGGCGGAGAGCTCCCCTGTCCCGACAATGGCCGCGCAGAGCAGCCCGAAACGGCGGTGAGGCAGAAGCTGGTCGACCTTTGCGGCAGCAAATGGGAGGAAGGCCCCGTCTGCTGTGTCGACGAACAGGTGAGATCGTCAAAGCTCCGGCCAACCCGGTGCCCCTGCTGACCATTGTTTCCAGATCGATGCCCTCTCCAAGAACCTGAAACTCGCCGAAGGGATCATCGCGTCCTGTCCCGCCTGCAAGGAGAACTTCTTCAACATCTTCTGCACTTTCACCTGCTCCCCCGATCAATCCCTCTTCGTCAACGTCACTCAGATCGAGGAGAACAGCTCCGGCAAAAGGCTCGTCACGGAACTCGATAATGTCTGGTCGGAAGAGTTCCAGAGTGGCTTCTACGACAGCTGCAAGAACGTCAAGAACGGGGCCTCGGGCGGGAAAGCCATCGACTTCATCGGGGGCGGGGCCAAGGATTACCCTCACTTTATGAAGTTCCTTGGAGACAAGAAGCTTCTGGGAAGTCCGTTCCAGATCAATTTCAAGACGGAGCCTGCCGGCTCCGACCCGGATGGCATGGAGGCGCTGCCGATCACGCCCAAAGCATGCAATGACGCCGACGAGGCTTTCCGCTGTTCCTGTGTCGACTGTCCCGATGTGTGTCCTGAGTTACCGGCCATCAAACAGGACCAGTACTGTCATGTGGGTCTCCTACCTTGTCTGTCGTTCGCGGTGATCCTCATCTACTCAATCTTTCTGCTGGTTATTGTCGCTTGCTCCAGCTATTTCACCTATCGTGAACGCCGATACCGGAAACCGGAACGGGTCCGACTGTTGCAGGATCCAGCCCCCAGTGATGATGAGGATGAGGGCGATATCGTGCGCGCGGGTGGCTATATCGAGCAGCCCAATGGTGTATACAAACTGAACGCGGTCCTGGACAAACTGTTCAATCGCATCGGTGGTGCCTGCGCTCGATTCCCGGCTATCACCATTGTGTCGAGTGTCATTGTAGTCGGTGTGCTGAGCCTGGGCTGGCTTCGCTTTGCCGTAGAAACAGACCCGGTCCGCCTCTGGGTGAGCCCGAGTTCAGCTGCGGCTCAAGAGAAGGCCTATTTCGATGAGAATTTCGGACCTTTCTATCGCGCGGAACAGGCGTTCCTTGTCAACGATACCTCCAGCGACGGGCGTGTCCTGAGCTATGATACCCTGAGCTGGTGGTTTGACGTCGAGTCTCGAGTCCACCGGATGATCTCTCTGGAACGGGAGCTGATTCTCGACGACATCTGCTTCAAGCCGACTGGTGACGCCTGCGTTGTGCAGTCTTTGACGGGCTACTTCGGGGGATCGGTGGCAAATCTGGATCCGGATACCTGGGAAGAACGGCTGGTGCATTGCGCGGGTTCCCCCGGCGACGTGAGCTGTCTCCCTGAATTTGGACAGCCCCTGCGGCCCGAGATGATCCTCGGAGGGTTTGAAGACTCCAAGGACGTGCTGGACGCCAAATCGCTGATCACAACCTGGGTTGTGAACAACCACCCGCAGGGAACGGAAGGCGAAGCCGACGCGATTGACTGGGAGGAAAATAGCTTCATCCGTATTTTTGAGGTCGTACAAGAAGAAGCCAAGGAGCGCGGGCTCCGTGTCTCCTTCAACGCCGAAATGAGTGTGGAGCAGGAACTGAACAAGTCCACCAACACGGATGCGAAGATCGTGGTGATCAGCTACCTGATCATGTTCCTATATGCCTCCCTGGCACTGGGATCCGTCACAGTCACGTGGAAATCCCTCTTTTCCAACCCCGCCAATGTTTTGGTCCAGTCCAAGTTTACTTTGGGCATCGTGGGTATTGTCATTGTCCTGATGTCTGTCTCTGCCTCCGTCGGACTGTTTTCTGCGGCTGGTGTCAAGGTCACCTTGATCATTGCCGAAGTCATCCCGTTCCTTGTTCTGGCTGTCGGTGTCGACAACATCTTCTTGATTGTCCACGAGTTCGAAAGGATCAACGTGAGCCACCCGGACGAGGAGATCGACGAGCGGATTGCTCGCGCCGTGGGCAGGATTGGCCCTAGCATCTTCCTGTCCGCAATCACTGAGACCATTGCCTTTGGGCTGGGAGTGTTTGTTGGCATGCCTGCCGTGAAGAACTTTGCGGTGTATGCGGCAGGCGCCGTGTTCATCAACGCTGTTCTGCAGATCACCATGTTCATTTCCGTCCTGGCTTTGAACCAACGGCGTGTCGAGAGCCTTCGTGCGGACTGCATCCCGTGTGTGACGGTCCGCAAAGCGCACTCCGGCATGTCCGAAGACCAGCTGCTGGATGAACAGGAGGGAGAGAGCGCTCTGCAGACGTTTATCCGCAAGGTGTATGCCTCGTCCCTTCTCGGGCGCAGGGTGAAGGTGATGGTGGTGATTGCATTCCTCGGCCTGCTGACAGCGGGACTCGCGCTGATTCCCAAGATCACCCTGGGGTTGGACCAACGCATCGCCATCCCGAGTGACTCCTACCTCATTCAGTACTTCGATGACTTGAACGCGTACTTCGGAAGTGGACCTCCGGTCTACTTTGTGACACGAAACGTGAACGTAACTGCGCGGCGTCACCAGCAACAGCTCTGCGGACGGTTCACAACCTGTGAAGAATTCTCGTTACCTTTTGTCCTCGAGCAGGAGTCCAAACGGCCCAATGTCTCCTATATTTCGGGGTCCACCGCGAGTTGGATCGACGACTTCTTCTACTGGCTGAACCCCCAGCAAGACTGCTGCAAGGAGGAAGGCGAGATCTGCTTTGAGGACCGGACCCCGGCCTGGAACATCTCTCTAGACGGCATGCCCGAAGGAGACGAATTCATTCACTACGTGGAGAAATGGACCGACTCGCCTACTGACTCGTCCTGCCCATTGGGAGGCAAGGCCCCGTACAGCAATGCTCTGGTCATTGACTCGAAGCATAAAACGACCAACGCCAGCCATTTCCGAACCACGCACACGCCGCTTCGGACGCAGGATGATTTCATCAAATCCTACATCTCGGCCCGGCGGATAGCCGACGGAATCTCCAAGGAGCACAACATCGACGTGTTCCCGTACTCGAAGACGTATATCTTCTTTGACCAGTACGTCACCATAGTGCAGCTGACGGGGACGTTGCTTGGGTCCGCTGTTGCCATCATCTTCCTTCTCACGTCGGCTCTTCTCGGCTCCGTCGCGACCGGGGCGGTGGTCACCACGACCGTGGTCATGACGTTGGTGGACATCCTCGGAGCGATGGCCGTGGCGGGGGTGTCGCTGAACGCGGTGTCCCTGGTGAACTTGATCATCTGCGTGGGAATTGCGGTGGAGTTCTGCGCGCACATTGCGCGGGCGTTCATGTTCCCGTCGCGGGCCATCTTGGAGAGAGTGCCGACCAAGTTCCGCGGCAAAGATGCGCGAGCGTGGACAGCGTTGGTCAACGTGGGCGGCAGCGTCTTCAGTGGGATCACGGTGACGAAGCTGCTGGGGGTGTGCGTGCTGGCGTTCACGCGAAGCAAGATCTTCGAGATCTACTACTTCCGGGTGTGGCTGGCGTTGGTGGTGTTTGCAGCCACCCACGCCCTCATCTTCCTGCCGGTGGCGCTCAGCTATTTCGGGGGCGAGGGTATGTTTTCCTTGTAGCGGTTTGCGCTCTGTCGTTTGTATGCTGACCTTTCCCAGGCTACGCCGACCCCGGCGCCGACGGCGGACTGGAAGAGAACCTGGCGTCCAGGGGCTACCGCTCCCTGCTGGTTGACGACGATTACGAGTCTGACGAATACTAGACGTCCGTATACAGAGTGTTTCGAGGCTTGACGCGACGAGAGGATGGCTGGGATTGCCAGCCGTATCTATACTTTGCGGGATATTATACAGATGGTCGGGAGTTACCATGGTTGAATGGCGTTAGGTCTGGAACCTTGGGTACAGCGAATTTGATTGAATCCTATGCTCCCAGAGAGGCAATAGTAAACAAACAGGGTGGGACGGCGCCGGCCATATCACACGCGGCCCGCCGGTTCCGGTCTCCTGCAGGACTGAGTAGAGTACTTATGCATACAGTACCACGCAGAATACCCGGATGCCCCCCGACGTGCCGTTCAACCGCACCATCGTAGTGGCTACCAGAAACGCGTCGATGGTGATCTTGCAGTGCCGAAACTGCGGTGGACGATCCAAGTACAAACAAAGTATACTAACAGAAAAAGTCTAAAGTGTCGGGGTGGATTATTAGGCAGCCTCCCCCTCCCCTTCCGGCATGGTTTGTGACGGTACACCGCCCGTACGCATTTCCGGATCAATAGTGCGCCCCTGATTGGGGGGCCGGGCACCCAAGGATACCGCTAGGCCGCGCCAGGCTTAGGGCATACCGGATGGAGCAACCCCCCACCCGGACATGATTTTTTTTTTTTCTCTGGCCTTCCATTTTTCCCCTCCATCTCCTTTTATTTCCTTCCCTTCCTTCCCCTCCTCTCTTCTTCTTCTTCTCTTCTTCTCTTCACACTTTCTTTTCTGTTGCATCTCTCTCCTTCTTTTGTTTCTCTTGTTTTTGTGATACCCGTGAGCTGCCTGTTTGTGTGCAGACAGCTCATTCCGTTGCAGGCCCCTCTGGAATACGAGGACCTGTGTCTACCGTTTTCCCTACCACATAGTTGAGAAGAGTGCATCACTGAGCCATCATGGATCAGCAACGCTTTTTGCAGCAGCTTCAGATCGTCCTGAACCGTGAGTCCAGCCCGCATCCGCTGAGTCTGCTGGAGACCATCGCGCTGACCTGTCTGAATAGCCGCCCAGGGTAACGTGAAGGAAGCCACCGGCGTGCTCCAGCGCGAATTCTACAAATCCCCCGAGTCGCTCGTGCTGCTCATCCAGATCGCCACGAGCCATGAGGACATGAACCTGAGGCAGCTGGCTGCCGTCGAGAGTCGCACTCTCGTCGTCAAGCACTGGGTGTCCGTCCCTGCCGACCAGAAGCCCCAGATCCGGGAGCAGCTTCTGCGTGCCGCCGTCGGTGCGGGCTCGTCCCTCGTCCGTCACTCCATCGCTCGCGTCATCTCCGCGATTGCCAAGATTGACCTGAACGATGGCGAGTGGGCCGATCTCCCCAACTTCCTCCTTCAGGCGGGTAACACCGGCAACAAGGAGGAGCGCGCCGTCAGCATCTACATCCTCCTCACCATCCTTGAGACCCTCGGCGATGGCTTCGAGGAGAAGTTCGGCGAGCTGTTCCAGCTGTTCAGCAAGACCATCACCGACCCCGAGAGCGAGGAGGTCCGCATGAACACGCTCATGGCTCTCAGCAAGCTCGCCATGTACCTCGATTCCGAGGAGGACGTCGCTCCCGTCAAGGCTTTCCAGAACCTCCTCCCCTCCATGGTTGCCGTTCTCAAGGACGCCATTAACCGCGAGGCGGACGAGAGCATCATGCAGGCGTTCGAGGTGTTCCAGACCCTTCTGGGCTGTGACCCCGCCCTCATGACCGTCCACCTCAAGGACCTGGTGGTCTTCATGAACGAGATCGCCGCCAACACTGAGGCTGACGAGGACACTCGTACTCAGGCCATCAGCTTCCTGATGCAGTGTGTCCAGTACCGCAAGCTCAAGATCCAGGGCATGCGCATCGGTGAGCAACTCACCCACACCGCCCTGCACATCGTCACTGAGCTGGGCGATGCCTCCGTTGCCGACGACGACATCACCCCTGCCCGCTCTGCTCTGGGTCTGTTGGACATGCTCGCTCAGAGCCTTCCCCCCAGCCAGGTCGTTGTGCCCCTACTCCAGGCTCTGGGACAGTACTTCAGCAACACCAACCCCGACTACCGCCGGGCCGGTATCATGGCTCTCGGCATGTGTGTTGAGGGTGCCCCTGACTTCATCAGCACCCAGATGAAGGAGATCTTCCCCATGGTTCTGCAGCTGCTCGCCGATCCCGAGCCCAAGGTTCGCCAGGCGTCTCTGCACGCTGTCGCTCGCCTCGCCGACGACCTTGCCGAGGACCTCAGCCAGGAGCACGAGAGACTCATGCCCCTGCTCTTCAAGAACTTGGCCAGTGCCATGCAGGAGTACAAGGGTGAGGAGGATGGCCCGACCATCGACATCATGAAGGCCGGTATCAGCGCCATCGACGCTGTTGTTGACGGTCTCGATGAGAAGGACGTTGCGCCTTACCAGACCGAGCTCGTGCCCATCCTGCACAAGCTCTTCCAGCACCCCGATTTCCGCATCAAGGGTCTCGCTGCCGGTGCTCTCGGCTCCCTCGCCTCCTCTTCCGGAGACTCTTTCCTGCCTTTCTTCGACGAGTCGATGCACCTCCTCCAGGAGTTCGCTGCCGTCAAGGACAGCGAGGAGGAGCTCGACCTCCGCGCCAGCGTCACCGACGCCATGGGCGAGATGGCTGCTGCTGCCGGCCCCGAGCGCTACCAGCCTTACGTCGAGCCCCTCATGCGTGCCACCGAGGAGGCTCTTCACCTGGGACACTCCCGCCTCAAGGAGAGCACCTACATCTTTTGGGGTGCCATGTCCAAGGTCTACGCCGAGCACTTCGCTGCTTTCCTCGAAGGTGTTGTCAAGGGTCTGTTCGCCTGCATTGAGCAGGATGAGACTGACCTCGACGTCTCCCTCGGTGAGGCGGCTAAGGATCTCATCGGTCAGGAGGTCACCATCGGTGGTCGCAAGGTCCGTGTGGCCGATGCTGACGACGATGACGAGCCCGTTGGCGAGGACGGTGAGATCGAGGATGTCGACGTCGATGAGGATGATGATGGCTGGGATGACATCACCGCCACCACCCCTCTGTCTCTTGAGAAGGAGATCGCCGTCGAGGTCATTGGTGACCTCGTCACCCACACCAAGTCTGCCTACCTTCCCTACTTCGAGAAGACCATCGAGATGGTTCTGCCTCTGGCTGAGCACCCCTACGAGGGTGTGCGCAAGAGCACCATTAGCACCCTTCACCGCTCGTACGCCATGCTCTACTCCATCGCCGAAGAGACCGGCCAGATGGAGAAGTGGCGCCCCGGTCTGCCCCTGCAGGTCCAGCCTGCCAAGGAGGTGCAGAAGTTCGGCGAGATCCTCATGACTGCCACCGTCAAGATGTGGACTGAGGAAGATGATCGGTACGTATTGATATTTTTTGTTTTTGCTTTTCTGAACACAGCCCTCCGGGCATCAAATGATGAACACCTCGTTTACCCAGCTCACTCCGACACACAAGTTGTGCATGATGTGAACCACGATTACTCACAAACCTCTGAACTTATTTCATCTCCTGTTTGGTTTCTTGATTGCATTGGGTCGCAGCAGCGCTAACCAAACAATACTAGTGCCACTGTCGCGGACATCAACCGTAACATGGCTGAGAACCTCCGCTACTGCGGTCCCGCTCTCATTGCCAACGAGACCATGCTCCACAACACCATCGCCATGATCACCGACATCATCACCAAGAAGCACCCCTGCCAGCTCGAGTTCGGTCCCGAGGAGGAGACTCTTGAGGCTGGTGAGGAGACCTCCGAGTTCGACTGGGTCGTTGTTGACACCGGTCTCGACGTTGTCTCCGGCATGGCTGCCGCCCTTGGCGAGAGCTTCGCTGAGTTGTGGAAGGTGTTTGAGAAGACCATCATGCGCTACGCTGGCAGCAGCGAGGCTCTCGAGCGTGCCACCGCCGTCGGTGTCATTGCCGAGTGCATCAACGGAATGGGCGGTGCTGTTACCCAGTACACCCCCTCCTTCCTGAAGCTGCTCGTGCACCGTCTCAACGACGAGGACCCCCAGACCCGCTCCAACGCCGCGTACGCCGTTGGCCGTCTGATCGAGCACTCCAACGCCAAGGACCAGATCGTCAAGGAGATCCCCACGATCCTCAGCCGTCTGGAGGGCTGCCTGCAGATGAACGTGTCCCGCCTCCAGGACAACGCCACGGGCTGCCTCAGTCGCATGATCCTCCGCCACCGCGAGAGCGTCCCCATCAAGGACGTTCTCCCCGTCCTCGTCTCCATCCTTCCCCTCAAGAACGACTACGAGGAGAACGACCCCCTGTACCGCATGATCTGCCAGATGTACAAGTGGGAGGACCCGACCATCCGCGAGCTGACCCCTCAGTTCCTGCCCATCTTCCAGGCGGTTCTCCTCGGAGACGCCGACCAGGTGGACGAGGAGCGCCGGGCGGAGCTCGTTGAGCTGGTCAAGTGGCTCAACCAGATGCAGCCGGGCGCTGCCCCCTGGGCCGAGCAGCTGTAAGGCCTCGCGCGACAGCTTGATGACGAATACTACTTAATGGATAGATGGGTCTCTTAACGAGGGCTATTATGGACGACGTTAGACGATACCCCTGGGGAGCCAATGCGCGATGACCCAAAACTGATAGAATATTGCTGGATCTATGATTTATGACGCAAAAGTGGTGTATATATGTTATTGATTGATTGATCGATCGAATATTTTCCTCCGTACACACCCAGTAAAACTGCCAGTAGTCCATTTGCGTAGTTTAAGTCGGTATTTCTTGACACTGCCACCGCACCGTAATCCACCCTCTCGCCGGTCATCCGTCCACGGCGAAGCGATTCAGCCTGTATCACCCACCTTGTACCTGATGTACAGATTTCATCCCGATGCCCTCATGAGTCCATCACCATCCCATTAACCCTCATCCAACCTTCCCCCCTCAGAGAAAAAAAAAAAAAAAAAAAACCACCAGGCGCTTTCAAGCCCCCAATCTCATTCATTCATCAACCAAACCCCCTTCACGCGCCCTATCCACCCGTCACCGCCCCCCGCAAAACCCCCACGCAGCAACAGCAACAGCAACAGCGCATGTACGTATTGTACCTAGGTAAGGTAGTAACAGCGCAACCAGCAGAACCACCGTGAATCATATCTCAGTCACGTCCCCATCTACCCCCCATTCAACACCACGATCCACCCGTGAAGAGGTCTCTCTGGGCGGTGAGGGCAGCCAGGGCGGTCCAGGCGTGGGTATATAATCCCCTGCTCGCGCCGCGGTTGTGATGATTGATTCTTCCTCTGGATTTATTCCTCGGGCAGGGCATTTCATTATTATTATCATCAATTTATTATCATTAGTAATTTATTTATTCTTTGATTTAATCCCTGGGTGGTGGGTTCATGATTAGTTCATTTATGCCTTGCCTTGCCTTGCCTTGCCTCAGGCGGACGTCATGTATGCCTCATCTCATTTCATGACTATGAGAACCTGAAGTTACTATATTATATTAGTATCTGAAGTAATGTCTTACTTGCCTTGCTCACTTGGGTAAGAGGGGGTATGTACATATACCATATACTATATATACCTTAGCTTGGCTTGGGGTAGGTACAATATACCTTAGGTACCTTATCTCAGGACATTCAGGTACCTATATGTATATATATGTATATGCATATGATACATACACACCTTATGTCAGAGACAAATATACATCGTCAGGTACATACACACCTCATCTCCGGCTCAGATATACCTACCTACCCACCCTAGCTAGCTAGGTAGAGACCTATTATCGAAGGTATCACGATACCTCAAACAGAACCTCACCATGTGTCGTGTCCCGCTTGATCTGCCCTCACTCACGTTGGGTGCAGTCTGCCCTGTCATGCCTTGCCATGCCGTGCTTCGCCTCCATGGCTGCGAATATGTGACACCGAGACCATCTCAAACGGGACCCACTGTCGACGTTCAGTCAATGAATAATGAATGTTATGTTATGTTATGGCCACGGTGGATACTGGGCATCTTTACCTTGAGTATCGGTCACGACGACGTTGAATATATTATATTATATGGCGCAACGGTATCTCAGATGATACTATTTATTAGTCGCTATTACTTGGGATATTGGCTCGTCATTCTTATTTCAGATATCAGTCAGTATTATTTCAGATATCAATCAAGGAAGAATAGCAATCGATCATACTTGCCTGCCTGCCTGCCTGTCTGCCTGCTTCGACGAAGAGGCAAATGGCGTTGCGTTTGGTCTTGGCCCGGGCTGGAATGGGATGGCAAAGACTTAGAATCGAATCTGGTTCGAGTGCCTATTCCCTACCTGGGTGGTCAGACAAACTCCGTCCCACGCACTCTGATCCGCATCGTCACAAAACTCGGTGTTTTGAAAGGACGAGGCATGAACCCGGAAGACGACCGAGGCAAAGAAGAACTCTCCGGTCAACGTTTACTTAGTTATGCCCGGCCAAATGAGAGGGATCGTCACTGTATCCCTCCACAATCTTCGTCAGCGGATGCTACTGTTGAAATCTGGATATTGTTTATCCTGCACGTCCCTACTGGACACTTGACAGCTGGTCAGGAACACAAGATTTCAGACCTTATCCAGTCTTTGACAGGTCCTCGTTTGACATTTATAGGACACCGTTACGTGTCCAACGACTCCAGGAACTGTCAAAAGGGATAAGATCCGCCAAGCAGGGCAAGAGGCAAGCCAGGTAGGATTTACCTGGTCGTGGTTGTAGGTCCGGTCAACATATCGATGGACGACTGGACATCTATCCTTACCATTATGCTCTCGGACAAGCTCATTCTGGTCATAACTGGCTGAATGGCCTGCTTTCTGCCAACTCTTGACCTGTCCTGGGCATCTTCGTGCTGTCCCGGAGTATAACCCGTCGACGACGCTATTACTGCACACGATAGTGCTAGTCTGTCTCAGATGAACCCAAAGAAGAAGATAGCAAAGAGGCTGCTGCGTTGGCCTACGCGAACAAATCAGATGGCGAATTTCCGGGGGATGATGGTGTTGCTGGTGCGCTGCGTTTCGCTCCTACCTGCCGATGAAGGTTCTCCGAACAAATCGTCTCGTTTCGTTCCTACCTATAAACCGAGATAAACCATCGATGAAAGTTCTTCGAACAATCGTCTTGCTGGTATGGCGTTGTCCTACGAGCTCGGATGCAGCTACGCTGCTTCCCATCATTCCACTTCGGCGACAGTGAACGCGACTGAAGCCGATGCCGAACTTACTAGGGTTAAAGACTTCAAAGCCGCATGGATTGACCCAGTTCCACGCGGAGCATGCTTGCTTGCTACCCATGGGAAGGATCCTCCATTGAGCATTTTCGTGGCTGTCGATGCGTGCGTCAGTACAGCACAGGCTAGGGCTTTGGGGCCGAATGATACGTTCGACCTCTTGTTTCTGGCGAGCAGTAAGCATATTGCGCCGATGGCATACCATATTATTCTTCGGTGGATTGTTTTCCCTTCCAGAAGAGGAAGCGGGTTGCCGATGGAATACAACTCGTTCCTGGGTGCATTACTGTCCTGTCCAGAGGAAAGAGTTCTCGACGAGCTGGAGCAAATCAACACCAATGGACCGCAGTTCATTTTTGACTGCTACTGTCTTTCCCAGAGGACGGTCTCTCATCATTTTGGGAGATTCAACCAGTCCCACGCCGATGGAATACAGTGCATCTTGGAATTTCTTTACTGTCTTCGTCAGAAGACGGGATTCTCTCATATCGGATATATTGAGTATATTAAATAATCCAACAGTCGGACTGACCGTCTGGGTTATATATATACCCCTTTACTGCGGCAGAGATTCGCTCTTTGCCTGCACGACTGTGGTGGCGGCTTTGGGGGCGCATCTTCAGACAAAGTAGATTGTATTATCTTATATGCTGTATTGTAGGACAGTAAATTTGATGGCCTGGGGACTCTGATTGATGAATTCGGCTGTGGAAAGTAGGTGGAGATATGATCTATCGGTCTTGGAATAGAATTATCAAAGGGATGCAGAAATATATGGATGATTTAACCAGTGGAACTGCGGTTCCGAGTATATAAAAAGAGTGATGGTCGGGCAAAAGGAGCCTGAACTGTAATACGTAGTATGACGTAGCCGTGGAACATAGTATACTTGCAGGGGTTCAGTTGTAAGAAACTTTACCGGATATATTCTTACGTCTAGGGGCTTCGACACTGGTTTGGTCGGCCATCTCCGTTGATGGTGGGCGCGCGTTATTCGGAGAGATCAATGTTAATTGACATTTCGGGAAATGTACTGGAGTATTAGTAGACCCCCTATAACTGCACCATATCAAAGACAACAAAAGCATAGACAGATTAGATCTGTCTATGCCTTCATCAACATCAGGTCAATCCACATCCCCCACAAACCTAAACACCAGCCCCTTCACCACCTCCCCGCCATCCACCAAGCAGATTTCACACCGGACCACCTCATAATAATCGGTCTCATAGGCCCGCAACGCCTCCTCCACCTCCTCCGAATCAACCCTAAACGCCCACCCATCGACAACCGCAGACGCCGGCCCATCAACCAGCGCCGTATACTTGCAGCCCCAGCTCCTAATAACGCCCCCTTTTGTCCTGGCTCGAGTCAACACTGGCATATCATCGAGACCCAACGTCCGTGCCAAAATCTCCGGCACAGCCAGGGTCCCGTAGAAGAAGTACCAGACAGGGTATTCATCCTGCATCGGCAGGAAAACTTCGTTCGCGTCGATGGCCCGGTTCTGGGGAAGGGTTGGGTCGACATCACCGCCTAGACTGGGAGCCGTGCTGTACCCTGATAGGCGTTTTGGAGAGAGGTTTACGCGGATGAAGGTTGGGGTAAAGCCGGTGACGGAAAGGGAGGACGAGGACTGCAGGGCGAACTTCATGGCGCCGGTGATGCTGCAGAATCTTGCGGGGCCTGTTTCTCCGATACCTTCTTTGAGAGTCGGGACGGTTGGGGATCTGGAGAGCCGTTGGACTGTGGTAGGGCTGTCTAGAGGCCCTTCGAGTTTCACGAGGTAGGTGGCGTTCCTGTCGCGAGCGGTGATGGGGTGCTGGATGGGGGGGCTGGGGATTGCGGTGGGTGTAAGGAGGGCGGTCTCGGGGTTGGACTCGCTCTCGGCCGCGATGGCTAGGCTCTCGAGCTCGACTAGAAGGTCCATTTCGATGGGTATGAGCAGAGGACGGGGGAGGAAGAGAGTGAGGGAGAGTGCGAGCGAGGTGAAAGTATCAGGGTGCCTTCTCCTTCTCCCTCAAGAGCTTTACAGTCAGGAAGTTAGTCTGAAACTGCGAGTGAATGAGAGACAACTTAAAGAGAGAGGATGGGAGAGAGATCGAGATGCAAGTATGTCCTGATATATTTGAAACTTCTGACATCATCACAAACCATGGAACCATGCAGGTCATACTTACAACAGCCATCAACTTTGGGGTCTGGATATCCAAATGTTTTCTCATACACTTGAGAATCCTTTTCATGGCGGACTTGCTTTTCTTTGCCTCGGCAAACAAGCCTTGCAGTGCCTTTTTCATCGAGGAAGTCATCCTTTGATCGAGTCAGGAGTCCGACATTTGAGGATCGACGGGTAGAGTACTGTACCTGGACAAATTGCTCGGAAGGAATGATTGTGATGGGCCATGGCCAGCCACGGACCGAGGCCTTTGAGGCCCTCTTATGCCTTGATTCCAGGCAGTTGATTGTGAGGGCGGCTAAGGGAGGCACATAGCCGTTCCCGGCGTCAAAGGCTGGACTTCGCACTGGAAATGCCATTCAAAACAGGCGGTCCCCGGGCTCTCCTTGCAACGATCAGACGTCCCGCCTTGTATGCGACTATGGGTCGCCCACTGTCCACCATGGGTGGGAGAGGCCGAAGTTCCAGCGCGGAGCTGAAAGGTACACCCACCCCCGTTGTCATCCCGAACAATCCCACGCCCGCGTGCTCATTGGCTTCTAGACAGCCGCCAGGAAGACGCCTACTCATACTCTGCTCAGCGATGGGTTTGGAATGAGGCGCAGCAGCTGCGCAGTCGATACCTCCCATTCAATCTCAATGCCCTCGTCCACGTGGCCGAAGAAGCCGCCGGCGACAACGCAGTATGTGTCCAGATCGCCAGGTTGCCGGAAGGGAACTTCAACAAGGCCTTCCTGGCAACCATGTGAACTAATCTTCCGACAGGCAAGGGAGAATCTTCACCTCCCTGTACCAGAAGTACTCACCTACTGTTCCCGAGGTGCCGGGAGTGGGCTGGACGTTGAGTATATCGTCATGGAGAAGGCTCGTGGCATCGAGCTTGCTCGCGTATGGGAGAGCTTGAAACCACGGGACAAACTCTCGATCGTCAAGCAAATTGGATCCATGAGTGCAACGCTCGCTCGAGCGCATTTCCCATGCCATGGCTCGCTATATCTTTGCCAAGACCTGACCGATTCCGAAAGCATCCAAATCGATGGAACCTTCGCCATTGGGCCAACAACTGGGCGGGCGTGGTTTGATGACAGAAGGGGCGAGGTTGATGTCCATCGGGGCCCCTGTAGGTTACCCCCTATTGATACAGGCGTGGATGCTCTTGAGTGAAAGCTGATCGCGTTGCGCACCAGGGACTAGCACAAGCCTTACCATGAACGCCCTCGCCCGGCGGGAGACTGCCTGTTTAGATGCATTTCCCCAATTCCCCAGAGACACCCAACAAGGGATTTTCAACGGACCCGGTGGGTATTGGCCAACCAGAAAGGCCAAACTATCCGTTCTACAGGACTTTCTCAAGATATCTTCACATGTTGCCCCTAAAGATGATGCCCTGAATGCCGGTATAATCTGGCACAATGACCTCCACACAGACAACATCTTCGTCGATGAAGCCAATCCCACTCAGATAACCGCCATCATCGACTGGCAAGGTGTTCCAGTGTATCCGATGTTCCTGATCGCGCATCATCCGTCCCTCATAGAGTACGATGGTCCAAAGCCAGAGAGATTCGTTCAGCCTCGGCTTCCTGGAGACATCGAAGACATGAATGCCGGCGATAAGAAGGCCGCCAAGCAGCTTTTCCTTGCGCAGACGCTTTGGCTCTACTATGAGACACAGGTCAATACAGAAGCCCCGGATTTGCTTCGTGCGTTCAAGTACCGAGATACCGTGCAGTGGGAGATATGCAGCCTAATCGGGTCGATTTTCGATGATGGGGAGCCCTATGTCCAGAAGGCACTAAAAATCCATGCGATAGACACACTAATAAGCAGTCCACTTTTCAAACCACTTTTTCAAAAACGCAATTTTCTCCTGGCTAGCCACCGCCACCGTCTTCCACGAATCACCAACCTCCAAGACGACCGGGCTCTCCGCGCTATTGACCGGCCACTCTTGCAGGCCGTCCCCATTCGGGTTCCCGGACCGGATGAAATTCGCCCAGTAGTCGGACAGCTTGTCCGCAATAGCGTAGTCCGCGGCGGCCCAGGGCTTGTCCGTAGCGTACAGGTTGTTGAAAGCGTAGTTGATTTCGCTGCCGTGGTAGGCGCCTTCGTCCTGGCCCGGCGGGGAGTGCGTCCAGTAGTAGGTGTAGGTCTGGTAGGTCCCGTTGCCGGAGGTGTTGCGCGCGGAGCCGGTGGCGTATTCGTTGGCCCAGAGCCAGCTGGAGATGCGGGTTTGGTCCTGGTAGAAGGCGTTGCTGGCTGCATCGGCGCTGGCGCTGCTGTTGCCCCGGGGGTACAGGGCGAAGAACTCCTCTGCTAGACCGACACTGCCGAAGATCTGCTTGTTCTGGGCGAGGTAGCTGCTGGGGGTCAGGCCGGGGTTGGGGCTGGCTCCGTTCTCGTCGCGGTTGCCGCCGGTTAGGACGGGCGCGATGGAGTGGTTGCCGCGTAGCAGCATCTCGTGGTACGTGGCTGGGAGGACATAGCCGTCCAACACGGGGCGGAAGAGAGGTGGCTCGGAGTAGATGGAGCTGTTTTGGAAGACGGTGCCGGCGTAGGTGTTGTCGTTCAGGTCGCTGCCTTTCAGTAGCAGCTCCACCGATGCATCGCGCGCCTCGGCGATGCTGTTCAGGCCTAGGCTCTCGAGGAAGGCGACCCCTTGCGTCTCCGCCTCAGATAGGCGGCGATAGCTCTCGGCGAGGCTGCCGATCAGTGGGTTCGAGGGGTAGATGGCCCCGCTCTCCGCGATCACCTGGGTGAAGAGGTCATCGGCAAGCACGCTGTTGAGGTAATCGAGGACCGAGGCTGCGCCAGCAGACTGTCCCCCGATGGTGATGCGAGTGGGGTCTCCGCCGAAGGAGGCGATGTTCTCGTTGATCCAGTGGAGGGACGCCTGCTGGTCGATCAGCCCGTAGTTACCAGAGGTGCCGCTGGTGGAGTTTGCGCTCAATTCCGGGTGCGCCAGGAAGCCCAGAGCGCCGAGTCGGTAGTTGATGGTGATAACGACAACACCCTTGGACGCCAGCCCGGCGCCATCGTACAGCGGGTCACTCGCAGCCCCTGAGGAGAAGCGGCCGCCGTGCATCCACACGTAGACCGGGTACTTGCTAGCCGTCTCGGCAGGCACGACGCCAATGCCAGTGACCGAGTTGTTGACCACATTGTTCAGGGTTGCGGTGTCGGGGGTCCATATGTTGAGATAGAGACAGTCCTCGCTGGTATTGTCCAGTCCGGGCTGTGGGCAGTCCGGCGCAAAGACCGTCGCGTCGCGGATACCTGTCCAGGCCTTGACGTGCTGCGGGTGATGCCATCGCCACTCACCCGTCGGTGCCGATGCAAACGGAATGGCCTTGAAGTTGTAGACGGAGTTGATATACTGGGACCGGTTGCCCTGGATGGTGCTTGTGTAGGTATCAATAAAAACAGTCGGAGAGGCCGCGGATGCCGCCGCAGAGCTGGTGCCAGTGCCAATGGGCTTGCCGTGCACCAACCCGGCAACGGCCAGGTTTAGAAGAAAAAGCCCCAGGGCCATCTTATGAATAAACCAGAAGCAAAGAAGGGAGGATGATGTTGAGTGCCGTGCTTTCTGAGATCGGCAGCCTCTCTGTTTATATATCCGGCGCTGATCCCTCCCAAGAAAGGTTCCTTATCCCCGACCCTGAGCCGCACTTCTCGCCAGGTTGCATACCCGGTCAAAGTACCCCGCTCCAAGCTCGGTGTGCGTCGTGACTTTGGATAGATCTGTGTCTAGTTTGGATAGACTACTGCAATCCGCTCAAACCCATCACATCCGTAGTGGCATCGTGCGCGGACATGCCCGCCTATTGGCGATGGCCAAGAATACCACAGCTGTTTTTCCCCAAAGCCACGCTGTGAGGGAACTAGATTGATAGTAACGCGGAGGAATCGGGGCTTGATGCAAGTATGCTCCGGTTTCCTCCATGAATGTCTTGCATGCATGGCGAACTCGGACCTCGGGATTGTATTCAGGGACGCGAAAAACCACCCTACTGCAATGCAACATAGATATTCCGGCGCTGCGCTATTGAAAAGCGGGCCGGGGCTAGATCAGCCACAAGCTGGAATTCAACTTTTGCATATGGGCGTATTTGGAATACGCAGCCAAGATCCGGCAGTCAGACCAAGGAAATCCTCATCATTTAGGGTTGTCGGCGATCAGCGGAGATTTGGAGAGGGTGCGGGGATTAGCGTCGGGTTGGCTTCCCGCACACGGTTAGAAAGCACCCGCCTTCTCCGAGGCCAAGGGGGCGCCCGACGGCTAAACATCGCAGGTTGGGATGCTGTTTCACCCAGTCGCTAACTCATAGTTGGAGGAAGCTGGCGGCAGACACCTCTTGTCCGGACAGGGTCTTCAGGAAACCCTGGAGAGCCATCTGAGATGTTGGCTGAGCGATGGCACAGCTGAGCTGAAGGTCAATCCTGCCGAATATCATGCAGGTCTGACTGTGCAGCGTTGATCGGGGCTGCACGCGTGTATGAATCATATCTGAGGCAAACCTGCCAGCTGAAACATATCGTCGAACGGTGGAGCAGAGCTTGTAGACTAGTAAGCGGGTTGAATATGTCCGGTTTCAATCTTACGAGTCTCTGCGCTATCGCAGGTACGCATCGATTGTTCCCCTCATTCCCTAGACTCGGCGGTGAGCTATGGTTGGTCCAGTGACGACAAAGCTTGGGTCTCAGCTGCAGCCACCGTAGGAGGAAGCCGAAGTAAGTGGTCTAGGTAGGTGAAGGAAGGCATCACATGGCCTCAGTTACTTACTCTCTACCGCTTGAAAGGATATCTTCGACCATGATTCATAAGCCAAACACTTTGGGATAGGGTGCATCCCGGCAAACGGGTCAGTGCAGGGCAAACTGTCCTGAACTGGGTGGTCCCACGAGAAACGAGGGCAGGAATAGGGTCCGGCAGGAGGAAGATAGCCGGTGTGGAGCGGGAGGCGCGTCCGTGCGAGAGCGAGTCCGCAGTGGCACGGACGGCGCAGGAGCGGCAGTCCGGGTGATGTCCTCGGTGGCTGTTTTATGACCTATTTGGAGGTCTTCAGATGGAAGATTAACAATGCTCAATGTTCGGCCTGCGCTATGACGGCACTTGATGGCGACTTCCTGACCACCCCGCATCCATACTAAGCCAGTTGAGGTGTCGTTGCACAGATATATCGCTGATGGACCGAGGAACTTCGCGAACACGAGACGGCAGTAAATAGCTGCGTCGCCGAGGTACAACCAAACTGATTATCGTGCACTTTATGAAACACATGTCGGTGGCTATTATTTCAGGACGCATAACCACACTGGGATTTGTGAAAGAGGAGGTAGGAGTCGAGGGGTGCACCCCTCTAGGATTATTATGCTAGCTTCCGTCGTCGGTGTAAAGTGTCCATTTATCTGCACCAAGAGGTTGCGTGCAACTAGCTTACTGTGCTGATTTTGAAAAACGGAATGGGTTCTTACCATTAATTCCCCATAGCGCCTGGAAATTCCAGGTGTATGACCCCAAGAGGTGAATGACTGTGCTCTGAGCCATGGATGGTGGTCGCTTGAGCTGTACCTAGGAGGTCCTAGACATTGACTTGATGCTACAGGGGAACAAGATGTCACAGCGGCTATGATAATGTCCGGACAACCGTTATACAGGCTGCAAATGGCCGTTAGTTGACTCCGTCCTGACCGGGGTTGGAGCACGAGGACCGCGCAGCGGAATTGTGTGGGTCGATACTAGGGATGTTTGGCAAAGCACGCATGTAAAGATTTTAACTCCTGAATAAAACCAAACCTGACAGCGTCTTCCCGGTTTGTGAGTCGTGGATAATCATCCGCTGCGATATCCGGCTCCACCGTCCCCGAAGATTGTTGACAGGGAGAGCATTGGATTGGATCGGAGCACGTCTCATATCTGACGTCCGATTTCCAACGGCTCTGTTTCCCGTTCAATGGTAGTGGTCATAAGCCTAGCTTCAACAAGGCCGACTGGATGTCCTGAACAATGTGGCAGCTCTGTATATCCGAACAGTAAAATTCTCTGTATTCGGGGCCAGGTCGTCCCCTTATATCCGCAGATAAGAGAGGATTATAATCACGCCGCTCGTCTTCGACGAACGAACTAGGGACCATTGGCGCTGCAGATTGTCGCAACGGTGATTGGGCCCCTGAAAACTGTCTCTTCTTCTACAAGTCGGAGAGGGATGTCCACACATTTTGCTCTTATCTCGCTATTCGGATGACCTGGACAGGTTACAGTAGCCGTGGTATCGGTCGTGGCTTGCTGCATCAGGCCTAATTGGGCTCGTGGTACAAGTATTCCGTACCGTTTTATTTTATCTTGTGCTATTAGCATGTCGTATAATTCGAAGTGAGGATGTGGGTGACATGGTGTTATCTGTTTTCTCTGCTCTCCGCTGGGATCAAAAGAATGAGCGGCATCGCCATTGCAGTTAAAAAGCACGCGGTGCAGTCAAGATTTCCGCTCAGGAGTCACATTGGTCTATTGCTGCATTTGAGGCGTCAATCCTTTCTGCATATCGATAGTTTGGATCAAGCTTCGGAGAAAGATAATAATATACAATTTCATCGTTTTTATGCTTGGCCACAAATGAGATGATAGTAACTTCAGAGGCGTGGCGTGCCCAAGATAAAAATGTGCGTCATCAGACCCGGCTCTTAAACCTTCATGACGATACTGGGTTCTCAGAACTTACCAAGGGGGCCAAACCGCGAACAAAAGCTCGGCTGGGGAAAGACTGTCTGTAAAATGTGGGCTTCCCTGATCTATGATCACCAATTCAGGTTGAGGAAAGTCTAAAATTGGCCTGTACCTAGCCTCTTCACGGGAAGTGCAGTTATCGTCCTCTGTAACTGGCCGGGTCGAGACAAATCGCCACATTTTGTACAATCAAAGTCATATGCACAGATCGTGTACAGCAAAGAGGCTAATTGGCTTGCAATACACCACAATGGTGGCTCTGCAAGACAGTCGAGGGGATCTTTTCGTGGATTATATGACAGTCCTCATGCCACGCCGGTCCATTAAGTGTCATTGGTGAATATTGCATGCTATTGAAAATCTCATCATGCCTTCTTCGACTGTTAATCTTCTATCTTCCGATCTCTTCAAACACCATTATGGGTCAGATCCGCAGGGCAAACACTTAGAGCGCTCATACCACCGAGCCAGAGCTGTTGCTCGGCACTGGGGTAGGTCTTCACTTGGCGATGCAGACAATTCTAACAGCAATCAGGACTGACACTCGATGACATTCTCAGTCTCACGCCGAGATTTTGGCATGCCCACACCGATGGCATCACTCTGCGGGATACGGTAGCTCACACCATATTCACCATTCACTACAATCTTGTGGCAGGAACCATAGCCCCGTATGCTCTGGAACGGCCGGACCTCCAGCCGTTGATGAAGCAGATCCTGCATTTTGACGTTGTGTATGCTGAATGTTGATAGAATGCAAATCCCTGCTGACACGTACCAGTGGTGGCTATATGCTCAATGAGGTTGGACATGGATGCGATGCCAGAAACATCGAAACAACTGCAACTTGGCAGTCGGACGGGGGTTTCGTCCTGAATACCCCAAGCCCAAATGCGAGAAAGTATGGCACATACCTTCCTGGAACGATAGTATATTAATTGGCAGATTCATGCCACCGACAATTCCTGTTGCAGGGATCCCCCGGATTGCGATTGTTTTCGCGCGTCTCCTGGTCGAAGGAGAGGATCGAGGTATCCGCCCGTTCGTGGTGCACATTAACAATGGATGGCAGATGCGTCATGGAATTAGAGCATGGTTAGTGCCAACAGCTATAATGAACCTGTCAGATTTGACACTTTTAGGCGTCTTCCTGTGATTGCATCTGGACGGATGCTCCACCACGACCTTACATCCTTCAGCCATGTCCATCTTCCGTCAACCGCCTTGCTTGGTAAAATTGCACGGCCCAGCAACATGCGAGACCAGTATCTGAGTTCCATTCACCGTCTGAGTGTTGGAGCAATAGTATTAAGTCTGTGGGTGATCCCATTTCTGAAATGCGCTGCATATGTTGTAGGGAAGTATAGCCAGCATCGCACAGTCCAGCAAGGTGTGCGCGGGGAAAGGGTCCCAATCATTACATTTAGGACCCAACAGCTCCCGATAACACACGCCTTGGCTGAGGCGGCAGTGTTGGAACCGTTCGCGGATTGGATCGCTGCACAGCACCGGAGTCCTTCACTCAGCCCCGCAACCAAACATGGCCTCAGTGTTATTCTCAAGGTCATCTTCCTTCAAAACGGTCGCGGTAGCTTAAGCGAGTTGATTGAACGAAGCGGTGCACAAGGCATGTTTCCCGATAACGAACTCATTAAACTAGAGGTATGTCATTGACGTAGATCTTGCCCTGGATACGCGACTGATATGTTTAGTCTCTAACTCGCATCGTCGGGATTGCAGAAGGGGAGGTACTGGTTCTTTCCATCAGTGAGCGCTGTTTAACTCATGCATATGTTTCTCCGTTGACCGTTCATCAGGATTCGCCACTGAGATGCTCCTCGGCCGATACAGCGTCCCCGACGCAAAGAAACCGGGTTCACTATTAGCACAGCACGAGACAGGGTTCATCGGGGAGCTGAGAAAGCTCCGGCAGAGCTTTAAAGAGCACAGAGGAGAGGACTATAACCACTACCTCCTACCCCAATGCCGTCCTATGGTTTTGGCCATCGGACAGCGGATGGTGTATGAAGCAGCAGTGGAACGAGGGGTCGATCGCGACCTCTTGGCGCTGTATGAGGCCGGGGCGGTGAAGAGCGACTCGAGTTGGTATGTCGAGCAGCTGGGGCTGAGTAGAGCTGCTCAATTTGACAGGGAGCGTCAAGCGTGCGATGCGGTCATGGCGCAGCTGGACAGGCATTTGGATGGCCTGGACATTGAGCCGTATTGCACTGCGCCGATGTTGTCTGCTTCGAGATGGGATCGGTTTCTCAATTCGGCTCCACTTTATACAGGGTATGAAAACTCGGGTGGAAGGGCTGAGGCAAAGCTTTAAAAGCCAGTGTAAGATTGCCTGTCAAACCATGTATCACATAGTATCACACCTATCTTGGTGTCCGGACAACTTTTTACTCGAGTGGTATTGTTGTTTCAGACTATTCAACAGAAAGGGGTACCGTTCTAGGTAGAACGGCACCGAGACAGCTTTCCGGTCCAGGTGGTATACCTCTGCAATGCGACAAAATTAGAAAAATGGGACTGAGAGTGCCATGAAGAGAGAGAAGGAAGAGAAAGATGGAGGGGCATGAACAGCGGAATGAACAGCATGTTTGGCCCGTTTGCACCAGTCCCTGAATCTAGCCTGATCCAGCGTAGTGGCGCCTTACTGCCTAACAGCGACCCTCCCGCTAACCGCGTTCAGCCTAGGGGGTAGTCGAGCTGGCCGATGACGTTGCTGCCGCCCGCGCCTCTACTTATTCCACCTGCCCAGGTGGTTCCTGATCCTCTTCTCTTCCCCATCCTATCTCCCCCCAAATCAACTCAACCACGGAGTCCACTCATCATCTCCTCACAATGGCAGCTTCCTCGATCTCCTCCCCCATCAACTTTACCCTTCCGTCCTCCAGCTCGGGCTCCTCCATCAAGAAACCCATTCAGACGGTGTCAAAGCCGTGCTTCGGCTGCGATTGCGGAGATGAAGCGTGCGATTGCTGTATTTGCACGGTGATGTGGTACGTCTGCTTCATGTGCATTGATGTCGTGGGAACGGTCACTAATGTAATTGGTCACCAGAATTGATTTTAATTGCGTCCCTCACGGAACACCTCCCCTGCGATGTCGAGATACTCGAACGGATTCTTCCTCCTTCAACTACGTCACCGACTTTGCACAAACTCAGCGATATAGTCAATTTTGCATAGCACCATGTTAGTGTATGGATAATTAATCGGAGGGCACTTACACGATTGAATAACGAGTGACGAATACGACTACCTATTTTTGATGTGATGAATAGATATCCGTCCATCTGCTTGAGTACTTTTGGTGCACACTAATAAAATAAATTCAATTCAGAGGGTCCTTCAAATTACACCATGTCTTTCACTGTCCAGTCGGCTGCACACCCTATTTCCAAGTCGCAATATTCTTCCGCACAAACTCCGCCCAGGTCGTAGGCTCCGAGTCAACAAGCTTCAGACTAGGCTCGAGGGGTTCTCCCAGATAATAACCCGGCTCTTCCACGAACAGGTGATTCTCGAGGAATTCATCCGCCACCGCAGGGGAAAGTGCGGCTTTGTACTGCTCCGCGGAAACCTGAATGAAGACCGCCTTCTTGCCCGAAACCTCGGAGAAGATGTTCACAATCTCTTCGGGAGTATAGTACTTAGCGGCGGCCAGAATTTGCTTATTCTTCAGTTGGTCTGCGTGCTTGATTGCTGCTTTCACGAAGAGGCCTGGAATGATACATTAATATCTTACAGTGGCGTTGCAGGACAAAGAGACATACCGGTATCTTGCGCGGCATCAAAAAGCGGGAACTGGGCCTGCTTGCCAACCGGGAAGAAGAGCTGGTAACTGCCGTCCTCGGCGCGCCTGAGCGTCTGCTTCAAGTTACTCATGTAGTACCCTGGAAGGACGAAGCTGCATCCGACTCCCGAGGCACGGATGTACTTCTCCACGTTGGCCTTGCTGTCGAAGTGAGGGACGTGGCTAAGGCGTCCGTTGGTGTTCTCCTTCACGTGGTGAAGGGACGAGAAGATCAGGTGCGAGACGCCAACAGCCTTGCAGACATCCGCGACGTTCTTGCCCTGTGAGTATTCGACGTCTGCGCTCATCGCTTCCCAGTAGTTGGTGACGAGGAAGACGGTGTGGGAGCCCTGAATGGCTGCGGTGAGGGAGTCGATGGAGCTGAGATCGGCCTGTTCGGTTGCGTGTTAGTAGTGAGGCTTTGATGCTAGGAAAAGGGAAAGACTTTGGGTAGATTCATACTGTGACAGCCTCGACACCCCGTTTGACCAGCTCCTGGGCGGACTTCTTGGTGGCGTCGCGCGTGATACCGCGGACCTTGAATTCCTTCGACAGCTGGGGGTCCGCGAGGATAGCATCGACCACGGAGCCACCCTGGTTGCCGGTAGCCCCGAAGACAGTGAGCAACTTGGACATGGTGGATGAACGATTGATGGTGGGTGTGATCTGGGGGATGCTATGAACAACGATGTAGTGATTTCAATATCTGATGATATCAACAATCAGACACTTGAGGGTTCCACAGTTATATACTGCAAAAATGAATCCGGACTGCCCAGCAACTACTAGAAACTACTATATTGACAACAAATTGATAATCTCGGTGTCAAACTGTAGACCGAGAGCCGTTGTTCTGGAGACAGACAGACACATTTGTCAGATCGGAAGATCACCAGAGGGCGACGGATCTATTTTTGTAAGCCCTCACATCTATGATCAATCGCAATGATGTCGTCAACCCAGAACCATGGGCCGGGCTGCGGGGCAGGCGGGGCGGATGATTAGTGTTCGGCCCTGGGCCAACGCCCGAAGGCCGAGCTGGGGTTGCAGCTCATCGTGTCATTTCTCTCGCGGTCCGACCGCCCTCCTCAGATCGTGCTGACCTGAGTTGGCAAGGTAGTAAGTATCTGGAGATGGCGTAGCATGATTATCTTCCAAGTGCCGAAAGCTGCATTTAATGAGCCTTGTCCCTTTGCGGGTCGTCGCACTGGTGAACCTTGTTATGCCGGACTTTTCTTTGGTGCCAGTCATGATAACTCCGAGGGTGCAGCAGATTTTGTATGAGGGAAAATATAAGAAGTAAAAAGCGAAGGGAAGTTGAAGTTCCCGCGAGGCTGAAAAGAAAAGTGCCTCCAAAAGCTAGAACCAGTACACCCCATCCTCTTTCATTTTCCCCCTCCGCGCCAAATCCTGCAAGCAATCCACAACTTTCTTCCCAGTCTGTTCGCCATATTCTACCCCAATCTCCCGTCTAGGTTGCCGTGGATCAAAGTCCTTGCTTATGTCGTGACGCAGCCACGGGATCTTGCTCTTCCCTTCGCAGGCACTTCGTAGCTGTGCGAAGTTGGCATCGTCGTATCCACCTCCGACCACGACCGCTGCGGCCCTTTTGCCGTACTTTTGGGTTCCGAGATTTGCGGTATCCTTGTAGGGAGGAGGACGTCCCTCTATCAACGATGGAATGTCCCTCACCCCAGCCTCGACTGACTGGATAATGTGAATCGCTGGAGTTTTGTCAGCTATCGGAACGATGAGGTTCATCCGCAGTTCGAACTCGATAGCTCACCTTCATATACCGGTCGGATGCGATTAATGACACCAGTGGCAACCTTGGGGGATTTGCCGCACACTATAATTGGGATAGGATTCATGATGCTTTTTGTTGGGGGGAGTTGTGAGATCACTCAGGTTGCATGGCATGTAGGGAGGAGAATACCACAATGCCGGCGGATCCCTTCAACAATAGTTAGCGACGACCCCCCTTGTCTGACTAATTGATCCGCCGTTGGTATGTCGTCCAACTCAGTTATGCTACAGCTATCGTGCGGGCTTTTAAAGACTATAAATCGGGCTCAGAATTGCCCTGATGGATAGTGAATAACCCCTCTTCCCTCTCCATTCAACTAAGCTCCTGAATGGAAACAGCGATCCAGCTGGTCTGAGCTAGCAAATTCCGAGCCAACGGTGCCAACGGTGCAAACGGTGCAGATAGTTTAATAGGAAGAAGGTTCAATAATATCGGGCCATATCGGGCCAGGGTCGGGGGGCTTCCCGGTGGGTGCCGCAGAAGTCCGCTGACTAAAGGCCCCGAGCGGCACTAATTAACTAGCGCGGGAGCTTAATTGGGGGCGTTTGTCAGCGGGATCGGAGGTTTTCGTCACTTCTGCCTCCGTCTTCTCCCCTCTGTACTTGTCATTGCCATCCCTCCTGTCCCCGGGTCACAGCGCCTTACTCCCTACTGTATATAGACTGGAAGGAGGCGGATTACTCATGTATCGCTCCCCAGCTTCTGCGGAGAGGTCGGACGATGACTCCCAGAAGCCCTCCAGGAAGCGCATTGCCCGAGCCTGCGACTCGTGCTACAAGCGGAAGGCAAGTATCGCCAATGCGATGTTATTGTCATTGGCATCTCTAATGCAACATATAGATCAAATGTGATGGCGCGGTTCCCAAATGCAACTGGTGCAGCCATCATGACATCCCCTGCTTGTTTACCAGGGCCATCACCAGAAAACGAAAACCGAAACACGATGTCGGGTATGCACTGGGGCCCCACACGTTCTGGCAGATCCTCTGACATGTCTCCATTGCAGGGGCCGAGCTACGCCCGGTTTGGCGGAGCGCATCGAGCGCATCGAGAAGTTCTTGACGGACAACCTCTTGAAAGAGCCCAGTACGTATGCGGTTGAAACCGTACTGCATCATTGACTGACTGTCCATAGCACCAAGTGCAACACCATCCAGTGAAGATCGGGAGGAGCCATGTCGGGAAGAGCCCCATCGGGAAGAGCATCGTTTGGAAGAGCAACATGAAGAGCCCCGTCCGATACACCAGAGGCTTGACCAGCCGAGGGTGTTTCCTGCTGTATGTCCGGCGTCGTCTTCAGTTCCCCTTCACTTTGCAGGCCGAGAGCTGGGGTCCGTCAGCTTGTTCACCGGCATCCCGTTGCTGTTTCCCGAGGGCAAACAATGGGTACAGTCACGGACGGGACAGAATGTCTCCGTCAGCAAGCTCGTCAGCTCCAACAAACCGCCTTGGGAAAGGCAACGGGCGCTGAGTTCCAATGCCCTGGTCACTAACCCGGAGACCGCGAACTCGTTGGAGCTGCCCCAGCGAGAGCTGATAGATACCTACTTTAGCATGTACTGCAGGTCATTTATGCGGCGCGTCTTTCCCGTGCTGGATGTGGTCCTTTTCAGGGAGACCATCGATCTGGCCTATCGGCAATCCCGCACAAAGTTCTCTTATGGAAAGGCCAGTCTCAAGGCATGTATGTTTGCCTTTTCCGCCTTTGTGTCCCTTCTCCCACCGCCGGAATTCCTGGAGGAATACAGGGGCCTACCGCCGCTGGATGGTGAGGGCTACTTCACGAAGGCGCAATGTTTAGTCCCTCAGGTTCTTCAAGAAACCTGCTCTTTGGAGGGGTTACAGGTGGTGTCGATGCTGGTAAGTCCCGATCGTATCCTTGTGTCCACTCGACCTTACTTCCATTTTCGATCCACGAGTCTTGCGTTCAATCTTTTGAGCAGCATGTTTGCTAACTGTTTGAACAGGCCCTGTTCGAGCTCGTCACTGGTAACCTACAGTCGGCCAACTACTATGGTTCTCTTGCAGGTCGCATGATATTCCTGTTAGGCGGACACACTAACCTAGATGTAACCAGCGATCACGAATCACCTCCGGACGAGATTACCAAACGAACACGAAAACATCTCCGTCAAGTCTTTTGGCTATGTTATACTATCGAGAAAGACGTGTCTCTGCGTACGGGACAACCTCAACAGTTCACCGAAGACAACTGCGATTTGACACTACCACCCGGGTACGCCGACATTTTGTTCGCCAGCCACGGGGACTGCCGCCAACCGCCCCCCAGTGACTTGCCAGATGATCCATGGTACCCGGTAGATATCCGCCTGAGCATCATCAAGTCTCGCGCCTACAGTGCGTTATACTCATTCCGAGGGTTGAAGAAAACCGACGCCGAGATTCTGAAGGAAATCCGCGAACTCGACGACGAGCTGGAGGAGTGGAGGCTGTCGATCCCGTTGTCCCACAGACCGACATTGTCTTTCTCCCAAGAGACCCCGGACCCTCACGCAACCATGCACTCGGTCATGCTACGGCTAAACTACCACCTCTGCATGACCATCATCCACCAAGCCAGCGGCCGATGCAAGTCCTGGTCCACCGAGCAGGGCGGCATCACCGACGGCGTGAGCTCTAGCCTCGCCCTCTCCGTCGAAGCCAGCCGCTCCACCCTCCTTTATCTCCAAGCAGCAGAGCATGTCCTCATGGACGGCATATTCTGGTGAGTTCCTCCCTTTTGCCTCTTCCTCATCCCCTCAGCTTTCCTTTAAACCCCACCCTCCACCCAAACCGAAGCTGAAAATACTGACAACCCCAGGACCCTAATCTTCTACCCCATGTCCGCCCTGCTCGCCATCTTCTGTAACATCCTTCAGAACCCCTCCGACCCCCAAGCCACCAAAGACCTGGGCCTGCTCAAGACAGCCATGAGCATGATGGAACGCATCTTCCTGCGCCAGCCGTCCTCTGTCAACGAGATCGTGCACATCAAGTTGGTCGCGGATTTCGTGGCCGAGTTGTATCGGCTTGCTAGTTGTGCCATCGAGAAGGCGTGGAGTGAGCGGTCGGTGTAGTTGGCTTGTGGTTCAGTGGCGAGGATTGGGATGGATGGGATGAGATGGGATGGGATAGAAGTGGAGTTGGACAGGTTGGTACATACACAATACAATACATACTATATAGGTAGATATCTGTTTGGGGGTGGCGTTTCTTGTATACATCTCATGGTGATGAAGGGAGTGGAGTGGACTGGAGTGGGGTGGGGTGTTTCTTTTTCTTGAAAAGATATTACGGATTTGGAAAGATTTCGACGACATATTTCGGACATAGCTGAGCTTCACCCTCTACATTTCTGGTGAGCATCGGGGCACACTTACATCTGCAATAGCGAGACTAGAATAATAGACAGACTACTTAAACTACACAGCCCCGAGGGCAAGAGAACCCCACCCTAAAAACCCCACAACAGCCACCCACTACACAAATACAGAGAACAATAAGAACTCTAAAATTTTTTTCTTCATTCACGCAGACTATACTAAACTGCAGTGCATTCCTGCAAAAACTAAACAGCCTGTGCCAAGTCAGCGAGAAAATTCTTTCATTCATTCATTCGAGCATGCAAAAGCAGCAAGATTAAGCAGTGAAGCTTATGTCAGATATATGCGAAGGTGTAATCAAAGAGTACACTGGTAGATGTACTTTCAGATGGGGTTGAAACAAAGATAATACGCAAATCATCATTGTATGTGGGCTGGAGCAGCTGGAGGCTGGGGGGATGGATGCTTATAACGTACCATTTAGGGAGGTTGCTGGTTGTGGTTTGTGTTGGTGGGTTACTTGTTGATGATGGTTGAGTTGAATTGGAGAACTCGGAAGCTGGCATGAAGCTTCATTTGAGTGCAGGTCTCAAGGACCTGGCTGTTTGGCCATTTCGTTGTCGGCGTGGTAGGGATGGGAGAGAGTTGCGGCAGGGATTTCGGTGCGAATTTATGCGCGAGGAATTAGTGTCGCACGTGATCTGAATGGAGGCGGAGAAACGATGTTCCTGTTGTGCGGCGCGGGTGTGGGTATCCATGCCGGATTGGGCGTTGTTTTTGGAGGGCCGCGGCTTCGGATTCGGGTTGGCGGTGTGGGAGGCTGTTTGTGAGATGTCGCGTGCCTGCTTTGGATTTGGTGGGTAGGCTTTCGGGGTTCAGTAGTTTGACGTGACCTGTCTCACTAGGGGATTGACTGCTTGATTGCCATGGTCGATTCTGCCAGCTCCTGTATGGGATATGCGTGTAAGGTGAATCGCAGCAGCCCGTGATGGATACTGTGGGCATCCGACCCATCAGATAAAACGCCCTTCACTAGAGTAGTGGTAAACATTCAACCCTCGATCTTTCCGTCTAACAGGTCCCACAGAAGTTGCGCGTCTTCAATGGCCTTTTGCTCGGATGTAGACTTCTTTCCATCATCATCATCGGCCTCCGGGGCTGGGGACTGCGCAGCACGGCCATCCGCTTCCAACCGCTCCAGCACACTCGTAATCTCGACTTTCAACTTGTCCATCTGCTCGATTTCCTCCCGTGTGCGACTCAATTGCTCCTCCATCATCATAATCAGGGATTCGCGGGCTTGGTGGGGCCGGTACAAGTTCAGTAGGTGGTGTGCGTTGATGAAGAGGTTGCGCAAGTCCTCGACCTTGGATTCGAATTGCTCGGGCGCTATCGAAAGAACGCCGACAAACTCGAGGAAGTTGAGAAGGAGAGATTTGCTGATCTTCAGCAGATAGTATGCGTGGTTGAGCGGGCGGGAGGGCTCGGATAAGGCTTGCTGGTCGGTCTCCGTGGATGGGGATGACGGGTAGAGCTGGGTGATGCCTTGATCTTTCAGGGATGGGAGCGCAGTCGACAGCTGGATCTCATCTGTGAGCTTATTCTTGATTGCCAGCTTGGTGGACTCACGCTTTGAAGCTCCCCGAACACGCTGTAATGCCCCGAAGTCGGGATCGCCGGGGGAACGAGGAGTTGAAGCTCCGACGGCAGGTCCAGAGCGCGCAGCTCAGTGGGCGACCAGCTCTTCTTCTTGGGCTTTCCATCTTCTCCTTTGGAGGCCTCCTTCTTGATCTCCTCCAGCTTCTTGAGATTCTCGGGCGTGAAGTGTTTCCAAAGGGGCGGCGGCGGGGCAAACGCGGTGCCGAGGGGCCGTGGCTGTGCAGCTTCAGCCATAATGGGTGCCGTGAGTGGAGCTTTCCAGGGGTAAGGGGGAGGTTGGAAAACAGGAGAGTGAAGTGGAAGTGGAAGAGGAAGAAGTGCCAGGCAATGCGGAGATGGTCGGGTGGCCCGTGCAGCCAAGGCGGCGGCCACTTCCACCGCCGCGGTTGATCTGACCAACTATTCCCTCCTCCTCCTCCTCCTTTCCACATTCCACCAGCCTCCCATGAGTCTTGCTCTCGACTGAGCATCGCGGAAATGCCTCGCACTGGTTTTGCTGCTGGCTCAGCAAGTCCACGTTCCCCTCAGGTCGAAGTTGCCGGCGCCATGTCTCGCCTGTACCAGCGCTCCTACCCCGTGCTCGACACTGTCGCGCTGGCGTGCATTGTCGGCACCTGGGTCCTGGTACGTGGTCGGCTATTTCTCCCTGACAGACAGAGGTTCTAATGCACCTGCACTGCAGATTCAATTCTTTGCGACCCCGTTCCATCGCATGTTCTCCCTCGACAATAGGTCGATTCAGTACCCCCACGCCTTCGTGGAGAGGGTGCCCGTCAGTACGATAATCCCCAATCTAATGCGCTGTCGGTCCTTCATACTGAATTCCGACTTCCAGTGTGGTCGGTTGTCTATGCCGGTGTCATCCCGTTTCTCATCCTCCTCGTATGGGCCGCCTTGTTCCGTCCATACCCGCACAAGGTCCAGGTGACCTTACTCGGCTTCCTTATTGCGATCATGTTGACGAGCCTGGTCACGGATATCATAAAAAATGCCGTCGGAAGGCCTCGTCCGGACTTGATCTCCCGTTGCATCCCCAGAAAGGGCACCCCCGAGGACGCACTGGTGTCCTGGACCGTTTGCACCCAATCGAACGAGCACATGCTCCAGGAAGGATGGAGGAGCTTCCCTAGTGGCCACAGTAGCTTCTCATTCAGTGGGCTCGGCTACTTGTCGTTGTAAGCTTGCGCATTGCAGTGTCTAAAGCATGTAGAGATGACAGAACTAATACGTGATTTGCTATAGTTTCTTCTCCGGTCAGATGCATGTTTTCAGACCCAGAACCGATCTCTGTCGCTCTCTCATTGCCTTCGTGCCACTCCTGTGCGCTCTTCTGATTGCCATTTCTCGTCTCGACGATTACCGTCATGACGTATACGATGTTACCTGTGGATCTGTGCTTGGTCTGTCGATTGCTTATTTCTCGTACCGCCGGTATTACCCAGGCCTACGGTTCGTGACCTGCGACATGCCGTACGGAAGAGACGACACTATCGGCTCTGATGGCTTCGCAAAACTTGCCGATGACGAGGAACAGCAGGTTCTACGCCACGTTGGATCCCGCCAGTGGGAATCCCGTCCCGAATCTTATCCTCTTGCCCCAACCGCCTCACATGAGAGGTAGACGTTGCCCTTGCCACGCCCTGTACCATTTTCTATGATACCCTGCACTTGCGGATGGTTGGTCGCTATTATTGGAGCAGCGTACATCTACACTATATAGAACACATCTCTATTGCGCTCACTATGACCGTCAAACTTTGGATAATATTATTTGTTATTCTACCTACAACTTGGATATATCCCGATGCGGCACCTTTGTCCACTCCTTGACCTCTTGGAAGTCCATCACCCTGTTAGGTCCCCCAAACCGGCCTAGGGTATCGTTCCAGTTTCTGTTCGAAGCAACCTCTGGGCTCCACTTGATTAACTCGTGGACCTTTGGGGGAACCTTCCCCTCCATGGCATCGACAATCAGACCTCCGATCGACGGGAGATATTTGTAGCCTGTTTATTAGAGTTAGTCGACACCAACAGCAACAGGACCAGATGCTTACCTCTTCCTGAAGCACCGCAACCCAGGATGAGTGATTGATGTTGAGGGTGGCGGTCGATAATAAACTCGCGGTTTGCGGTGTCGGCACACCAACAGATTCTGGCGAAACTGAATGGACGGTCGGCCAACTGGGGTACCGTCTCTCGAAGAAGGGCCCGGACTCTGGCCTCGGATTCCAAAGGAACCTGCGTTTTCTCGAAGGGAAGGCCCTGTACGCTTCCATCTGATGAACGGACCATGTTCGTGTATCCCGGATGCTCGTCGCAGATCTTGATTTCGCCTCGCTCCTCGTCCGGCTCAAAGAAAAAGCCTTTCTCGATATTGAAGATGACAGGAATGTCCTTATACAGCTTCCGTTCTTCGGGATCCAAAGTAATGTGAACCAATGTCCATGCCGTTGGACGCAACTGATCCTTGAAATCCAAAAATTGGCCTGCATTTGCCCCGGCGCACAGTATTGTCTGATCCGCGTGCCAGATTTTGCCGTCCTCTGTAACTGCTCCCCTGACGTCGTCGTTTTCGAAAATCAGCGTGATAACCTTACCAGCCGGCGACCCAGCCACGAACTTGACCCCGAGCCTCTGCGCTTCTCGTGCGGCAGCAACGAGCGCATTTCGAGCATGGGCCCAACCCGCACCGGAGCGCAGGAAGTATCCTTTCCAACCCGGGAAGTCACCCTTTAGAACAGCCGGTGCCAGGTCACGAAATTGCTCAGGACGTGACATCTCAACCAGATTCGGGTCCTCTTCGGGCCTCACTCGGACACCAAGGCGGTCCAGACCAGCTGGAGTAGAAGCCGACATGAGGAGACCGACATCATGATAATACGGTTGGAAGAGAGGGTCGTTCTTCCAGCCCTGGAACGCCTGTTCTCCCAGGAGCTCGTTCACCTCAATCTCGTCCTTCCTGTTGCTGTATTGCCCGGACGAGATGATCTTGTTGACATCGTTTCCGGCGGAGATGGCGGATGGCACAGGGTAGGGATCCAGAACAGTCACATTGGTGTAGCCCCTGCGAGCCAGGTGAAGGGCAGTTGAACAGCCCCAAGTGCCTGCGCCAATTATTAACATGGAAGACGATGTTGTTATCGTCATTGCGTAATGTTCTCTCGCGACTGCGACGACGGCGTGAGGGGTAGATGGAAAGATCTCAGAAAACTCTAGCTTGGATTCTTTTGGAAGATGTCGCGATAGCCAACTGGATTGTTGGGACACGCAGTTGCAGGGACCACTACTCAACAATGACCTTTATACAGTACGAACGAGGGCCAATGGATCATCAAATGTGGGCATGTTGCCATCCACCCACCTGCAGGAAGGTCCAGGCGGTGTTTATCGAGGGGCAGCGATAACCGGCCCGCCTGGACTATCGAGTCATCGCCATGGCGTGTCCGCTTGCCCTAAAGATGTGACCGACCAACATCATTTCCCCCGCATGCTCTGTCCAACAAGCTGGCCCAGTCGGAGCTCAAGTGGGCCGGCGCGACTCCGCCGACGTCGGCCACCAAGTGCGTGTCCGGAGCACGACCGACCGGGTAACAGACATATCGAATCATCGTGGCGATACTGCAAGTGTGCATTAGCCGGCATGCAAGATAACACTCGAACGACCGTATCCTAGCCTTGGGCCAAACACGAGTTTCGGCGGGGTTGCCGGCCATTTGTTCGCTTGGACCTTACTATACCTTCCCCGGGGATCGTCGCAGCCGGGCCGGGCTTGGGCTTGTTTTCGCCATTGGCCCAATAATAGCAATGGTTGCATCCGTGTCCTGCCCTTAACATCAGGGTACCGTTGCGATCATTAAGCCGTTTGCTAGGATAGGCCAACTACAATCAACTCCTCTATCTCGTTGCTTTTGCCTCTATCTCTCGATATCTATGTCCGTTGATACGCCATATCGGGATATTTGTCGGCAGTGTACCGCTATAAAAGGGCGGGTGGCCACGTCCGGATGGGGTAGCTCTGAACAGGGTAGTTCGAACTTTTCCTCAACGGCGACCTGCCAAGCAAAGATTCATACTTGCCTTCATGGGTCGTTTCCAGTCAGAGAGACTGCAAGACGCAGATGTCGAAGAGTATGCAGGGCGTCCTGCGCTGCAGGATATCTCCAAAAAGCCCGTGACGAGTGCGGATGCCCTGGAAATCGCCCTCGGGGAAAGCGACGCCGTTGAATACACCATTGACTCGGACAATTCGCCCTACCTGGAAGTCCGGGCCAATGTGCCCAACACGGACGACCCTACCCTCCCCGTGAACACGTTTCGGATGTGGTTTTTGGGTGTTGTCTTCACCCTTGTGGGTATTCCATTTCAGCTATACAAGGAACGTTATTGACCGTTATCAAGATCGGTACAGGTGTGAATCAGTTCTTTTCCATGCGATACCCAAGTGTGACCATCACCTCCCTGGTGGCCCAGCTGGTTAGTTATCCCGTGGGCTGCTTCTTCGCCAAAGCGTTGCCGATCATGAAAGTCCGGTTGTTTGGATGGGAGTGGGATATCAACCCGGATCATCACTTCAACATCAAGGAGCATGCAGTAATTACGATCATGTCCAATCTCAGCTTCAACCAGTCATGGGTGAGTCCGTCATCAGTCAACAGAAGATCAACTTCGACTGACTCAGGATAGGCTAGTGCAATAATCCAAGCCCAAAAGGTCTATTTGAACATGCCAACACCAGTGGGATACCAAATCCTGCTATCTATCACCATGCAGATGTTTGGTTTGGGCCTTGCTGGGCTTTCATACAAGTATATCATTGAGCCTCCTCAAATGGTAGGTTCGGGGAACAGCTTTCAATCTCATCTGAACTAACACTCTCAGATTTGGCCATCCACATTAGCAAATGCTGCGCTATTCCAAACACTCCACAGTGGTGGAAACCCTTCTGCTGATGGCTGGACGATTTCTCGGTATCGGTTCTTCATGTACGCCTGCATTGGCAGCTTTTGCTGGTACTGGTTCCCTGGCTATATCTTCACCGGATTGAGCACCTTTGCCTTTATCTGCTGGGCAGCTCCGAGTATGTGAACCATCCGTGTATAAATGGAAACATGCTTACACTTTTCAGCTAACAAGGTCGTCAATAACCTGTTCGGCATGACCACTGGCCTTGGATATATGCCGACCACGTTCGATTGGAGCCAAATCGCATACAACGGTTCCCCTCTAACGATTCCATTCTGGGCCCAGGCAAACGTTTTTGCGGGCTGGTTCTGCGTATACGCAGTCGCAGCTCCTATCCTCTACTATACCAATACCTGGTACACGGCATATCTTCCGCTTACAAGTAGCGATGCCTACGACAACACTGGAAATCAATACAACTCGAGTCGTATTTTGGACAGCGCGGGCGCCATCAACGAGACTGAGTATAAAGCTTATAGTCCCATCTTTCTGCCGGTCACCTTTTCTCTCAGCTACGGTATTGGCTTTGCGGTCTTGAGCTGTCTCATCACTCACGTTTTGCTATACCATACCAAAGATATTCTTAGCACCTTCCGGGGAGAGAACAAGAAGGATGTCCACGCAAGAATGCTATCCCGGTACCCTGATGTGCCTTGGTGGTGGTATGGTATTTTGACGGTGAGTATCCATGCCTCAACCTGCGACTGGGCCAGCTAACGTAAGACAGATTATTATCGTTGCGCTTTCGATCATGACGCAGTATGTTTGGAATACTGGACTTCCGTTCTGGGGGTTATTTATCACCCTGGCTCTAGCTGCAATCTACGTGATCCCAGTTGGAACGGTGTATGCTGTGGCGAACTTGAACAGTAACTGCCTGACCGTGATGGGAGAGATCGTCTCTGGCTACCTGCTCACGGGGAAACCCCTTGTTCTTCTGATCTTTAAGGTGGGCGGCCTTGCAAATTCAGGACATTCTCTTTCTAATATGAAAGTTAGTTCTACGCATACACGGGACTCAGCCAAGCGATGTATTATGGCGCAGACATGAAGGTTAGTCAAATCCCTCGATCAATGAAATAATGCTAAGTGCTATCTTTCACAGCTTGGGCTGTACATGAAGGTACCGCGTAGAACACTGTTCGTCGCACAGCTGGTTGCCTGCATTCTTGGATCGTTGACACAGAGTGAGCTTACCACACGAACTTCCGCACGTTCTGATAACTGACATTCAGCAGACGGGGTACTCCTGTGGATGCTCGGAAACGTAAAGGACGTATGTTCCGAGGACCAGTCAGACAACTTCACCTGCCCCCAAGGCCTAGTCAACTACAACAGCGCAGTGCTCTGGGGAGGTAAGCTCATTCTTCCAATGCATATCGTGCATATCTGACGAATTATAGCTGTCGGCCCTGCTCGCCTGTACAGTATTGGCAAGATCTATTCCGGCCTGCTACACTTCTTCTGGATCGGAGCATTGCTCCCTATCGTCACATATGCCCTTCGCAAGAAATACCCAAAATCCCGGTTCCTCGACGCAATCCACTGGCCAATCTTCTTCGCCGGCACCGGAAACTTACCTCCTGCGGTATGTGCAGTCCTTTCTCAATGGCATAACCGACTAACTGACAATCCCAGACCGGAATCAACTATTCCACCGCCTTTGTCGTCAGTCTTATCTTCAACAAGGTGAATAAACAATACCACTCTTAGATCGAGCCCTAATAGCTAACACCCGCCAGATCATCAAAGGCCGCAAGCCCATGTGGTGGGCCAAGTACAACTACGTGCTCTCAGCAGCTTTAGACTCTGGCGTTGCTGTTGCTGCCATTGTGATTTTCTTTGCCTTGACGTTCCTGGGGTTCACATTTAGCTGGTGGGGAAATACAGTCAACGATGGCACGGTTGATAGCAAGGGGACGCCGTGGTTGGAGCTGAAGGGGAATCAGACCTTTGGGCCGACGTCTTGGTCTTGATGGGATGAAGACGGATGGATTATAGGGAGTGCTGCCCTGCGTTGAGTTTTGGTATCAATGTATCTTTTATCGCTACAGTCCATTATGCAATCAATGAGATTTTTTGAGTAGCCCCCGGGCACACAGTAATCACCGCAGACCATGAATCTATCTTCTGACTGCTCATATCTAAATGATGAAGGTGGATCATGACTCATGGCTATCCCTACCAGATACTATTGGAAACACACCAATCAGGCCTCCGCTATTGTTTGCTGATGACTTGTCTGATATCGCGAGAGACTCTTATGGCAAGGAGTGTGCTCCCAATCTAGATGCCTGGAACATTATACGACCACTGGGAGCTCGGTCCAAGCCTTGAAATCCCTCACCACAGCAGAGCCATTTCAGCAACTGGACAGTACAAGGATGCTGTCTCTTGGCAGTATGTAAATGGTTTCGCCGAAAGTCTTCTTGATTTGCATGTGTCTTGCCCTAACGGACCTGCAGATCAGGACCGATGCGCTGGTCATGACGTCGAGTGCGTGGCCGCTAACCCTCCTGGTCGTAAGATCATCTGCGGTGGAGCACAACCAGGAAATCATCTCGGAAGGGTCTAGGGCCCCAGCAGCAACTTTGTTGAATAACAACAACACAACGGCGATGCCAAGAGTGGTCCCGAGGATGCAGCATCTCCACATGTCTGCCCGAGCGGGCAGGAATCGACATCCAAGGCTGCGATTCTCCCCTTGACGCGCAATCACAAGATCCTTGGAACTGCCCATCATCAGATCGCAGGTGGTCTTTAAGGTCCCAATATCCTCGCGATGAGTTACAGACGGGCGTCAACATGCGACTTTCTTTCATTCTTGCTGCCATCCCCCGGCAGCTCTACAAGCCCCCGACATTGAAAGTCCTCCTAGCCACTGTCTTTCTCTGGCTCTTAGCATACGAATACTGTCGCCATCGCTACTGGCGAGACCCTCACTCCGCCTTCTTCAACGACCGGCATGTCTACGACTGGAAATACAGTCTGCACCGTGAGCACGAAGCCCGAAGGCTGATCACCGCGCATAACGCGCCGTCTGCCCTGGCTGAGCCCGTCAAAGCGGGTGCGAACCCTCTCATCTGCGCCGTCATAGTGACTGTAAACCGCGGAACAGACGACTATTTCGATGCGTCGATCGGATCCCTCCTGGCAGGCCTGGACGAGCGCGAGCGGCGTGCCCTGCAACTGAACATCGTGTTCGCCGATACAGACCCGAGCAGACACCCTAGCTGGGGCCAGAAATGGGTGAATCGGCTTGCCGACCAGGCGGGCTCGTACGATGTCTCAAGGACCCGGCTCCAACATCTGCAGGATCTGGAGCAGGCGCGAAATTTCTATGAGAAGGGCGTTTTGTACGTTCCTCCTCCCCTCCGTTCGTGTATACCTCTAACCATTCACCAGCGACTACATCCACGCCCTGAACAGCTGCCAAGCAACCAACGCGCCATACACAGCAGTCTTCGAAGACGACGTGATCTTCGCCGACGGCTGGATGGCGAAAACCGTCAAAGCCCTCGCGGATATATACCACCGCCCGAAACAGACCCCCTGGATCTACCTCCGTCTATTCTACACGGAAACATCACTCAGCTGGTCCTCGTCCGACTTCGCCTACCGCAACATGCATCTCATCTTCCTCCTCGGCATGCTATTCTCCTTCACCATACTCCTGTCCATCCGCCGCCTCCGCCTGCACGGCCACTCCCACCTGCACAACACCACAATCATCATCCTCACCCTCCTCAGCACCCCCTGCTTCATCGCCCTCACATACATGATCGGAAAATACTCATTGATGCCCCTCCACGGCGTCGTCGAAATGAACGCCCACGGCTGCTGCACGCAGGGCCTCGTGTTCCCGCGCGAGCAGATCAGCGGATTGATCGGGTACCTGGTCGAGCGCAATGACGGGCAGACGGACGCTCTGATCGAGGAGTATGCTGACAAGGAAGATCTGATGCGGTATGCGCTCGCGCCGCAGCAGTTACAGCACGTTGGACTCAAGTCCAGTCGCGGGAATCCGGAGGTGAATACGCAGAGTACGTGGGCATTTTGGTATGAGGAGAATGATCCTGGTGTGCTTGGGGGGGAGCATCAGGGGCTGTTGGGGGATCGGGATGTCAGGGGGTTTTTGGATGGGCGTTGAGGGTTGGGATGAGATTTGTGGCGCGGAGTAAAAGGCGATGTGGTGCCCCAGGCATCAGTTAACACCCCAGGCATGAATAGAAACCCTAGGCAGCCGGGGCGGAACAGCAATAGTCCGTTATCTCGGGCCCCTGCGGCCGAAGATCCCCCGAGGGTTGACAGCCTCGAATGGTCGATAAGATCTCCATTGACTGCTTCCACTTGACACGGAGCCCTTATCCAGCCTGATCGGGCTCATCTCGCCAATCAATTACCGTCCGACCTCTGGAGGGCCTGTGTGCTGCCCCACTTGTCACGTTCGGTCTCGCCACAGTCGAGTGGCCCGAGTACCTACTCTCCTCCGGACTCGCTGTTAACCTCCAGCCATCCATCCGAGTCAATCCGCTCTCCGCCTGGCCATGTAAATCGCTAGTCCATGCCACGCAAGAAGGCAGCAGACCGCGTGGGGCCGGTAAAGACCCGGAGTCGCAGCGGCTGCAAAGAATGCCGCGCCAGTCGAGTCCGCTGCGACCTCACGAAGCCAACCTGCACCCGCTGCATCGAGAGGGGCCTAGTCTGCTCGACACAGCTGGTCTTGAAGTGGGAGTCGGAGTTCACCAGTCGTGGCCTAGCCTTTGGTAGGGCGGGCGTTTGGAGTAAGGCCCGGGCTGCCGGCGGGCCTTCCAAGGCATCATCCGCGGCCCCGGTGCTCGACGAGCAGGAATGGTGTCCTCTGCCGCTGATCGAGGCGTGGGGGTTCGTCAATAGCGGCGTCTCGACCTTCGAGCAGCCGTACGAGGTCAATGTGGCCTGCGACGAGCTGAACGCCGTGGTGCTCCGCAAACGGCCCTGGCGGGATGATTGGTTTGATGAGAGCTCGGGCTGGTCCCTGTCGATGGATATCCCCGACTGTTCGCCTGTCCCACTTCTCTCCCCACCGCTGGCCCCGCCTCTATCGCTATTCCCTAGCCTGTCCGACTCCAATCAGGGCGTCCTCTTCGACTACTATCTGCAGCAGGTGTGCCCTCGGACCACCGCTAGCAAGCTCTCGTCGCCGTTCGTCTCCATCATCCTTCCGTTCTGCATGTCCGCGTCTCCAATCATGTTCAAGGCCATCCAGGCCCTGGGAGCATGTCACTGGTCGCGCTTCGACTCGACCTACAGTATCATCGGACTGCGCCTGAAGTCTGAGGCCCTTCGCGGCCTGCGCCATCGACTGGCGACGGAGGGGTCGGAGGTGTGTTCGGCCGATCCAGAAGTATTGGCGATCATGATGATGCTTTGCCTGTACGAGATCGTTGACAACTGCGACCAACGCTGGACGATCCACCTAAAAGGAGCCAAGGAGTTGATCCGTCTCCGCAGACAGCAACAGGCACTCTCCCGGCCCCATGGCGGGCAAGACCCAGTCTCCGCCTTCGCGGAGCTCTTCTTCGCCTTCCAAGACGTCATGGGCCGGACCGCTTGCGGAGAGGAAGTGCTATTTGGGAGCGACTACTGGCAAGAGAACGAACGTAACATCGACCTCTGGATGGGATGCAGCCCGGAGCTGGTCTCCATCCTCTCCTCCATCACCGAACTCAGTCGCACAAGACGACACCTCCTCACCTCCACCCCGGCCGCCCGAACCACTTTCTCCCACCGCGCCGTCACCCTCGCCCACAGACTCGAGAACCTCGTCCAAGACATCGACGACGACGAAGACGACAGCAGCCTCCAATCCGCCGCCGAACTCAAACGCCTAGCCGCTGTGCTCTACCTCCACTGCGCCCTGTACGGCGCATCCCCATCCACCCCCTTAGTCGTGGCATACGTCCGCCGAATCCTGCGTCTTGTTTCCGATCTCCTCGACTCAGGCTCCTTGGTCAGCATGACCTGGCCCGTCTTCGTAGCCGCAGTGGAGCTGGACCCCCTCCACGACGAAGTCTGGCGGGGCTCCACCGGCGACGAAGTGGAAGTGGTGTACGGCCGTCCGCTGGTCCTGCGCGCGTTGGCCGCGATGGCCGAATCCAGCGTTTCGAATGTGGCGAGGACGAGAGCCGTCATTGTGAAGGTGTGGCAGGCCAGGGATAGTGATATGCTGAAGGGGTCCGTGGGCGATGTGGATGACCAGGGCCGCGGGTGGAATGATTGGGAGTGGTATGTTGCGCCGGTTAGCACGGCGATGAGTTTGGCGTGAGTAGATCGATTCCATCGTGTATGATGTCTGTGATGACATTGGATGATTTGCGTGGGCTGCCGCGGGGGTACTGTCGTTTGTGTGGCTGTCTGGAGCGCTGTATGGTTTGTTATGAAGTTCATGAATATCATATTGTCAAGTTCTTTTGTACGTATCGTCACTTTCATTTTTTTTTCTTTGACAGTAGAAGTGTATTGAGCGAATGTACTGTATTTGATGGATATACTAGCAGGGTCATCTCCTGTTAGAACCTCATTCTCTGCTGGTGCCTGGGGAGGTTATTTGCCTGAGGTCTGCCTGAGGAAGTGGTCTGGCCTGGGGATGTGACGGAAGCCTCAGGCACTTCACTTGGCTGCATCTGCCCGCTTACATATCCCGCCGCACCAATCAGCTTCCTGATGTCAAGGCGGGGCACCGGCCCCGTGATTGGCCGGGCGGGCGGCAGGACGTCAGGGCCTCGGCGGTGGAAGCGCCAGTTGGACGGCGGATGGCTTCTTCACCCGCGTCGTGTTGACCTCCTCTCTTCTCCAGTGTCCCCTCCCTTGCCTTCCCTCAATATTTTACCACCCAGATCACAGACAGAACAACTCTTACCTCACCGACTTGCTTGGGCTCTTCCTTTCAGACCCCTCCTCTCGCACGCGCATCTCCCGGCTACTCGCGGACCACGATGGTACTTGCGGTCTGATGGTACAACTCGCGTGACACGTGTAACGGCCTCCTTGCGAACATGACGTCGTCGACGACTCCCTCGACGGTCTCCCACAGCCGCACCATTCCATTTGCGAGCCGCCTCAGCGAACAGCTGTCGCAGCGGACCGAGCAACAACCCCCCGATTCGGGCACCGACCGCACCCGCGACAAGACCATCGCCCTTGGGCCTCCACTGCGCCCGGCCCCGACCATCCGCTCGCTCAGCGATGCCGGCAGACCCGTTTTGACTCCTCACGATCACGATCACGATCACGATCACGGTCACGGCTACGCCGATGCCCGCCCGCCCAGCAAGGATGACTCGTCGCTGTCCTCGTCCTCCACCCCCGAAACCCCCCGCCGGCCGTCCATGCCCGGCCTCTCCCTGGACCTGCCCTCGCGCGCCTCCGGCTCGCTCGCCCCGTCCAATCGTGCCCCCCTCTCCCCCAAACTCGACTCCTCCCACATCTACGGCTCACCGGGCTCTGTCCTGCCCCGTCGCTCCCGTGGCCTCGACTTCTCCCGCGCCTGCACCAACCTCCACCACTCGACACTGGCCGAGGCGTCGCCCGACTCGTCTCCGACTATTGGCGGCCGCGGCGTGAACATCCCCCAGCGCCGCGGATCGCCGGGCTCGACCTCCGGCCTGCAGTTCTCCACCTCCAACCCCGCCGACCGCGCGACCATCTCCAGCTCCGTCTCGAGCATCAACATGCTGGAATCGGATACAAGTAGCAGTGACGAGGACGACGAGGCGATGATGGGCGATCGCGACGACATGATGATCACGAATACCCCGCAGGCCAAGCGGCTGGGCGGCGGGATGAGTCCGTTCGCGGTGGGCAACGTGTCGAGCCCGGGGAACGAGTGGATGGGCGGCTACTCGCAGGCCGCGGCCAGTCTGATGAGCTTCCAGCGGGCTCGGTTCCGCAAGGGCCGCAGCAGGCACAGCTCCAGCAGCGGCAACAGTTCCAAGCAGAGCCCCGCCCCGCTGTCCCCGCCCGTGATGAAGAGCATCGAGAACCAGAGCGGAGGCTATTTTGGGCCTCGACGGGGGAGTCTCAGTCTGGGAACGAGGGACTTGCGCCTGTCGGATGTCAGTGACGAAGGCGAGAGCCGTACTCGTGCGCAGAGCCCGAGCACGTCGAACTCCGAGGGCGGGCCTCTGGGGGTGATCCGACGCGCGGTGACTCGACGGGGTAGCTTGCTGGTAAGTAGTCTCCTCTGGTTGCGAGACGGGCCTAACAGTTGTAGCCTAAAACGAAGACGTTCGCGCGAATCCGGGCGGCGTTGATGGAAGAGTCCGCCCCGATTGACTGCGAAGCCAAGCGGGAGGCCGAGGTCATCCGGCAGGTGAAGGAGAGCGAGCCCGACCAGCCGAATTCACCTCTCGGCGCGCTGTCATCGCTCGAGACATCAACCCCCGACACTGGCCGTCCTACCGAGGAAATTGCTGGAAAGAACGACATGACCACACCCGACGAGCCGAAATTCATCGACCAGGCGAACCGGAATTCCGGCGGCGTCGAGTTCTGGAACTCGTTCGATGAACGCTACCGCACTCCGCCGCCACCACCGCGCCGTCACGGCGCCTCATCCGTCTCCGAAGACGATCTCGCCATGGACTTCACCCCGTCCACGACCGTGGGATCGCACACGGAATTCGCCAAACCGAGCGAACGCCCCGGCTCCCGTAGCGAGACCTCGCAGGCCCACGCGGGACTACTCAGCGAGTTCAAGCGCAAGCGCCGCCGGGACGACGACTTCGACCCGAATCTGTTCAAGCGGCGGGCGGTTTCGCCTAGCATGAGCGTGCAGAGCAGTCCCAACATGCCCAACTCGCCGGTCGTCAAGGACACCAGCCCGAGCATCTGGGGGGCGCCGCGGTCGAACCTGGGGTCGCTGTTCCCGGACCGGCCGGTCGAGAGCGGGTCTCGCAGTGGGAATGGCCATACTCATGGCAATAACCATAACCATAATCACACGGGGAACCATACCGGGACGCTGAAGCGGGTCGGACTGCAGGGGATGACAGAAACAAACGACGGGTTCATGAACATGAGTATTGAATAGCGGGTGGCGATGGGTATTGGGATTGGTGTTAGCGGGTTGGCGTTCTGGTATATTGTGCTAGGTCAATATAATAATATTTATAATAATATTAATACAATCGTTGTAAACACAAGGATCATCATCGTATGTGCATCTGTTTGGCATCTGTAAGGCATCTGTAAGGCATCTGTAGCCAGCCGCACGTGCGGCGGTTACCGGATACGGCGCTAGCCCGGGTGGGATGTTGACAGGGTCGCTGACGGACACCGCGGAGCTGAGCTTCCTCCACTTCATCTCCTCCCCATATCATTCCAACTACACAACCATCACCCTCTCCCTCCCTCTCCCTCTCACCCCCCCCCCCCCCCCACACTTTATTTCTCCTCACATCCTCAAACCCATGGCCTCCACCATCGACGTCGCGTCATCCTTCATCGAGGGTGCCCCGCCCGGCGAGGTACCATTCCCCCCCCCTCCCCTCCCCCTCCCCTACCGAATAACCCAACTAACAATATCTAATTCATCCAGCTCGCAGATGTCATCGCCGGTAAATAACCCCACTCATCCCCCCATCTGCTTCCGCATCCGACCCTCTCGATACCAACCCAAGACACCTCGTCCCGAACGCACCCCCTATCCAACCCCGCATCCGCTAACTACCGCTCTCTCTCTCTCTCGCAGACGTCAAGGCCCTCACCGCCGACGGTGCAGGTATCCTTCCTTCCCTTGCTCCCGCCTTTGAGAGGTATAATGAGACGCAGCTGGCCACTGTCAAGTTGCCGGGGGCTAGTCAGCAGGTATGCGGCCATTCGTGAACCCTGGTTTGGGGGCTGGGATTCGTGTTAGGCTGTCTTGATTGTCTTGATTGTCCTGATGGTCATGCACTGATGCTTACCCTGGCACTTACCTTGACGCTCACCCCGATTCTTACCCAAATGCTCACCCTACCCAGGTCCTGATCAGCGAATACAACAAACTCGAAGGAAACCGTTACTTCGACGTGGAGAGCCAGACATCGTTTGAGGTCGACCATGTGACGCAGGTTGGTGCATAACTCGGGATAGGAGATTGAGGGAGATGTTAACGGGAGCAGGAAGCTTCCGCTGCGCAGTCGTATGTTCTGGAGTCGCAGAATGGGGATTTGATGTGAGTATATTGAAAGGGCAGCCTTATCGAAAGGGCGTCGATGATGCGAAGAGAAAAACCGGGCTGACATATCCAGCAAATCACTCCTCAAATCGCTCTCCATCCACGCCGCCGAACACTACCGCTCCTCCTCGTACGGCGTCTACCCGACCGAGGACGACACCGCGGTCGCCATCGTCCTCGTCGCGAACCGCTACTCGCCTAACAACTTCTGGTACCCTCACCCTCGCCAACGGGCCTTACAGAACATATGTTAATAAATGCAGGAACGGCCGCTTCCGCGCCATCTACACCCTCCCCGTGACCTCCTCCTCGTCCACCATCACCGGCCACATCAAGGTCGATGTACACTACTACGAAGACGGCAACGTGGCGCTCAACACCACCAAGCCCATCAGCCTGACGGTGTCGTCCGTCGAAGCGTCTACCATCATCTCGAAGATCGCCGCCGCGGAGCGTGACTACCAGGAGGAGCTGAACCGCGCGTTCGTGAGTACCGCCGAGGGCGCGTTCAAGGGGCTGCGCCGCCAGTTGCCGATCACGCGGCAGAAGGTCGAGTGGGAGAAGGTGGGCGGGTATCGTCTCGGGCAGGATATTTCGGGGGGGAAGGGGCGGTAATTCGATTCGTGGATGTGTCTTCAGCGTGAATGTATTGTGTAGTGGTGTTGGTGGTCGATAATGGTCGATTGTAGGGATGGATGGGCTAGACCGGGCCACTACAGGGGAGATCCGATCCGATCAGATAAGCGCGCGTGCGAACCGAACCAGCCACCTTTCCTGATTCCTCTGCCGGTGCTGTCCGACCCAACCAACCCCAATTAAATGGCTGGTACCTCCGTATAGCGGTACATAAAGATACCCCCGTCCATCTATCCCTAATATATCCCTTGTTCTACACAGTACAGCAGCACATAATTTAGTACATAACCCACCCCCATCCCTCCACAACAGAATAACGGAGAAAAAGGGAGAAAAAGAAGGAGAAAAAGAAGGAGAAAGAAAATGCTCACCCACCTCTCCCGCTTCACGCGCACCACCCCGGGGCTGGAAAAAACCCTCCGTCTGTTCCAGTCGTTTTGCGTTCTGGCTCTCCAGCTGGATCTGCATCTGGATGCTGTTGTTGTGGCGAGGTGTGGGGTCGCGAGGTCTCAGTTGGCGTTGAGTGAGTCTAGTCTCTACCTTACCTTGCCTTCCTTTCTTTCTTACTATCTACCACTCCTCATATCATACCTATCTTGTTATTCCCTCCCCTCATTCCCTTTCTGATTATCCCAACGACATATCATCATATATATATACATAAATCAAGAGTGTTACAAAGAGTTTGTATGGATAGAATACTAATAAGAGACAAAACAGCAAGACGCTTCCTCCGCTTCTTCAACTTCATCGACTGTTTTAATAAGGCGTTTGCGCTGGTGGGGGGCAGTAGCCGCAGCGTGAGCCTTAGCCCTGGCAAGCAGACGAAAGGGTTGGGTTCGAGCTCGGCCTCAGGTTCAACCGCAGGGTTCAAATCCGCCCTCGAGATCTGTAAATGGGGCTGTTTCGGGCTGTATTTCCTTTTGGAGGATGTTACGTTGGTGTGTCCTCCCTCTTCTCCTCTGCTTGCTTGCTTGCTTTTATTGGGTGAATGTTATATTGGATTATCCCTATTTACCCTCCTGCCTGCCTACCTGCCAGTTATATGCAACATGATGGTTGGCTTGACCACCAATGCCGACATCCACTGTCAGGTTCTTCCCATAAAATGGAATGCTGTCGATGCAATGGGTCTATTAAACTGATATAAATCTCAGCTCCACGCCACAGGCATCTACCCCCTCCCGTCCCCACTCAACAAGACCGTCTTGACGGAGGCGAATAAATTCTGGTTCTATGCCCTGGTTTTCTCTCTCCTTGGGGCGTGGTGGGGGGTTCTTTTTCCCACCACCTCCTCCTCGCCTGGTTCCTCTTCAAAAGGGACAAAGAGTGGAAAGAAAGCGAAGAGCAGTGAGAAAAAGCGCTCGCCCTCTGCTCCATTGGTATCAGTATCATCCACTCGGTTGGATGTATGGGCTGTCTTCAAGAGAGTGTTGGTTGATGCATGCGATCTGCTCATTCCCGGGATGTTTCTGGGATGGGTAGATGTGAGTGAGCTGGGGGTGGGCGTGGGGATGGTGGTTAGTACGGTTGTTTCGGGGTGGGAGATTTGGAAGACTGTCTGATTGAGGACATGTATGATTACGTGGTTTGGGGGTGGAGGGTATAATTTATCTAATATATTTTGGGGTTGGGTAGTTGGATATAGGGGGGTTAGGGCTCAGGGGATTAGGCTATCTGACCCATTATTTGCAGTCAAGCAGCTTTCATACACGGCTATGTATAAATGCAGGTAGAAATCCACAACAATCCATCATTCCGCTAAACATAAATCCATACTCTTCCTCCAAAATCAAACATACAAGCCAAACATACATCCCACTCCCTCAAGCAACCACATCCTCCTCCAAAAACTCCCGACTGAACGCATAATCCGTATACCCCGTCAGCACCAAGGGCGTATAAAAGCTCTCCCTCTTATACGGGGTCAACTCCACGCCCGTCCGAATCCGAAACGGCAGATCCGGATTCGCAATGAAATGGCGCCCAAAGACGACCACGACATCCCTATCCCTCCTCTGCTCATCGACCACCCTCCTAGCCAACTCAGCCGTATACCCCCCCGCCAGCAGAACCGGCCCGTCCCACGCATCCACCGCGAAATCCAAATCCTCCCCCTGATCTTCCCCCCCCACGGCCTCCGTCAGATGCAGATACGCCAGCTTCCCCAGCGCATTAATCTCCCTCACCACATACCCAAACTGCGCCCTCTGATCGCCCGTCCCCATCCCCGCCACCCGATTCCACGGACTCAATCTCACGGCCGTCCTCTCCGCCCCGACCGCCTCCACCACCGCCCTCACCACCTCCACCGCGAACCGCGCCCTCCGCTCCACATCCCCGCCATACTCATCGTCCCTCGCATTCGCACTCTCCTGCAGAAACTGATCCACCAGATACCCATTCGCCCCGTGGATCTCCACCGCGTCAAACCCCGCCGCGATCGCATTCCTCGCCGCCGACCCGAAATCCCCCACCACCCCCTGAATCTCCTCGACCGTCAGCGGCACGGGAACAGCATACTCCTCACTCTGCGGAATCGCGCTCGCTCCCTTCACCGTGATGCCTTCGCGTGCTGCAACAGCGGGCTGCGCCGATCGGCCGACCGCTATGATCTGCGCCACGATGAAACTCCCCCGCGCGTGCACTTTGTCGGTGATGCGCTTCCACGCGGCGATTTGCGTCGCGTTGTAGAGCCCCGGCGAGTTGGCGTACCCGCCTTGCGAGGGTGAGATCATGTTTGCTTCGCTGATGAGCAGCGTTCCGGGGATTCGGGCCCGCTGGTCGTAGTATTCTTCCATGAGGGCGGTGGGGGTGTGGTTGTCTGAGGCGCGGAAGCGGGAGAGCGGCGCCATGGCGATGCGGTGCTGGAGGGGCATGGTGCCCAGGTGAAGGGGGGTGAAGAGGCGGGACATCTTTTTTTTTTTGGTTGTGTGCTTGGTTTGGTTGGGATTTGGGGTTGTGGTAGGAGTTGGGTGGGTGGGTGTGGTTGGTTTGAGGTTGAGGTTGTCTGGTGGTGGTGTTAGTTAGGGCTCGATGCATGAAAGGGGATGCACATACCTTCTTTCTACTGTGTTGTGAGAGGATTGCGGAGGATTGCTGGAGTATCGAGCAAGCTTGGAGAAGAAAAACGGATCTTTTTTTTGCAAGAAATCAGAAGAAGATATTATTTACTGTTTGCTACTACACTTTCCTACCTCCACGCCATACATCAATCAGTAAGTATTTATACCCAAGCCTACCTATACACAGTCATGATCCCCCAATCGGCATCCCCGATCAATCACTCATTCACAATAGAGAATATTAGAAATCAACTCCACTCCATCCCCAGAGCAAACCAGTACATGCCAACCTCGAGAATCTGACCATCATCCTGATATTTCTAATATCTCAGCTTAGAAATCAACACCTACACTGAGACACCAGATGTAGGGCTAGTTTATGGAATTCACCGCCAATGGGCATGCCGCCTGATCGCATACAATATCCACCGGAAACCCCCCTCCAGCCGTGAACAATTTAGCTTTGGTGCAGTTGATTACCAACCCACTGCATGGGCTGTCGGTGTTCGGTTGTGTATGATCCGGGTCTCGTATGGTGGTGGGTCGGCCAAGGACCAACCGCAGGCGACGAGTAGGTATTGTACTGTGGATTGAAATAGAATAGATTAGTGTGGTGGATTGATCGGGGTGATTATTAATTGGGAAATTAATAATTAATGAGTGGATCTTATTGTCAAGTGATGAATGTTATTGTTTGATGAATTTACAGTCTGATAGTAGCTAAAAAAAAACCCCGTAAGAAACTAAATAGGATTTTGTTGAATGGGGTGGCGGAGTAAGGTAGTTAGTTGGTATACAGTAAGGATAGGATGATTGCACCGCCAGGGTGCTTATTGGAGGAGTAGTATCTTACATGTTGCTTAGTAGTTATTACCTATTATGTCAACTACAGAAGCGTGCAATAAGTAAAGTAAAGCTTGTACCCTCATGCTCATATACAATTTTGTATCATGCTTGATCCTGTCTTGAAAACACCAGCCTAATACAGCATAATACATAGCAGATACCACTCACTCACCCCGCAAACCTCCCCTCCTCCACCATCGTGGCGGGAACCAAATCCTCCACTCCCACCCCCGCCCCCACCCCCGCCCTCTCCATCTCCCGCTCCACCCTCTCCCGCTCCACCTTCTCCCGACTCCTCAACACCTCCCCCGCCACACCCTCCTCTCCCTCCTCTCCCTCCTCTCTCCCCCCCAACACCCCCTCCACTTCCTCACCCCCCATCCACAAACACCCCCACCACATCCCTCACCAAAGAATGCAACACCACAGCAGCAACCGGATCTCTCCCCCCCGCACAAACCATCCCGGGACTCCACGCATCAAACACCACCAAATCGGCCCTCTTGCCCACCTCCACCGACCCCACACTCTCTTCCATCCCGATTGCCCTCGCGCCCTGCATCGTCGCGAGCCGGAACACGTCTCGCACCGAGAGATCCAGCGACCGTCGCCGTTTCCCAGTACCAATCCCAATCCCAATCCCAATCCCCGTACCAATACCGTACGCCAGTGTGTAGTAGAAGATGGCCCGGATGCCGGAGGAGACAGTGGCCGTGAGGCCGTTTTGGGCTGGGTGTGTGAGTGAGTATATGCACGCCATAAGAATGGATAGGAGAGAAAGGAGGGATACCATGCTCCGGAGTAACATTCATATGTGCATGATCGACAACAGTCGTCGTCCCTGCATCCAGCGCTTTCAGACACCCTGCTAACTGGCCCCAGAAGATATCTTCGGGGGTGTGGTGCACTTGCTGGAGGTTTCCTGGATTCGCCAGTTAGATTGTTTCTGCGCCTTGAGAGAGGAGGTGGAGGTACTACTATACCTGTGGGCATGTACTTCAGCAGAGTGTGGTCGGCGGGGCGACCCTTCAGCTGCGTCTGCTAGAGGTGGTGGTGAGTGTGTCGATGAACCCCGAACCCCGGGGAGATGATCTTGCCCGTGCAGTCGAGGATCTCTGTCTCTGGCGATGGTGGGGTGATCTGCGGGGCAATCTGGGCGATGGTATTGCCGACGATGAGGAGGGCGTGGTGTCGTAGTGGTACGACGTCATCGCCATCGCCGGAGGGGACGAGGATGGTTGCGTTTTGGAGGGGGGTGGATGGCATTGCTTTTTAGGGTATTGGTGAGCTTGAGATGGGGATTGAGTGTTAGGTCGCTGACGCATGGAGGAAATAAAGGGTTTCGTGGTGGTCGGTTCTGGGATAACGTATGACTTAGTTCTCCCATCCAGGAATAACCTCACCTTGGATTGGGGGGGGATGGAGAAAGATGAATTATTAAAATTTGTCTTATTCTGGACGTTGATATCTGGATAAAGGTGTGATAAATAAGATCCAGCGTTCAACTCGAAGGTGTCTAGACGACATCTTACTAAGACAAGGTAGTCAATCCCTACCTCTCTTGATATCTTTCACCAGGCGAGTGGGGTATTTTGCCTCTGGTGCATATTCCTCTGTTATAGTGTAAGACTACCATACCATTTCGACCATATTGCAACCAAGATTCCTTCCTGGTTCAGAACCCGGTTGAGTCACCAAGTATATTCACATCTTTGTCAACAACACCGACAAAGTCATCCTTCAGATGCGAGCACGTCCATGGGATTCGGGTGACTTCAAACCCCGTTCCCTTGTCAATGTCAGGGGTCAGGGCGCAGACATCTGACCCATGGAGTCAGGTGTGTCAGATGTCAGATGTACCGAGGGTGTGGGATAAGGGATGGACGGGATCGTTATCCCACCTACCACGGAAGAGTATTTGCTGGAAGAAACAAAAGTGTGGCTCTTTGTAAGGTGATTGGTGAAAGAGTGTTGGTGGGATTGTCAGAGTGAAGGACTAGTGTGGGGGAGGGGGAGGGGGAAGGAGGGGTCAGACAACAAAGCAAGGAGCATGACAATAACATCTCTCTCAGTGAGTAGAATATTCTGGAAATTCAACTCAAACTCATTGCAAAGTATCTCTATATGCACCCCCGTCTAATATTGAAAAAGAAAGAAAGAAAGACAGGATAACCACCCTTCTAAGCAAATATACACCCCCTCTCTCTATGCCAGCCTTCCCCACTCCGTCTTTCCCACAACCCCCAACAAGATACCCCCAGTCAATCCCCCTAAGCTCTCTCCTCCTCCTCCCTCAACATCTCCTCAATATGCCCATTAACCCAATACCCCTCCAGCCCGTCTCTCCCCATCCCCTTCGCCCCGGTGATCCACCCCTTACACCTCTCCCCAACCCCACAGGTACACTCAAACGGCTGATCCATGACCCACTCGGTGGACGGATAAAAGAACGTCAAGGGGTCCCCGACCTTCAGATCGCGGCCCTCCACCACCCGCACCTCCATCCTGTCCATGTCGAAGTTCACCGTCGGCGCGCAGCTGTGGTTGCAGTACACCAGGTCCGAGTTCAGCTCGATGTGGCTGTCGCGGCCGGTCTGCACGGATGTGTACGCTTTCTTGGACGGCGTGGGGGTGTCGATTTTGCAGAGCAGCGAGCCGGCCGGGAGGGAGGTCAGGCTGAAGGCCCCGCTGGTGAAGGGGATGGGGCTGTGGTGGATGTGGATTAGGTTGGGATGGGTGGGGGGTTATGGATGGTTTGGTGGGGGAGGCGGTGGTGATTGTGGTGGTCATTTTGGCGGTGGGAAGTAGGTAGTAGATTGGAGTGGGTGGTGGTGGTGGTGGTGGGAAGAAGAGGGAAAGGAGGTGGAGGTTTATATAGTAAGTAGGCCAAGTAACGCAGCACAGGCGCGGCTGGGGACGGAGGATGAACGGAACAGGCAAGGATGTCAGGATGCGGACACGGATGCGGGACGGTGGAGCTGCCGAGGCTCATCACGTAATGCCTCACTCAGGTCTCAATATTGTGACGATACACCGACTATACGGAGTAGCAAGACCACATATTATCTTCTGCATAATAGATACACACACAGCTAGTTCAACCTCACCGTCAACTCCTTCCCATCCAGCCACCGCTCCAAATTCTCCGCCACCTCGGCATACCACCCATGAATCTGCTCATCGCCATACCCCATATGCGGCGTCAAGAGGACCTCACTGCGGCCCTCAGTCCCCCACTTGGTCGTCCTCCACGGACTCTCCCCCGCCAACGGCTCCGTCTCAAACACATCCAGCGCCACCCCGGCAATGCCGCCCGTCTCCAGCGTCTCCAACAAGGCCGCCTCATCCACCAACGGCCCTCTGGACGTATTCACCAACAGCCCCGTCCTCTTCATCGCCCTCAACTCCTCCCGCCCCACAATACCCCGACTCCTCTCCGACAGCACATTATGCAGACTCACCACGTCCGCCTGCCCAAAGAACCCCAGTTTCTCCTTGACGGCCACGAAACTCCCCGCCGGCAACCCCATCGCGACCGCCTGCTCGTCCGCCTTCTCCTGCGTCAGATTCGTCGACCACGCAATCACACTCATCCCGAACCCCTGGATCGCAATCCGTCCCACCTGCGCCCCTAACTTGCCCACCCCCAGCAGGCCCAAGGTCTTCCCCGCGAGCGTCTGTCCGAGACTCCCCTGCCACTCGCCCCGCTTGATGGCCGCGTCGTCCCGCGCGACGTGTCGCGCCACCGCCAGGATCAGCGCCCAGGTGTGCTGAACGGCGGAGTGCACGCCGACCGGCCGACTCAGTGTTCCCGCGACCGGGATCCCGCGTTCCGCGCAGTAGGCCGTGTCCAGGGCCAGGTTGCGGGCGCCGGTGGTCAGCAGCAGCTTGAGGTTCGGCAGGGCGGAGAGGGTTTCTTTGCTGAAGGGGGTGCGTTCGCGTTGCGCGACGATGATGTCGAAGGGGCGCAGGCGCTCGATGAGCGCCGCCTGTTGGGCCGGGTTCCGGGGGTTGAGCGTCTCGGGGAAGTGGCTGATCGAGACGCGCGAGGTCAGGTGCGCGAAGTGTCGCGGGGCGATGGATTGGTAGTCGTCGAGGAGGGCGAGTTTGGGGGTCGTCATTTTGGATGTGTGTTTGGCTGGGTTGGATGGGTGGTGGTGATTGGGGTGAGATGAGGATGATGGGTGAGGCCAGTTCATATAGCGGGGTGAGGGTATAGCCGCGCAGCCCCGCGATGGATTCTCACGCTCCGTGGATTGGCATCCCCGCACCGGTCTCGGAGCGGCGGTCGGGGGGTTGTCGTCCGTTGTTTGATCACCTCCTTCCAGTCGATATCACTAATCATTCCAAATGCCTGGCTTGGTGTGACTGTTACATCTGATACTGAGACAGAACTGCTCGACTGAACACTCAACACGCTCGAGTACGTGTCATACAGCCCCATCCGACAGTCAAATAGGGCTACTCATTTAAACGTTCAAATGCCTCCCGAGGTGCGAACTACTACTCGACCAAACCCAGATTCTCGAATAAATTGACATTTGCCCAAACTGCACCGATCATCCAAACAACTCCCTCAAATCCATCGACATGCAACTCAACTAACTACCCGAAAAAAAGTCAAATCTACAAGCAAGCATACTTACCCCCAACTTCCCCACCCCCAACCAAATCAATGCTGCCCCTCCGCCTGATGCAAGAAATACTCCCTACAATCACGGGCATAATCCCTCAAATTCCGCACCGCACGAATCCCATCCTGAAACTCCGCATTGCCCGCATCATTATAATTCGAATAGCAGAACTTATACAGCTCCGTCATCACATACCCCGTGCTGCGCCCGGGGATGCCATTCTGCAGATCCCTCGCATGGATCGCATACAGCGAGATCTCATCGTGCACGACCAGCAACCCAAACGAGTACGCGCACCCATCGTACGCCTCATTCCGATGATGGTACTGCAGCGCGCGGATCGCCCGGGCCCCAATCGCCCCGAAATGCGTCAGCTGTTGCCGGCCCACGTCCTCCTGGTTATCGAATATCTTGAGCGATGCAAAGAAGTTCGGCACCACGAAGTCCGGCGGGTTGACCCGCGGAGCCACGAGCTGGTTCATGGGGTGCAAGACCCCGAACGCTGGGCCTCCGCCAGGAGGAGGAGGGTGGGGCGCCACTGCAGGGGCGTGAGGGGGAGGGAAAGCGGGTGCCGCTCCAGGAAGATTCATCGGCGCGGCGGCAGGCCCTGCAGCAGCAGCAGCAGGAGGAGGAGGAGGAGGAGGAGCGAGCGCCCCCCAAGCAAACTGCATCAGGGCCGCCGCCGCCCCATCCGGCCCCGGCCCCGGCCCGGCCCCGGCCCCGGCGCCCAACCCCCCGGCGCCATATCATTACCCCCGCCATCACCGCGCGGGCGGATTCTCCGGCGCAGCTCGTTTCTTGCTGCCACCCGCAGCCTGCACCCGGCACTCCCGTCGGCGAAATGCGGCCTCGCCACCGCCATATGCGGCGGCAGGCCAAGCAGACCCGTGTATTCCTGACAGAACATGGTCCGCGTCCACGGCAGCGCCTCCACCTGGTTAGTTCCCAGCAGCATCTCATAGAAGGTCGTCGATCTCCCGTCGCTCAGTTGGTTGGCAATGGCGTCGCCGAACCACCATTGACGCTGAGCCCCGAGATTCCGCATGTCGGTTCGCGGCGCGGGCAGAACCGTGTTGATCAGGTAGTCGATGTTGGAGGGTGGCTGGCGCAGGTTGTAGTCGCCGGGCCTGGGCCAGCTCATCCCGTTGGAGCGCATGTGTTGCACGGCGTTCATCTCGTATTTGGATGTCGAGTTGTACAGTTCAGTCGGGCTGTAGGATTGGTGTTTGGGGTCGCGGTTGTACTGTTTATCATTCAAGGTTCGTGCGTTAGCCCTCTTTTCTTGCCCTGATGCCAGTCCAGTACCTCCTCCCTCTCCCACCCCCCAAACATCCAATCTCCAATCTCCAAGACGGGATAACACGACCCAACTCACATTGATAAAACCACTCATATCCGGCCCTCCACATCTCGCAAAAGCCTCCACCGTCTTGCATTTCGTCTCCGGCCGCGGCGCCTGATAATCCGGCTGGCGGAATATCGCGTGGAGATCGGATTCTCGTACTCGGAACTCCACCAGCGCGCGGTGCGTCAGGAATATCCGTTTCCGTCCCCGCCGTCGCTCTTCCCAGTAGGGGTATTTGTACACGCTGTCGTTGCGGATGTTGACCGGTTGGTTGATTTTCATTTTTGGGCCCGCCGGCCCCGCGGCGGGGGCCGCTTTGGGCGCCCCGACGAGCACTTGCGGGTTGGGGTTGAAGGGCGCTGGCGCGAAGTGGATGGGGTTGGCGGGGGGATTCGCTGGAGGGTTCGCCGCAGGGTTGGCCGGGGGGTTTCCAGCTGGATTCATCGTGTTTGGTGTTTCAAGCGATTGGTGTTTAACAGTGATAGAAATGTATGACTGACCGTCCCTGGTGGCTTGGATGGCCAGGTAAATATACATATACTCCTCAGCCAGCTTCGTGGATGGCCAACTACTACGGCATTATCTCCATACAATGTACTATTCATTTATTATAGTGGGTCGGATTGTGCGATATAAAGCACTTTGTTGCCCCCATTCAATAGCACAGTGAATGCCAACCACACCCCACCCGGGTACGGCTTTGTTCTCTTTATGGGATCTCCAACACACAAGGAATGTTAATAGAGCACCATTCACTTTCATTCATGACAGCCCTTTTGATAGCCCTTTCATCCAGTATAAAGTGTATGGCTTCAAGCGCCAAGGACGTCTTTATCCCCATCCGCTTTCAACCCACCTACAGCCTAAATTTAGCATACGCCTCGAAAACCAGGGTACATAAAGGCAAACCAGGAACTTTCCTCTTGTCGAGTCCGAGTCTAACTCGAGCATCGTTCCCCAGTCCACCATGCAGCAACCACCGCAACCACAGCAGCCGCAGCAGCAAGCGCAACCGCAACCGCAACCGCAACCGCCACAGCAGGTTGAACAGCTGGTAAGCCCTACCCCCTTCCTGGCACCTCCCACCCTAACAGCCCAGGACATCATCGTCGATGGACGATTCAAACTCCTCAGCTACCTGGGCGGCGGCTCCTTCGGCCAGGTCTTCAAAGGTGCGTCCTCCCACTCCCTCTCCCTCTCCCTCTCCCCCACAAACCAAACTAACCCCATCCCCCCCCCCTTCCCCTCAACCAGCCCTCGACCTCCGCACCCAGCAACCCCTGGCCCTCAAACTCGAAAACCGACGAGACAACGACCGCATGACCTCCGAATACAGAATGACCGAGGCCCTAGACCGATGCCACGGCTTCCCCCGGGTCCTCTACTACTACGCCAAAGTGGACGATTTCCGAGTCCTGGGCCTGGAACTCCTCGGCCCCTCGCTCGGGGATCTGCGCCGGTACTGCGGCGGCTCGTTCTCCGTCAAGACCACCCTGATGATCGCCATCCAGCTGCTCGCCCGTCTGCAGCATATGCATAAGAATTGCCACCTGGTTCATCGGGATCTCAAGCCCGAGAACTTTCTCATGGGCATCGGGAGGAGAGGTCATATGGTTTATTTGACGGATATGGGGCTCTCTCAGGCTAAGTTTGTTGCTCCCAATGATCCCATGCATTATAGGGTTGTCGTGGAGCCGGGCTTGGTCGGGACCCCGCATTGGGCTAGTTTGGCGGCGCATAGGCTGCATGGTGAGTTTTTTTTTTTTTTCTTTCTTTCTCTTTTATACCTTTTCTTGCTTTTTTTTTTTTTTTTTTTTTTTTTTTTTGGCTCCAGGAAACGGAGTTGGGGGGGTGGAGGGGGGGAAGGCTGTCTTGGGTGCTTCTTACATGTACTGTACTGCACCGAACTGCCCTGTCACCCCAAAGCATCCCAACATCATCCCGATCAATCATCCAACTAATTTAATTCATTCCCACCAGCCCAAACCTACCGCGACGATCTCGAAAGCCTCGGCTACATCCTCCTCGAGTTCGTCCTCGGCGGCCTGCCCTGGTCCAACCCCCAGCCCGTGGATGGTCTGACCCCGGCGCAGCGCCGCGTGCATCTCAAACAACTCACCACCCCGCAGCAGCTGTGTCAGGGCGCACCGGACTGCTTCCGACAGTATTTCGATTATGTGACCACGCAGCTCGCTTATAACGACGTACCGGACTACAAGAGGCTCATCAAGATGTTTAAGAAGGAGTTCTGGGACCGGAGATATCAGTTTGATAATGTGTATGATTGGACGAGGAGGCGGTATGCGGAGTTTAGGGTTGTGGATTAGGGGGGGGGGTTTCACGCCGCATATGAACGATATGGTTTGTTTTATTTTCTGGGTTTCTTCATGGGTGTGAGTGTTATGATGTGGCTAAGCTGTTTGTGCCGTTCTTATGCTGCACTGTATGATTTAAATCTTGTTACTATCTCCTGCCTTTCTTGCGAATAGAGAACAGATATTGAAAACCGAACTTATGTACATGTATTTCATCAATTGAGGATATTAAATTGTGACACAATCTTGCTCATAGATATCATTAACCCTGCTACAATTTTGTTCCCCCCCCACAGTTCTACTCCCTCCCCCTCAGACAGACTACTGGCCCCCGCTTCCTCGCCGTAACATGATCCTCCAACACATACTCCTCCGCCCTCACCCCCGTCCCCACCCACTCCTCCCCCAACTCTGCCCTCCGCAACTCAAACTCCCACACCATCCTCGCCACCGTAAGCATCACCTGCGCCATCGCCAACGGCTTCCCAATACAACTCCTCGGCCCGATCGAAAACGGCATATACGGACTCACCCCGTCTTTCCATTTATCTCCCTCTTTCCCTTTCTCTCCCTCTCCTTGTCCCTGATACCCACCCTCACCCTCACCCTCACTCCCCCTCCCCCTCCCCACAATCCACCTCTCAGGCTCAAACTCCCCAGGATCAGAATAATACCGCCCACAATGATGAATACTATAAATCCCGACCCCGACCTCACACCCCCCCGGAACAAAAGTCCCGTCAATGACGGTTCCCCCGGCCTCGACTTCCCGCCAGAGGGAACTCCCGCCTGGCGGGGACAGACGGAGGGATTCGGAGATGCACGCGCGGAGGAACACGCAGGAGTTGAGCTTCGGGCCGAGACTGATTTCGGCGAGCGTGTCGAATGTGCCTCGGATTTCGTCCTTTAGGCGGAGATAGCTGGTTGAGGAGCCGGTTAGGTAGTGGGTTAGTGCGGATAGGGTCGTGGAGTTGGTGTCGGAGCCTGTGTGTTGTTGTTAGTTGGTGGGATGGGGGGAAGGGAGGGGGGGGGGGGGGATGGGATTACCGGCGACGATGAAGGTGGCTGTTTCGGTGCTTAGCTCGGTGAGGGTGAGGGATTCTCCCGTCTTGGGGTCTTGGCATTGTTGCAGGAAGGAGAAGATGTCGTTTGTTGTTGTGGTTGTGGTTGTGGTCGACGGGGTAGTCTGCAGACGGGTGGCGAGCAGACGGCGAATGAACCTGGAGAACTGGGACGCGGCGACAATCGACGCGGGGAAGAGCCGGCGGTCCAGCTTTGCGGTGGACAGTCCCTCTGCCTGAAACAGAACCCCTTGTCGGACGTTGGACTCGTCGATCGCGTCCATCACGTACCGGTACTTCGGGTCGCGCATCGCGTCGAAATCGATCCCGAAGGAGACGGAGGTCATCGTGTCGAACGCCAGATGGTTGACTGGGAGGGTGGGTCTTAGCCCGGAAACAGTGGATGGAGAGATATCTACTTGCATATCTGGGCCATGTCGATGGGAGATGTCCATCCCGAGGAATCGGGGACCTGACTACGGAGAACTTCAGACAGTCGCTCCAGTCTGGCTAGGATAATGGGCTGCATCGACTCCACTCCCCGCTTGGAGAAGGCCTGGCTCAGCACTCGCCGTCGTCGACTGTGCTGTACCTTGTCCCGTAGGGTGAGGGTGTTGGGTGCCTGTTTGGATAGGACACGGTAGTTTTTGAATTTCTTGACATGCGCGTGGCGGTCGTAGATGTCTGCCATGGCTTTAGAATATACCATAATCGATTGGTGGCTGGGGTTAGGGTTGCGTTGGTGCTTACCGTGAAGGGCGCCGGCGGTGTTGATGAGCAGCCGATTCGGGGCGTAGCGGACATGGTCGCCTACAACCATTAGCTTAGCTCATGGGCAGTGGCAGCGCCAGAGACGGACCGTATTTCTGGTGGCACCGGTAGATATCGAGGTGGATATCGCCCGTCCACGCGTGGTAGGCCGAGTAGAGGTTGGTGAATCTCGCAAGAAAAGGGCCCGGGTATTGGGCTAGAGGGTGGAGGATGGTGTAGTACACCACTAGATAGAGCACCTGGAGGACCATAATCAGAATAGCCGTTCTCACGGAGGTGATAATGAGGGGTAGTCCACATACAACGGCGATGGAAGCAGTAACGATCATGATGCCTGCTGATTTGGCATCCATCCTTGAGAAGACCAGCCGCGCAGGCGACGGGTCCGGGATTCGGTGTCCTCGTTTGATTGAGCGGAAGGGTGGTACCTAAATCACAATGTATTGTGCATTTCACCGGCTAATATAGCTCTATCATCTCCGTTGAATAGTTTGGGCCGGGCAATCTTGCTGGGTGGGTTGGTCGGCACTGGCGCGGCATACATAACGCCACCGACCCAGCCCTATCTCGGCGATTATGCGGGCCCGCCTAGGTCTGCAAGTATCTCGCAAGTCGCCAATCCAGTCAGTTGAATGCTATTTCAAAAGGACACCTGATTCAAAGTGTGGTTCCAATGCGAGGAACCGGTCGTTAGATTTCGCGTGATGTCAAACCCTTGCTGAATGTGGTCACGAACTGTGTCCCGAAGCAGCAGACGGAGTATAACAGGGGAATATCCATGTAGATCGCTGAAACGCGACAGCTAACAGGCCAGCCTGATCCCTAATCTTGCATCCGGCCAGGTTACATACGTTCTGACCAGGAAGCTGTAATGCGACGCTTGGACACAGCATCATCCCGACCAGGGAACCGGAAACTCAATCGTCGCGAGCCCTTTATTTCCATACTTGTCCCCTTTCCCATTATCCCATAGATCACACTGCACATACCACGCAATATGGGAATCACTGCGGAGAAAGAGAACTTCGGTGAGGGTGCTCGCCCTCCGGCTACCTCATCGCCATGCGAACCCATCGCCATCGTGGGCATGGCGATGCGCCTACCGGGGGGAGTACACAGCGGAGAGGAATTTTGGGACATGCTGATCGAAAAGAGGAGTGGTCTCTGCGATGTACCCAAAGACCGGTTCAATATCGATGCGTTCCATGTCCCGCACCAGAAGGCAGGAACGGTGCGTATAAAGCAGGCGTACTTCTTGGACGATGTGGAAATCGGGCAGTTTGACAGCTCCGTCTTCTCCAGCTCCAAGACGGAGGTGGAGCGGCTTGACCCCCAGCAGCAGCAATTGCTGGAAGTCGTCTATGAGTGCCTGGAGAATGCAGGGTCGACTTCGTGGCGCGGCAGCGATATTGGCTGCTATGTTGGGATGTTTGGCGAGGACTGGCTGGATCTCATGGCCAAGGAGACACAGCATATGGGTGGCTATCGGGTGACGGGGTATGGGGACTTCGTGTTGGGAAATCGCATTTCTTATGAGTTTGATCTGCATGGTCCAAGGTTTGCTTCTTTCCCTGTTTTGTTAATATCAGCTAACAAGATCTAGCATGACGGTCAAGACGGGCTGCTCTTCATCGCTAGTCTGCCTGGATCTGGCCTGCAAGGCGATCCGAGACGGCGACTGCGATGGCGCGTTGGTTGGCGGCACGAATCTGATCTTCTCGCCCACCATGACGCAGGCCCTGACCGATCAAGGAGTGCTGTCGCCGACCGGAACTTGCAAGACATTCGATGCAGCGGCCGATGGCTATGCCCGCGGAGAGGCTATCAATGTGATATATATCAAAAGGCTGAGCCAGGCGATCCAAGATGGAGACCCCATCCGGGCCATCATCCGCGGAACCAGCGTCAACTGCGATGGTCGGACCCAGGGAATGATCACCCCCAGCCCCATTTCCCAGGAGGCAGCAATTCGCCGTGCCTATGAGGCATCCGGAATCCGTGACCTGTCCCAAACAGCCATCGTCGAATGCCACGGTACCGGCACGGGGGTGGGCGATCCCCTGGAAGCCGCTGCCGTGGCGAAGTGCTTTGGAGAGAAGGGCGTCGTGATCACATCGGTATGAGCCCCTTGGTTGTCAGAGATGTCATTTACCCATGCCCCGCCAGGTCAAACCAAATGTCGGGCACTCCGAGGGTGCAGCTGGATTGACGAGTGTCATCAAAGCGGTCCTGGCCTTGGAGCACCGGCAGGTGCCACCGAACATCAATTTCACGGCCCCCAACCCTAAGAGTAGGTTACCCAACAATGCTATGGAAAGGTACTAGAGGGGGACTGACATCTCCATAGTCCCTTTCAAGGAGTGCAAGCTCCATGTTCCGGTCGAGGTGGAGGCCTGGCCCGAAGGTCGCGCGGAACGAGTCAGCGTCAACTCGTTCGGCATTGGGGGTGCCAATGCGCATGTTAGTGGTACAAATGAAATCTGTTGAGCCGGTCACTGACTCCAGCAGGTCATCCTTGAATCCCCCGGGCAATTTGGGGTGCAGCGCCCGTCCGCTGCTGTGCATGGCGAGGGGCCACACTTGATGCTGTTCTCCGCGCACAGTGCCGAGTCACTCGAATCGAATATCCAGTCTCATCGAGACTTCATGAAACAGGACAAGGCATCCCTGCGTGACATCGCATATACGCTGTCCAGCCGCCGGATCCCGCAGTCCCATCGAGCCTATGCCGTGGTGGATGGCATGGATATGCCGCCCGCATCGGGGACGGAGGTGGCCAAGTCAACACCAAAGGTCGTCTGGGTGTTCACGGGGCAGGGGGCGCAATGGCCGGAAATGGGCGTCCAGTTGATCGAGACGAATGCCATATTCCGAAACACGATCAGACAGCTGGACCGCTTCTTGCTTTCCCTACCAACGCCCGCACTGTGGACCATCGAGGGTAAGTGACACCCCACCTTGGCCAGTGAAAGGGATTGAGGATGTTAACCCAGACAGCCGAGCTGCGCAAGGTGAATGAGACCAGCCGCGTCTACACCCCGGAGATGGGCCATCCGTTGTCCGTAGCCGTTCAGATCGGGCTGATCGAGATCCTTCGATCGTGGGGAGTCACGCCCAGTGCGGTGTTAGGGCACTCGTCCGGGGAGCTGTCTGCGGCATATGCCAGTGGCGCCATCACCGCCGAAGGGGCCATGGCTGCAGCCACCCTTCGGGGTACCAGCAACGAACTGTCGTCCCAAAAGGGATTGATGGCCGCCATTGGGCTGGGACGCGACGAGGCGCTGCCCTTCGTCCAGCCCGGGGTGGTCATTGCGTGCGAGAACAGCCAGATGAGCGTGACCCTGTCGGGAGACGCGTCGCAGATGGAGAACGTGGTCAACAAGATCAAGACGGAGCGTCCAGAGGTGCTGGCTCGCTTCCTCCGTGTGGAAAAGGCTTTCCATTCCCGTTCGTCGATCCCACCTCTACCCTGGATGGCTACAGCTAACGCGTCGTAGACCACATGTGGGAGTATGGGCCGATGTACGAAGAAAAACTCCAAGCCGTCGTGCATAGTGTTGATCCGCGCATCCCCTTCTACTCCAGCGTCACCGGCGACCATCTGACGGGCGAGGGGGCTCTGGGGGCCTCATATTGGCGCCGCAACATGGAGAGCCCCGTGCTCTTCAACTCGGGCGCTCGTTCGGTGCTGCGTGACCACCCGGAGAGGCTGGTGCTTGTTGAGATAGGCCCTCACCCGGCGTTGAAGGGCCCCATCGGGCAGATTCTACGCGACGTTGGTCGGTCCGGGGAGGTGCATGTCGGCACCCTCCAGCGAGGTGAGCGTTGCCCGGAGAGCCTGCTCCATCTTGCAGGCAAGGTCAGTTCGTCATGGACCTGCCTCGCTACTCCTGGAAGCGCGACATCTCGCACTGGGCTGAGCCACGCGTCGCCAGAGAGTGGAGGTTCCGCGAACACCCCCCTCACGAGCTGCTTGGGAATCGCTTGATAGAACTGGGAAGCGAGCCGTGTTGGAGAAATGTTCTGGCTATGGAGAACGTCCCGTGGCTGGTGGGCCATCAGCTTGGGGGCCACACGGTATTCCCTGCTGCGGGATATATCTGCATGATTGGGGAGGCCCTGCGGCAGCTGGGAGGGGAGGTAGCGTACAGTCTTCGCAATATCAGCATTGCCTCGGCAGTCGTTCTGGAGACCGACGCAACTGTCGAGTTGTTGACGAGTCTGAAGCCAATTTCGCTCGATGCCTCGGAGAAGTCCCCGTGGTACACTTTCACAATCAACTCCTGTGACGGCACAAGATGGACCCGGAACTGTTATGGGGAGGCCAGGCCGTCTGTTGACAAGTCTCATTCACTCGAAGCGTGCGGAACAGGCCCTGCATTCCCCCGGAAGGTGGATGAGAACACTTGGTACAGGATGTTGAGCCAGGTGGGCTTTAATCACACTGGCCTATTCCGGGGATTGAAGCAAATCTTCGCTGCCCCTGTCAAGAATGAATCATCCGCGGTGGTTTCGACTACCGATTCCCATGCCCAAGCGAAGTATGCCTTGCACCCAGGAGTAATCGACCAGTGCTTCCAACTGTTCACCGTCTCGGCCTATCGTGGCCTGACCCGCGACTGTCATCAGCTCGCAGTTCCTACCTTCATCGAGGAGATTGTCATATCTCCCAGCGACGAGGAGCTGCATGTTACAGCCCTCATCCGGAAAGTGGAACGGGGGTCATTCGTCGGAGACCTTGTGGCTCAGGCCTCCGGGCAGAAGATGATCTCCCTGAAAGGATTCAAGGCATCCGCTGTCAGCGCCGACAATGATGCCGAAGAGACCCCCCTAATCAGCCGGATGGAATGGAAGCCACACGCCGACTTTGTCGACATGAGCAAGCTGGTGCACCCTCGGGAGCATTGCCCCCCGGAATGGCCCCTGTTGGAGGAACTTGTCCTCCTGTGCATGCTTGACCACCAGAGGCAGATCCAGCCATGCGACGAGACCCCCGACTATCTCCGGTCGTTTTTCGCCTGGATGCGCGCCCACGTGGAAAGGTACCAGGCTGGTACCAACACATTTATCTCCAATAGCCTTGAGCTGGGCGAGCTCCGGAGGGAGGAGAGACTGGCTCGCATCGAGGAGATCATCGCCCGAGTGTCAATGTCCCCGTACGCCCCCTTCGCGATTGCCGTGAATCGCCTCTTCCAGGCCGCACCCACCATCTTCGCGGGCGAGGCACATCCACTGCATATCCTCATGGAGGACAACGTCCTGACGGACCTCTACGTCGCTGGTGATGTTTTGGACTATGCCGAGGCACTGCAGGTCCTCGGACATACGAATCCCCGCCTAAGGATTTTGGAGATCGGGGCGGGCACCGGGGGAACCACGCACAAGGTCCTGCGTGCCCTAACTTCTTCCTTCGGGGAGCGGCTGTATGGCAGCTACACCTACACCGACATCTCCTCTGGGTTCATGTCGGCCGCTGAAGAGAGATTTGCCGACTACGAGGGCATTGAGTACGCCGTCTTTGACATCACCCAGGACCCTGCCACCCAGGGCTTTGAGCTTGGAAAATATGATTTGATTGTCGGGAGCAACGTCGGTCTCGCCATTTATATTCAGCCAGTGTCCGAGTGAGTCTAACTTGCCGCAGGTTGTGCATGCTACGCCGTCATTGCAATCAACCCTCGGCAATTTGCGTGCTTTGCTTAGCCCGACAGGCCGGCTCTTCCTGCACGAGCTTTGCCCCGGTAAGTGCTCACACTCCGTACTGTCGAGTGATAGATGAAGACTGATTTCCTGCAGAATCCAAGTTCTACAACTACATAATGGTACGTCAACCAATGCTTTGCGTCCCCGTCGAGACCTGTACCGACATCTATCAAGGGATTCCTTTCCGGCTGGTGGCTGGGTGCCAGCGACAACCGCGTAGACGAGCCATACATCTCGACCGCACGCTGGTCGAAGGAACTCGTCGCAGCAGGATTCCAGGCCCCGGAGGTCATGGTGCTGGACGGAATCGCCCCGTATCATGCCAGCGCGGGTATCATGGCTTCCAATGCCAGCAGCAAGACCGATCCCCCCCGCGTAACTTTGTTGTGCTATGGCCCAGACGGCCCTTACATTCAAGAGACCAGACGCCGACTTGAAGCGTTGAATATCATCGTAGACATTTCCCTGTTTGGTGAAATCCTCCCCCCTGACCAGGACGTCATTTCTCTGCTTGACCTGCAGCACTTTACCATCCACGACATGTCGGAGGCGACCCTGGACTCCATTCTCGGCTACCTGCAGGCCTTCGAGGGTAAGATCATTTGGGTGACACGGGCCTCCCAGATTAACTGTGAGGATCCACGGGCTGCTATGATATTGGGGCTTGCTAGGGCTGCTCGGAGGGAATTGTCTATTAAGTTGTTCACGGTCGAGCTGGACAGCGCTACACCCGTCACAGGGGGCGTGGATGCAATCACCGACATTCTTCTTCGGGTCAGTGCTCTGGATCTGCAACCAGATGCGATGGACCCTGACTGGGAGTATGCGATCGTGGACGGTGATATCCATGTTCCCAGACTGCACTGGCAGACTGTATCCGATGCCTTTGGTCAGTGTCGCGGTGGCGATCGCCCACCCGTGAAGAGCCTGACTATGAAAAGCCCTGGATTGCTGCACACGATGGGCTGGAGGGAGGAGTTGAGCACGTCCCCGAAAGAGGGCGAGGTGGTGGTTCAAACCAGGGCCGTCGGGTTGAATTTCAAGGTTTGCATTCCGGATGTGATTGCAGTTTGGGACAGACACTTACTTCCTTCCAGGATATTCTGATCAGTCTCGGTGTATTAGACAACAGCACCGACGAGTTGGGGCTCGAGGGGGCTGGGGTTGTTCACGCCGTAGGCCCGGGCGTGCAGAACATCGCGGTCGGGGACCGGGTGATGTACATGGCCAGTGGATGCTTCACCACGCATATCACCCTGCAGGAGAGCATGTGTGTTACGATGGATGACTGGATGACCTTCGAGCAGGCCGCAGCCCTGCCGTGTGTCTACGCCACTGCCTCCATGGCCCTGATCGACAAAGCCGGTTTACAACCAGGCCAGGTAGGCCCACCCTGCCCTGACTGCCACTTCATCTTCATCCAACTTCCCACTCCAGTCAATCCTCATTCACTCTGCCTGCGGCGGTGTCGGCCTAGCTGCCATTCAAATCGCGCGGATGATCGGCGCGGAGGTGAGTCCCATCCATCCCAGCAGACATGACCAGCCTGACACGGTTCCAGATCTACTGCACCGTGGGAAGCGAGACCAAAGCCCAATATCTGACCGAACATCACCACATCCACCGCTCCCACATCTTCAACTCCCGCGAATCCACCTTCCTCCGGGACGTCATGCAAGCCACCGACAACCGGGGCGTCGACGTCGTGCTCAACTCCCTGTCCGGCGATCTCCTGCACGCGTCCTGGAAGTGCGTCGCTGACTTCGGTGTCATGGTGGAAATTGGAAAACGGGACTTCCGACGTCGTGCCAAGCTGTCCATGGAGGCTTTCGAGGCTAACCGGACCTTTGTCGGACTGGATTTGTGGCAGATTTCGCTGAGTAGACCTGAGAAAACTGCGAGGTGAGGTTTCTTATATATATATAGCTATATATACATGCGTTGGGCGATCTGGCTAACTTCGGCAGTCTACTGCGGCGCTGTGTTGATTGGATCAGGGCCGGGGCCATCGTACCGGACGCAATTTCTCATTCATTCCCTGCAGGTGACATCCAAGAGGCCTTCCGCCTCATGCAGGCTGGTCGCCATATCGGGAAGATTGTGGTCAATATGCCGGAGGATGTGGACGCTCTGGTTGCCACCAGGATCAAACCCACTCCCACTCTCCGACAAGATCGCAGTTACCTTCTCGTCGGTGGTCTGGGTGGCCTCGGACGGTGTGTGGCCACCTGGATGGTGGAGCACGGGGCGCGCAGTCTCATCTTCCTCTCGCGATCTGCCGGCCAGGGCCCGGATACCCGTGGATTCCTGGATGAGCTTCACGCGCAAGGGTGCCAGGCGCAACTGGTCCCCGGAGATGTCGGCAGCATGGCAGCCGTCGAGGAAGCTGTCAGGGGCGCCGCCATGCCCATGGCCGGGGTTGTGAATATGTCTATGGTTCTCAGGGTGAGCCCTCGCCTGCAACATTCATCCCAACACCAATGCCAATCACCAATAACCATCACCAGGACATCCCTCTGGAACGAATGACCCTCTCGGACTGGACAGCTGCCGTCGAACCCAAAGTGCAAGGCACCTGGAACCTGCACCACGCCGTCTCCTCAGACCTCGACTTCTTCATCCTCTTCTCGTCCTACAGCGGCGTGGCCGGCCACTGGAACCAGGCCAACTACGGCGCCGCCAACACCTTCCTCGACGCATTTGTCCAGTACCGCCATCACAACGGCCTGCCGGCATCCGTGATCGACATCGGCGTGATGGAACGGGTCGGATACTTGTCTCGCAACGACCACATTCTCGCCCACTTCGAGCAGGCAGGATTGCACGTTTTAGGCGAGAATGATCTGCTGAACGCCATGACCCTCGCCGTTGCACGATCGTCGCCCACCGCCATCCCATCCAAGGCCACGGCAACCTACTCCTATTCCAACCCCAGCCAGATCCTCCTTGGCCTCAACACCACCATCCCCCTGTCCTCCACCACCAACCGGGTCGCCTGGAAACACGACATGCGAATGAGCATTTACTGGAACCTGAACGGCGCCACGGATCCCTCGTCCGCCGGGTCTTCGGATCAGAGCAGTCTAAGAGAGTTCCTTGCCAATGCTGCTTCCCGTCCTGCCATTCTTCTGGATGACACGGCTACCGTTGTTATCGCCACGGCTGTGGCGGGTGCGCTGGCCCATTTCTTGATCAGGAGTGAAGAGACCATTGCGCTCGGCGACTCGCTGCAGAGCCTGGGCGTGGATTCGCTGGTTGCGATGGAGGTCCGCAATTGGATTCGCCAGCAGCTGGGCGTCGAGACGAGTGTCTTTACCCTCATGCAGAGCCCGTCGCTTCTGCAGCTGGGAGAGCATATTCGGCTGGCCTTGGTTGGGAAACTTGGGGCGTAGGGATGTTGTTTGTGGGGGTAGGGGGTTGATACCTGGCTGGTTAGTTGGGGTTATATATTGCGATAGACAGAAGACCGTAAATGCAAAAAAGAGATTAATCCCTGGAAGAACTCTCGCGGATTCCTTTTCCGAGCCCCGATCGTCCGGCCGAGTCGGAGTCGCCAACCTAGGGGGGAGTTGTTGCCAACAGAAAGAGCATCTCCCTATACAACATCATGATGCACACCTCTTAACCCTCACCTCCAACACCACCGCCCCTCCCTTCCCTGGATCCTCCCCCCAAACCCGCACCAACTCCAAGCCCACTCCCCCGAACAACTCCCCAAACTGCCCCACCGTCCTCTCCATCCCCGCAAACCCACACATCATGACCAAATCCGTCTGAACCGCCCTCGCATCCACCTTCTCCTCCCCCTCACTCTCCCCCTCACCCCCCTCGGGCAAAACCACCTCATTAACCAACAACACCGAATCCTCCACCATCGCATCCCTCACCCTCCCCAGAATAACCGCTGCCTGTTTATCAGGCCAATCATGCAGCACCGTGCGCAGGAAATAGGCTTTTGCGCCGTTCACGGGCTGCGGCGTGAAGAAGTCGTATTCTTGGATTTCGATTCCTGCTGTCGATAGTTTATCCTGCGTTTGGGCGTGGGCTTGGGTATGAAGGTCGGAAACCACGGATGGAAGATCCTGCAAGATAACCCGACCAGGCATATCGGGATATTGGTCCCGGAAGGAGAGGAGGTCTGCTCCCTGGCCACCCCCGATATCGACGATCAGGGCGCGGGAGGGGTCTGATATGGTGAGGCTTTGGGCGGCGGGGAAGAGGGTATACCAGGGTGTGCTGCCTCGGCGCAGGTCGAGGCTCATGACGGTGTTGAAGGCCGTTTGGTAGATTGGGTTCTGGGACAGCCAGGTGAAGAAGTGCTCCTGGGTTTGGAAGGCGTGCTGGAAGGGGCTGCTGTATGCGTCGCTGGGGTTCACGTAGCCGGTTTGTTGGAAGTAGGTGGGCAGGTGGGTCATTATGCGGAGGAATAGGGTTCTGCGTATACCGTTGGTATACCTAGTTGTTAGCGAAGGTGGAAATGTTGGTTGGTAAGGTGGGGTATAGTAAGTCGGGGTGTGCTCCGTATAGGTAGGGAATATCCATACCCATGCACCACCCCCGCAGCCAGCGGCGAGGAACTCCTCAACGCATCCGACAGCTCGGTCGCATGATAGACACCCTTCTCCGGATTCCGCAACACGCCCATAACAGCCAAGAAGCGTGCAACCCGGGCTGTCATCCAACCCCACGCAGTCAGCATTCTCCCCAACCCTTGGAACGTTTATCTAGACAGTGCATACCAACAAGCACCCCATCCGCATCCACCCTCTTCGCCATCTGCGCCGTAGTAGCCACGCCTCCGAGTTCCGCGATGGCGTCGAAGAGTTTCATGTCGACTGCGAGTCGCAGGAGCATGGCGCGGTGGCTCTGTTTTCATCCGTTCAGTTTGCGTTCGTGCAAGTATGAATAGAACAGAACGGGGAAGGGAGTCAAGGCTGAGGAGAGACATACCCCGAAGACGGTCCGCATGGTGAACTCCATCGGGTTTTGGAGTTTCTCTTGCAGCGTCTCGATGCGCGAGAGGAGGTGTCTGCGGGTTGTTTCGTCCGGGGGGGTCCCATGGGAGGTGAGGGAGGTGAGGGTTGTGTCGAGGTGGTGGAGGAGGGCGGAGTAGGGCATGATTTCTGCTTGGCACTAGTGTATTGTAGGAGTGGGATGGATGAGATGGTTGATATGTTGGCTGTATTCTGGATCGTTGTGGTGTGATCAGTTGGCGTCTGCAGGGTACACTGATAATGATATTTATATCTCAATTCTACAAAGACCATATCTTCAACCCCGGGATTAACTCATCCTAGGACCGAACACCAAATCTCGGTGTCGAATATACTATACTTCACTCCCGCGCAGAAAAGCCGACCCCGACCCCGAGGAAAGCGTGGGGCGGGTGCGATTCTCGGTCTTGCGCGCGAGACCCGAACTTCGGGGCCGAGGACAGCGGGTTGTCCGGCTTTTCAACTTCAAGTTTTAAGTACCATATCTAGCAAGTCAGTGGTATTTTCTTTGTGTAACTGTGACGTACTAATATCCAGACCGTAATTTAAAATTCGTCACATACGTTATTGTTATCATATTAGTACTTTAGATTTCGTCATGAGTGAAGGGGATGTGCGAAACTACAATTATATATATATCTAATCTTGAGAAAGAACACTTCACCTCAACCAACATTACTCGAATCCAACATCTGCAGTTTATCTAGAGTACGCTCGGTCTCTGTCGATCATTTCATCACAGACTAAGTTCTATTCGGCGCTACTCTGAAGAATCAACTAGTTGGATAGGTACGATGGTCCCATTCCGCACCGTCATTTCTCGGAGAAGGTTTCCGGTGGAAACGTCTACGGGAAACCTCTGGCTGTTGTATGGCTCGCCCATCCAGGCACACCAGGTGAATTAGAACTATCTGAATTCCGAACAAAAGAAATACTATCCACTGTGGCAGCAAAGGCACAAAGAAAAGAAAAGAAAGAGATACCAGGTCGACGCACCGAGTCCTCTCATCTGTCCAAGGGGACGTGGACGCGATCGCCTGCTTGACGCAGAGAGAGAGAGAGAAAAAAAAAGAAAAAAAAAAAAAGAACAATGTGGGGAATTTAACACACTGAAGGAGAAAGGAAGAGAAAACCATGGACAAAAGAGAAAATAGTGATCAACACGAAGAAAATCCTAGCGCATCCCAATGCTTATGAGGAAAGACACAGACAGGAAATATGACAAAGAAAGTAGTAGCGAAGACGCCAACAGCGCAAGTCAGGCAGTCGGTCAGTCGACCCAGGACTCGGCGCCTGGTCGCCGTATCCTACACCCAAGACGGGAAAGTTCCATCATCAACATCACGTCGTCCCATACACGTAATCGTTCGTCCCACTTCGTCGCGTCGTGACTTAGACGTTCTTGTACAGCAGCAGGGGCTCGCCGACGTTCTCGATCTCCGGGATGGTGCATTTCAGGTCGAACGCCTTGGCCAGCACGATCTTGAAAATCTGCGAGGGTCAGTACGGGCACTGCAGGAGGTCGGGCCGGCCTACCTTCTGCACGTTGATGCTGTGGCTGGTGCTGCTGAAGATCAGGCTGGCTTTCATGGCTTTGGCGAACCGTTTGGCCTGCATGCGGTCAGTGCGCGCTAGGACTCGTCACATGTGCCGAAACCGAAACCCACCTGGATCGAGATCTCTTCCTGATCCTCGCGGGGAAAGTTGACGAAATGGTCGTACTTGGTGCCGATCAGGAACGGGATGGCGGTCTTGTTGAACCCGCGGCCCTGGCGGTACCACTCCTTGATCGAGTTCAGGGTACTCTTGCGGGTGAGGTCAAACATGAAGAGGATCGCGACGGCATCGTTGCACACAAGGGGCAGCATGTTGACGAACTCGCGCTGGCCACCCAGATCCCAGATAGAGAAGGTGATTTCGGTGTTCCGGATCGAGATAGTCTTTTCCATGAAGTTGACGCCTGGTATGCCTGGTCAGTCTATCGGGCCCCCGCGCATCGAGACAGCACAACCTACCCAACGTCTGAATGTAATCCTCGTCCCAGCTACCCTCCACGTATTTCACCATCAGGCTGGTCTTTCCGATCTGGGCGTCGCCCACCATGCCGACCTTTATCACCACGCTGTTCTTGGTCGGCTGCGACGGCTGCTTCGAGGGCGCGTCGTGTGTCGGCTGTACGAGTCCATGTCGCTCGGTGCCGTTGGACAGACCGGAGCCGGGTCGGGAGGAGGAGGAGGGCAGGGAGGGCTGATGGGTCAAGGGGGAGAAGTTTTGCCGGGGCTGGTCGCTGTCGGGATGGTAGTCGCGGGCGGGGGAGTTGAACTCGAAGGAGGAATAGTGGGCGCGCGAGTCGCTGCTGTAGCCGTTGGTGTTGGGGAGCTCATCGGGCGGCGCCATTCCGCTGCTGCGTGTGGGAGCGGCGAAATCAAGGCTCTGCGGGGGATCGAAATGCAACGACGGGGACGGAGATGCGACGTCTGAGGCACCAGCCACGGGCTGCTGCGGCGAGTCCATGGTGGGAAGGGACGCGTTGGGGTCTGGACGGGCTCTGTGGGCGGGCGTGGATAAATTGGTTAGTGCCAGGCGTAAACACGGTCGATAGCCGGGTGGAGCGGGGATGCTGGGAGGCTGAGACCAACCGAATTTGAGGACTGGGGGGGGGGGGGGGAACCGGCACCCATCCAACGGGTCGGAAGGAAGAGAGCGTCGTGCGAACGAGCTAGACGACTGATATGTCAGTTGCAGACCCCAAATGGGAGAGAGATGGAGGGGCTGTGAGGATGGGTGGGCAGGTATGCACCGTTCTTTGCAGGGAGGATCAAACAATGTGACAGGTGCACTAGTCGAGGCGCGCAGCCATGGGAGCCTGACGAGGAAGAGGTCAGGCAGTCAGGCCAGACAGACAGACAGACAGACAGACGAGAGAGTGAGACCACAGGGAGTGGAATGAATAGTGGGGATTTCAGCAAAGACCAGAGGGTGAAACGAGAGCAGGAAGAGAGAGGACCAGCAGAAGCAGCAGCAGCAGCAGCAGCAGCAGTAGTAGCAGCACAACCCCCCTTGAAGAGGAGGAGCTGAGCGGCTAACGAGCAGCAGCAACACGAACAAACACCGCCACAGCTCCTCTCAGCTCAGCTCCTCTCAGTTTCCCCCCCCGACAAACCGCAAAAAGCGGGCGCCAAACTCCGATCGACGCTAGGCCCGATCCAGCCCTAGCGCCGGTATCCCGTGGATGTCGGGCGGGCAGACGTGGCAGAAAAGGTGGATGGCCGAAAAATGCAGGCCCGAGGAAAAAAAAAAAAAAAGTCAGAAGTTGCCCGACCGGCAGACGATCGATCATTTCCTCTCCAGCATCGCCCGCTGTACGACACTGGTCCCTCACATTCTCCCGCCATGTCGAAGAGATCCGCCGACGTCGCCGACGAGCAGTCCGCCGCCCTCAAGGCTGGCGATCGCCCCGTCGTCGATTCCCTCCCCGACGAGGTGGGGGAGTTCGAGGATGAGTTCGAGGACGAGTTCGAGAGCGAGGATGAGATCCTCGAGGCCGGTGTCGATGGCCGTCCCGATGCGGAGCGCGAGGAGGAAGAGAGAGGTATGCCTGCCTGCACTCCCCAATGACGCTTCCCCGGTCGCATGCCGCCATCTTGCTCGTTTCACGCAAACCCCGCTGACTGCAACCTGCAGATGCCATGGAAGTAGACAAGCAGACCTTCATTCCCGGACGGACAAAGCTTGCCCCCGGAGAGGTCCTCTCCCCCGACACGTCGACCTACGACATGCTCCACACCCTCAGCACCCCCTGGCCCTGTCTCTCGTTCGACATCGTGCGCGACACCCTGGGCGACAACCGCAAGACCTACCCCGCCACCGTCTACGCCGTCACCGGCACCCAGGCCGAGGGCAAGCGCGCCAAGGAGAACGAACTGATGGTGCTGAAGCTGAGCGGCCTGAGCAAGATGGAGAGGGACGGCGAGACGGACTCCGAGAGCGACTCGGACTCCGACGACGACATGGGCGAGGCCATCCTCGAGCACAAGAGCATCCCCCTGGGCTCGACGACCAACCGCATCCGCACCCACCAGACCCCCAACCAGTCCGGCGACTACTCCAAGCCCCCGCAGACCATCACCGCCACCATGCTGGAGAACGCCCAGGTCGTGATCCACGACGTCACCCCCCATCTCACCAGCTTCGATGTCCCCGGCACCATCCTCCCCCCGTCCGCCTCCAAGCCCCTGTCGACCCTCCGCATGCACAAGTCCGAGGGCTACGCGCTCGACTGGTCCCCGCTGCAGCCCCTCGGTAAGCTGCTGACCGGTGACAACGACGGGCTGATCTACGTCACGACGCGCACCGAAGGCGGCGGTTGGGTGACGGACAACCGGCCCTTCACCGGCCACCTGTCGTCCATCGAGGAGCTGCAGTGGTCGCCCAACGAGAAGAACGTGTTCGCGTCGGCCAGCAGCGACGGCAGCGTCAAGGTGTGGGACGTGCGGTCCAAGTCGCGCAAGCCGGCCGTGGACGTCAAGGTGTCCAACACGGACGTCAACGTGATGAGCTGGTCGAACCAGACGTCCCACCTGCTGGCAACGGGCGCGGATGACGGTCAGTGGGCCGTGTGGGATCTGCGCCACTGGAAGCCGAACCCGTCGGCGCCGTCGGCGCAGATCACGGCGGCCCCGGTGGCCTCGTTCGACTTCCACCGCGAGCCCATCACCAGTATCGAGTGGCACCCGTCGGACGACAGTGTGGTGGCGGTGGGCTCGGCCGACAGCACGGTGACGCTGTGGGATCTGGCGGTGGAGCTGGACGAGGAGGAGAGCCGCGAGGCCGGCCTGCAGGAGGTGCCGCCGCAGCTGCTGTTCGTGCACTACATGGACTCGGTCAAGGAGATCCACTGGCAGGCCCAGATGCCGGGCACCATCATGGCCACGGGTGGTGCAGGGTTTGGGTAAGTTTATTCTCACCACCATTCTCCTTATCGTCCCGTCCGCAATGAGTATCGATGATGCTAACCCCCCTCCAGTGTGTTCAAGACGATCAGCGTGTAGAGAATCGGAAGAAAAGTGCCATTTCAACGAATGCATATAGGCCGTTGGTGCGTTTGATTGCGTTATACCACTTTATGTTAGGTTTATGAACAGAGTTTAGATTACAATGATGAGCATGATGAAACCACATGAACTACTAGATTCATCCTTCTTCCTGATAGATTCTGAGATACCGTGTTCCCATCTGGGCGGCTATCCACCTGAAGCTGGACATGCATACATCAGTATAGGCTGCCTGGTTGTTAATCCTTCGAATGGATGAATTTCCAGTAGGATGGAGGCGGGTAGAGGAATAAATGTATATATCATAGTAGGCCGCTGGCGGAAGTTACCGCGAGGTTGTGGCCAGTTGTGGCCAGTTGTGGCTAGTTGTGACCAGTTGCATAACAGTTCCTAATAGTTGCTGACTAAAATAAATAGTAAGCATCCCTATTATACTGTATATAATAGTTATTACACTATTTTGAAACTATATTTAAGAAAACAACAAGAAAGTAACTGTTTGAAGCTTATTTTATAATTATTTATTATTATTAAAAGCTTATTACTTTTCTATTTCTAATCTATCTACAAATAATTATATTACTATTTCTTTTTTTTTATAGTAAGTAAGTTCTCCACAGGTTATTCACTGAATCACTGTTACCTTACTGTCAATTCACTGTCAATTTACTATCAATTCACTGTTACTTCACTCTCTTCTTATATATATTACATCTTTCTCTCTTCTCATTCTCTCACTCTTTCTCTTCTCTACATCACTCTCTTAAGTTGTTTCTGTCACTTCCTCCCTCCCTCTCTCTCAATCTTTTACTATCTCTCTCCTTTACACTTCTTCTTCACAACTAGACCGTCATGGAGAAGGCTACCAGCATCAAAATGGCAGAAACGCCCGAAACGCCCGAAGAAACAGTCATCCATTGGTCGAGAGGTGAGCTGAAATGCTTTTGCAGACGACGCAAGGAGACAGTACTAATATGGAAGAAATAGGTAACAAACACAGCTTAGAACCCTCCTCTGCAAGCAACAATACAGCAGAGGTGACAGCGGCACAGGAGCTGGCCAAGAAAGGCAAAAGGGGACTGCTGGAGTTACTGAAACTCAATTCCGAAGACGACTGGAGGGAGTGGTTAGTGTCAGACTTAGTCAAACCGTACTGGCTAGATGTGATAGAATAAACCAGCTATCGGGATAAAGGTCATCGGGATGACGTATTATAGTGGTTGTGAGAGTCGTGTCATCGGGATGACGTGTTATAGTGGTTGTGAGAGTCGTGAGGTCATCGATAGTGGTTCTACACCTCTCCGGCACCTATAAGGTGCCGATCCCTCTGTAAGGAGCTACTGATCCTTCAAGAATCAGTCTATCTCGTGGATATAGGCTACCTTTATCATTGTCAAACGAATACACGGTGTTTCATGATTGATTCCTTACCTAGTCGACAGGCTTTCTACCCTGACAAGTAGATCCTATCACATTCTGATCCTTCTCTTTTCGACTACCTAAGGAAGATGCCACCCATTGAAGATAGTGAAGAAATGGAAGCACTCAGCGATCGAATCGATCCAGAACCCTCGCCGAATACCGTTCCCACCGTTGAAGAGATTCAACAGCTAGAAGATCATGTTCATCGATTGGAACAAGCTACCAACTTACGGCGAAGAATAGCTCACCTCCAAAGGAATGGCTCCCCGAGCGAAACCTCCTCGAGACACTACCGATCCTCCCCCGAATCAGAAAAGGATAAGAGAGAGATCAAGTTTAAAGATATCCCTCGCTTTGCCCTGAACTTCAACCTCCAAAAACATCAAGAATGGATCACCGATTTGGAATATATATTCAGAGGCGCACCCAAGAAATATTCATCAGAGGAACGCAAGATCCTCGCTGCTATCAGCTATATGGACCCAGCATATAGACAGAGATGGTACCGTTTTGTGGACGATAAGAGTCCGGAAGAGAGACGATTCCTCGAGAAATCATGATCTCGGTTCAAAGATTGGACTCTTACACTGATTCGGAACGCTGCCACCCTTCAATCAAATACTATGACCCAACTTGAACGGGCTCACCAGCGATACGGCCAGGATCCGCGAGAGTCCCATACTTACCTTGATACCTTGGAGCAACACTTTCCTCGCCAAGCAGAAAAGAAAAGGGCCTTATCCTACTTTGCTAAGCTACTACCGGATCTAAACCATTATATTCAAGAGCATATTCCCCACCTACCAGAGGAGCGGGACGAAATGGTGGCTATCGCTACTCACTATTACGAACTGTGGGAAAATAGAGGAAAACGCAAGCGAAACGATAACCGATTCAGTGGTTATAAGCCACGCAAGCGCTTCCAAGAAACCACTAGTAAAACCATTAAGGAAGATGTCCCGAATCGCAGGGAAAACCCCATCGGAAAGGATGGCAATCGATTACGATGCTTTATATGCAAAAGTACCCAACACCTTGCGAACCGACACCCTACCGAAGGCAAAAGGGTTCAATCCGCTAGAACCTACCAATCCTCATCGGATTCAGAGGGAAAAGTAGAGGAGTTGGGATAGGCCCTACGATTTCGACTCCTTCACCTACAGTAGGGACTACACATCGTTTTCATGTTCCTATCCGCATCCGAAACAGCCTCGAAACCTTTGCGGACCTGGATAGCTGCGCCGAAGTGGATGTTATTAGTTACCAGTTTGCCAAAGCCTATAACCTCCAACGTGCCCCGGTTACTGCGCCAAAGATTGAAGCCATCAATCGAATCACCACTCCTACCTATGGTGTATGGAAAGTCCCTATTACCGCTACCGATTCGCGAGGAGGCACCCGTACTTTCGAACGGTATTGTGTAGGGATTGACCGGGACCCCCGACTGGAAGGCAGCCCTGTACTACTTTCAATGACTACGCTTCACGATCTATACATTACCTTATCAGCATGGAACCGCCAGTGGTGGTTTAGCGTACCGTCTATTTCGCTGCTTTCCGTTACTCAATTTACTAAAGCAACTCGAAACTCAGCAAGAGTGTACGCCATTGTTAAGCTCCCCGAAGACGTCTGGCTACCAGAAGAAGAACCTCGCGATTCGTCACCGAACCCTGAGGTAATTCCCGTTGAACTCAAGCAGTTCCAAGATGTATTCTCTATGGATTCCTCCCAACAGCTACCTCCTCATGGCCCTGCGGACCACGCCATTGACATTAAACCTAATGAAACACCCCCTTACGGTCCAATATACCCCTTATCCGAAGCTGAACTTAAGATCCTACGAGAATATATCGAAGAGAACCTGAAACTAGGCCGAATTCGACCTTCAAAGAGCCCTGCTGGAGCCCCTATTCTCTTTGTACCCAAGAAAGATGGTAGCTTACGCCTTTGCGTAGACTACAGGGGTCTCAATAAGGTTTCTATCAAGAATCGCTATCCCTTACCTCTTATTTCGGAGATTCTTGACAGGGTTTCGGGAAGTACCTACTTTTCAAAGATCGATGTCAAGGATGCGTACTACCGAATCCGCATCAAGGAAGGCGATGAATGGAAGACAGCGTTTCGCACCCGATACGGCCACTTCGAATACACGGTCATGCCATTTGGATTGACTAACGCTCCAGCAACTTTCCAAAACTATATGCATACTGCGCTTCGAGGACTCCTCGATGACTTTTGTATAGCGTATCTGGATGATATCCTCATCTTTTCGTCAGATAAGGAATCTCATACAAAGCATATTCATCAAGTTTTGGAGAGGCTTCGAGAAGCTCAGCTCTATGCAAAACCATCGAAATGTTCATTCTACCAATCCCAAGTCGAATTCCTGGGGTACATCATCGACTCTGACGGAGTATCCATGGATCCTCGACGGGTAAACGACATCGTTTCGTGGCCGATTCCCGAAAGTTACCATGATGTCCAGGTCTTCCTTGGATTCTGCAACTTTTACCGACGATTTATTCAAGACTACTCTCGTATTGCCTTGCCCCTTACTTCTTTGCTTCGTGGAACAACCAACGGGCGGAAGCCAGGGAAGGTCCATCTAACCTTAACCGAACGGACTGCTTTCCGCCGCCTTATTGCTGCCTTTCAACAAGCACCTTTACTAATGCATTTTGATCCTACGAAACCCCGCCGTTTAGAAACTGATGCGTCAAAAGAAGGGATGAGTGGCATCCTATCCCAACCTGACACCAAGGGTGTATTCCATCCAGTTGCATTCTGGTCCCGTAAGTTCTCCGGTGCCGAGCTAAACTATGGTACTCCAGATCAAGAGCTATTCGCTATCGTTTACTCTTTTAAACAATGGCGACAATATTTAGAAGGCGCTCCCCAAACAATCGAGGTCCTATCAGACCATTCGAACTTGCAATCTTTTATGCGTCAAACCCGGGTTAACGGGAGGCAAGCTCGATGGCTTATGAGTCTAATCCCCTACGATTTCATCATTAAACATAGAACAGGGAAATCAAACCCAGCAGATGGACCCTCCAGAATGCCTTCTGGATCTCAAGTGAAACCTGCTCCTCAAGAGGAACTGTTGACCCCGATTCGAGCGCGATTCGTGGGCGTATCGTCCCTGACAATAAGGGATCTTGTCAAAGAAAAAACCCAGTTCGAACCTCGAGATGCGCAGGGTTACCCTGGGTTCGATACCCGCATTGCGTTGAGCTCAAAGGACCCCAATGGTCGAGCCGGTATAGAGACAGCTGACTGGGCTGCTTGGGAGAACTTATCTCGAGAGAGATTCATTCCCCAATCTACGGCGTCACGAGTGTGTGCCGCGGAAGTTTCGTACTCGGATACATGTAATTCCGAACTTCAAGAGATGATCTTGCGTTTGCAGAACGATGATCCAGAGACACAACGGCGAAAGGCTGCTGTTCAACAAAAGCAATCGGGCCAAAAGCATTGGACCATTAAAACAACTGGTCATATCTGTTTCAAAGACCGATACTATATCCCC